CGCTTTTTTTGAGCGTGCCACACACCCAGAGTTGAGCAAGATTAAGGTTAATTAGTGCCCTAATGACAGAGATAAATGCTAAAAGACTCGCTAACCTGAGGCGTACATAGCTGGCAGGCTGCTGCTTTGCAGCACACAGATGACGGCCGACATCTTCACCTCGATTGCCACCAGCAGCTCTGAGTTGATGCAGGACTGCAGCATGAAATCTGCACATGCTGCAGTGGTGACACAAAACAAATACACGTGTTCTTAGGCCAACACCAATCCCATTGGTGCATTGCATGTGAAGAAAGGATGTATCTACCTACAGCATCATGCATGGCATGTTCTACTGTCTCCACGGCCCAATCAGCATGTTACAAGAAGATGAACCCGCACCTGACTTGTTTGTCCAGATGCCCTTCATCACACCTTGCGTTGTGTGAGCGGCTTCAAAGAAACCGTCTGTGTGCAACAAGGCCTGCTGCAGTGGCCAAAGGATGTGTGTGAACAGCTCAAGATGCAGGTTGTCCTCGTTGCCCACAGCTGCAGAAGTTGGTGTTGCACAGCAGCGCCCGGCACTCATCATTAAAAGTGTGCCAGTGTGCAACAGCCAATGGCCCCTTGCATTTCACGCCCATCATCTGTGCTGAGGTGCACGGCAGCAGCTCCAGCTGGGATGGTTGATAGTTGGTGAGGAAGTCCCCAGCAGTTGTGAAGCGGTGCAAAGTTGACTGCATCAAGGTTTTGGGGGCCACTTCTGCAGTGAAATGGGCGCCATATACGATCTGTCAGGTGCTAGCAGCTGGTACTGCAAAAGCCAAATGGACCCCTTCACAAAACCAAAGCCACTGGCCTCGAGGCTCGGCAGACACAGTCAGTCAACAACATTTTTAAGCAATCATTCAAGGTTGTGTAGACATGGCTTGATTAGTGTGCGAGGTGAGTTCATATGCTATGTGAGGTGATGTAGTACATACCGGTCATCGTTACTGAGTCATGGGCTCCCATGACTCAGTAACGATGACCACTGAGTCATGGGAGCCCAGGAAATACCCTAAAAATGCAATATGACTAAAAAGAGTCAGTATGTGTGCATGTACCAAGGAAATATAACCCCTGCGTTTGTTTCTCCCCCAGCAAAATGTTTTGCACCTCACGCAGGTGCACCTGTCTGGGTGTACCTCCCCTCCAAGAAGAAGGAAAGGCGTCAGCTGTGTGTCACTCAAGACATACACTACAACAATCAAATAACAAGCATTGTTCCTACATACAGCAGGTGTTTCTATCGCGAACACAAACAAGCAAACAGTGGTGCTCGTCGCGAGCCCAGTCACAGGCCCAGCCGCAGCGAAATGACAAACCTGAGAAACTCCCAACCCAGTCTAGGAATGCGCTGAGCTTCCACAAGCAGCTAAGTTTGCCGATGCATGCCTGTTTCGATTGCCTCCTTCAGGGTGTTGCGTTGCCGGAGATTGAGTTGCGATCGCAGGTCATTTACATCGAGACGACGAAATGCGCCTCCTGCCTCAGCGTTCACATCGTAACCCTCCCTTTCAAGAACTTGGAGTATGGGAGCTATCGAGGCCTCAGTCTCTCCGTCGACTGCAGCGATCGCTTCGCGCACAGTCGGCATTGGAGCAGAAGTTCTGCGAGGCTACATTACATCGGATCCTATGGCATGTCCCATGGCTGACCCTGCTAGCGCAAAAGCTCGTCCGCTCTCAACCGCAACGCTTAAACAAAGTGAAGAGATGAGGCTGGGCTTGTTTCTGCGGTTAGCTGTAAATACAATTGTTTGGATTGTGAAGGCGCACCTCTGCGGAGCTGTGTTGTCAACATATGCATTTTTGGTAGTACGACACACGGAACCCTCTATTATTTCCGGAACCGACACGAGTAAGCACTTGAGAATGAACACGCGCATTCACATAGACACAAACACAGGAGCTGTCATCTGTCCCACTGGGTCTTTCACAGAGCTGGTCTTGCATGCGCAACGAGCTTGCAACCGTCATTCACGCTGAGATTCCGTTAGGTTCGCCGCGAATGCCGAAGCTACAGCCCCACATGTTTGAATGGATGGATGCCAAGGCGATGCATTCCTCTGGAGTCGCGTTTTCTACGAATTGGCCAGGGATTGTGTGTTTGGCATGCCGAAAGCCCGCTTGTTTTACCCCGATAATGCGCAAATTGCGGGACGTTTGAAAGTCGAGCCTGAGAATGGATTCGGGATATTGAACGCATGAGTTTGGATGGAATGTATGACCGCGAATGCTAGGGGAAGGCAATGAAGACAGGCAGACGGGGCGTGTCTGGCATATGTGCTCTGTACTTCTAATGCTAATCACCATATCGGCCTGTCTTTTCGATTTTGCACGTGAAGTGCGGCACTGAGCCCAATATTGTCGGTGGCTCCCTGCAACCAGTTCACCTTGCGTGCCCCAGTACACACCACTAGATCGCTGGGAACAGGGACCCCTATGTTCCCTATGAAAGTTGTTCCAAGAACAAACTCCCTTGTTCTTAGTTTCTTAAACTTGTTCCTAACCTTAGATATGCTTCAATTTGCCTTTATCGCCCTCTGTACACTATTTATGACGATAATACGAACCGCTCGTCAAACCGGTCGCACGGACAAGGTCCAACCAACGAAACGGACGCTGCTTGTCATTATTGCAACTCCACTAGGGTGCGCATGGGTGTTTTGAAACCTCTAAAGGACCCTAGCACTGCGCTGCGCGAAAGTCGTAAGGGTACGCCCGGTGGACGAGCGTACCTTCACATCTGCTAGCGTACCCCATAGAGACCCACTCACGACAATGTGCATGCCTCCCAGCTAGCCGAAGTAAACGAAATATGGGCCCACGATACAGATGGGCGGCGGCTGCAGCCGTGGCAGCTATAGTCTTGATGGCCACCGTCGTCAGCGCGGTGCACTTCCTAGAAGACCTAGGGCGCATCTTTCCTCCGGCGCAATGGAAAGAGTTGGTACACACATATTCTGCTGCAAGGATATACTTCGCGCCTTGGGAAATCATGGCCAAAGTTTATCTGGTCCTGCAGGGTACCTGTCCGAAAAGGGTTTCCACGCATACTTCAAATATGAAGGCTGAAGGAGCAATCCAATACTTATTCTGACATTTTACCAACCACAACATGACAAAGAGAGTCGCTAGAAGCAGAGTCGCGCCATTACAGTACGGCGTAACGAGTCTCACCTAGTGCGTTTACAGGGTCGTAGTCTTGCCACGGATGTGCTGATTAGATTTATGGCTAATTCGAACTATTTGGTAAATCTGATTCGGGTGTCGTCACGGTTTGCCACATCCGCCCTGTCTTTCAGGCGCGTAGGCCTATACCTACAACCGCCGCCCCCGGGTCTGCTTGAAGAGGCAGCCCGTCGATTCCCTTACCCGACGCAAAGGGGCATCGCTAGTACCGCATCAAAGATGGTTGAGCAACTTTACACGAAAGTATGCATTATTGGCTCGGGCCCTGCTGCCCATACAGCTGCGATTTACACGGCGCGCGCAGAACTGGCCCCAATCCTTTTCGAGGGCTTTATGGCGAATGGAATTGCTGCTGGGGGTCAGCTTACGACTACAACGGATGTTGAAAACTTTCCGGGTGCGTTCAAATCGATACGATCCACCGAGGTTTAGTATGATATCCTTTACCGGTCATGGTCGCAATTACTTGCAGGTTTCCCTGAGGGCATTCTTGGTGTTGAGCTAACAAATCGCTTCCGTGACCAGTCCGCTCGGTTCGGGACGAAGATTTTCAGCGAAACGGTCGAGAACGTCGATTTCTCGAAGCGGCCATTCACCGTACGAACCTCGGAAAAGGAGGTGAAAGCTGAGACGGTCATTATCGCTACGGGTGCTGTGGCGAAGCGGATGGAGTTCCCGGGCAGCGGCGAGGAGGGTGGCTACTGGAACAAGGGCATTTCGGCCTGCGCTGTTTGCGACGGCGCCGCTCCTATTTTCCGCAACAAGCCTATTGCAGTAATTGGTGGCGGCGATTCTGCCATGGAGGAGGCAAACTTCCTGACGTAGGTACTGTCCGTTTATCCGGGTAGTGAAACGTGTTTTCCCGTCTTTGGACACGTTTCGCGCATGGAATGCGTTTGTGGGCGCCCATCCCTTAGCTTTCCCAGTTTGTCGGGAATTGGGTTATATCCCTCTCCACACATGGAAGCAGTTCGCACCACGAGGTGCTTCTGAAGCGGTTTTTAGGTCTTGAAATATGCGGCTAAGAGGTTCTCATGAAAGGGATTGCGTTAGGGTCATGATAAGGTGATAGCCTCTTCCGCAATCTTGTTTACAACAAGCACATGTTACAGCAGAGGCGTGCTTTTTCTGCTACCCTCTTCCCCAGCAAGCCCTCGACAAACCGCCCCCATATCATCCATCGTTATCGGTCATACCCCACCTAACGGTAGCCTTACCCTCGCCGAACGTGCCCGGTGCTTGCCCTTTCGTCGTCCCGTGGCGCATTTCAATGTTTCTTCACAACGTAGCAAGTACGGCTCCAAGGTGTATATCATTCACAGGTGGGGTCGGTAAGGAGGAGGAGGAGAGCCAGATCATGATACTCATTAGATTGCCACGGCAGCAACGTCCATGTATTGAACCGAACATCGAATCATCCTTACGTGGTCATCCTTTTCATGGACCGCATGTCTTGATGAGTTTCTATTTAATTGCTGTTTTGCTTGATGTGCCGCCCGGGCAAAGCGCACCTCGGGGCCCCCCACGGTGGGGCCGGTAAAGTCCTTGGAGCCAGCCATGTGGCAGGGTGGGCAGGGAGGAGCTTTCCCACCTTATTGGCTTTACCGGACGTTTCTTTGACCAGCCATGCAACCCCCTGCTGTTTATTATAGTTACACGCGCCATGCTTGGAAACCCTGACCCAGATTTTGTTTGTGTGAGCTTCAGAATTCACATATCATTCCAACAGTAAGGAATGTTATTGAAATTGCTATACCTTTTCTCGGCCCTTCAGGCGAGATACATTCCGCGCTAGCAAGATTATGCAGAAACGCGCATTTGACAATCCCAAGATCGAGGTCCTCTGGAACAGCGTCGTAGAGGAGGCGTACGGCAGCGCGCGGGGTTTGCTGGGAGGAGTTAAGGTACGGTAGTGAATCGGGATTTTATTGTGGAGGCGTACGGCAGTGCAAAGATAGGTCTATCCACATTAACACAGGTAATTACATGGTCTCTTACTCTGTGTGACAACCCTCTCGACCTGTACCCCCCTTTCCCTCAACGTCCTTTGCATTTTATCTCCTCATCATCTCATCGCCTGTCATGTGCCCGTCGCCATCCCCACCTGCGCAGCTGCGCAACGTAGTAACGAATGAGGTGCGTGACCTGGAACTGGCTGGGCTGTTCTTCGCCATCGGTCATCAGCCCGCCACTGCCTTTCTGGGTGGTCAGCTGACTCTGGATGAGGACGGATACATCGCGACTACCCCCGGCAGCACCACCACCAACATTCCCGGTGAGTGCATGGGGAGCTTACAACAGAGGAAAGCAGAGGTCTTTTGGGAAATTGCATCATTATGCGCGCATGGGCTTTAGATTAATTAGAGGTTTTTTTGTGAGCTTGGGCTGAGTTGTGTAGTCCGGTCGTTCGCATGGTGGTTCAATGCGCTGTGAATCGTTGCGCGTATGTGCGTCCGTTTATGAGGATGTGCATGCTACCAGTCTGGGAACCTTCCGTCCCCGCAACTCTCAATTTGCTGACCGATTGTTCCATGCGGGGGCGCTCTCTTTCTACAGGTGTTTTCGCAGCTGGTGACGTGCAGGACAAGAAGTGGCGACAAGCCATTACTGCGGCTGGGTCGGGTTGCATGGCAGCGCTGGAGGTGGGTCACGGGCGATATGGCACTTGGGAGTTTAGCAATAAAGTAAAACAGGAACCAGTCAAGCGGAGCCGGGAGATATTGATACGTATGTACGACAGTGAGCGCCTGATGCGGGCTGGATTCTATCCGGCTGCTTGCGTACCCGGGAAGCAACCCGGGGGCATCCAAGCTCCGATTCGCCTGCTTCATCGTGTGCGAAGGGAGCGTTTATCGTTGGATTGTCGGTCAAAACACTTTTTACTGGCGTTGGCTGAAGCCATGGCCCTGGTTCCTGAATTCGTAGACGTGCTATGCCATGATACGTACAGTGTCGAGGAAAATAGGCAGCGAATGCGTTAAGGATCCATGTACGTGAGGTCCTTGAGGTCTCCTGGGGGATTTCTCCCGTTTCTGCGGTGTGTTCCTGGTGCATATCCTCTTTGCTTTGCTTGCAGGCGGAGCACTTCATTTCCGCGCACCCACTTCCGGATGGGGAGGGCGAAGCGGCTGCTGTTGCCGAGACAAACGGCAAGCTGTGAAGGGCCCTTTTGGAGCCCCGTGGAAAGCAGCAGCGACCCAGCCAGGTCGTGTTTTCCTGCTTTCAACGCGCCGGGACAAAACATAGGACTGGGCGGTAACTGATCTTCCGTCGCAGCCTCTCGTATTAGCCGTGCTCCTCTTCCTCCTCTGAGGCTGCTCAGGGTTGGCCGCTGAGGAGGCAGCGTAAGGCTGCGGCGTTTGGGCCAGTTAACTGAGCAGCCGGAGGATTAGTCGTCTGAAGTGCTGTTTAGTCATGGCTTAGTCGACAAGGGGACCTATGCTGTTGAAATTGAAATTTGATTCCTGAATACTAAAAGCCTGAGTGGTGAAGCGCAAACCTGGGACCGCTGGCCCCCCCCCCCCGCGGGTGTGATGATCGCACAACAGCGGCAGATGTCACGTGATAAGGTCCAGCGGCTGAGTAAAGGTTAAAAAACAGGCTGGGTTTGCCATTGGCGACAGCGATGTGCCATCGTCGCCACCGTTGCAGCTGGCCTCGTCGTCGCTCATCGTTTTGCAGCAGGAGATGCGATTACGGCTTCCGTCGAGATATTTGTCGCGCGCTCTCCTTGAAATCTGTAGCAGCATGGCGCAAAGGCTTTTGTGCTCGAGATCCTGTCAGGGATCCCCTTTCAATTTTTTGGCGGGTTTGCCTGTCTAAGCTGTCTGCTGCTACTTTGGAGCTCGATTGTCCTTGATCGATCTGACAGCTTATATAGACTCAGTTTCTATGGGTCGTGTCGGTTTTGGTACCCCGGGTTGCGGTCGTAGCTAGTGCTGCTACTCCAGTGGCTGAAGGGCTCTTGTGCCTAGTGGTGGGTTTCTGCGCACATTGCGTCTAGATATTCCTGACGAATGTCTGTGTAGGTGTGCTGTTAACCGCCAGGTCCCTGTAGGGGTAGGGGTTAAAAGGAGGGCTCGCTGCCCATTGCCCCAAAGCGGAAGCTGGGAATCAAGAGCTAAAAAGGGTCAGTATTGAGGGCGGTAGTGTGCGCGTTGTTTCCGCGGTAATGCCCTTGACCTTCCACAATTTTCGTCGGTGGATGCCGTTTCGTCGGATATAAAACCGAGCAAAAAACCTCATGCCAGTAGGTTAGCTGTGCGGCTACACTGGTACGACCCAATCTTAATTATTCGTACGGCATAACTTGGGGACGTTTCCTCCAGGTCATTGGTTGGGTCGTACACTGGAGAGTGCCAAATGTCCTTCGCATGCGCGCTGCAATTTTTATGCCGAACAAAGACGTGTTGCACGCAATTCTTTTGGGGCCATAAATTAACATAGACGCCGTACCCCTCAGGTACGGAGTCCTCTAGGAGGTCAAAGAGTGGTACACCAGGATAAAGCGAGGAAATGGCTAAGCGCTAGGCTTTGGGGACTGATGGCTGGGTGTTAACACAAGCATGATGCAAATGATTTCTTCCTTAACATTCTTTTCTTGTTATGGTTGCATGAATAAGATAAAGCCCGGACGATTTCCGTTTTCCCGTCTGCTGGTCTGTGGTTTTGTGTGAGGGTTGAGCGATGGCTAGCCGACTGTAGCAGATCACATGCAAGACAACTTGTTAATGTTACTTTTCCGTCCTGTTACACATCCCTGATTTTCTCTGGTTTAGGTGGATCGGCACCATACATGGATACGCACAAACAAATGAAGCAATGAAGCATTCAATCTTACATCTCCATTTAAAAATATAACTACGCTCACCATATTTGCCTTAAAACATGCTTATTAAAGTCACTAAGTATCTCATATATGGCATGTAAAAAACACACAGCATATTGTCATATCATGTCACATTATATATCCTCTATACATATTCCTTAATGCATGGCACAATAACGTAAGCACATTATGCTTGACAAATGCCACCTGCACCAGGCAGCCTATCCAATCGGCGGTGGCGCAGGCACAGGTGGCTCTCTTGGCGCTGCAGGAGGGCGTTCCGGAGTCCGTATATATCCGCATCGATATCCATCTTCACTGGTCCAAAATCCAGGCATAGGCTCACCCAGCGCCGCCTCCGCCATCCCCCATACCACGTCGTCAAGTCCCGCCAGCAGTGCTCCGTACGAGTACAATTCATTGTCGTACCGAACAGCATCTTCAACCAGGTGCTCCATCAAGGCCTCATCCGGTAGTAACGCCCCCAGCTGCGCGCCAACTTGCATATCCTGCAGCTTCTTCAGCAGCGAAGATGAATTGCGCAACTGGAACTCGGTCAGCTGGTGGCGCCAGGCCAGGCCGAAGTGAACGGCTCGGCGATGGGCGCCTTCGTCAACCTATGCCAGTAATAGAAACGAGAAACATCGAGAGGAAGCTCAGGGAGCACACAGGGTAACAGCGTGGAAGAGAGGTCATACAAGAAGGTTCAAGTGGCCAAGAAGAAGGGAACAGGAGTAGTACACATTACAGCACAAGTGATGGGTTTTCTTTTTAAAACAAGAGGTTGTCATTAACACATTAACGGCACAGGAAATGCGTAAATGCACTTGCACGCGCCTGGATAGGATTGGAATTCTTGTAGATTCCCTTCAAGTTTACGCGACGCACAAGAATACGAATGTCTACATGACACCATCCCGCGTTCAGCGAATCGCAAGCTTATGCAGTTTAGGCTTTGCTGTTGGGCATTAGCGGCTAACAGAGCGTGCAAGGGACGGCGTTATATACCTAGGGAGGAGCGAGTATGCCCCTGCTGCGGCACTGATACCCATATTGAAGGTGAGAAGCACATTTTGTTGCACTGCCCGGTGTACGACAAAATCAGATCTGATATGGATTTCCCACGCTTCGAGCATATGAAGGACGCTATGAAGTGGAAACCTCTGAACGTCTGGCAAGGATGCTGGAATGTATATGGTCCCACCGCAACTCTATCGTTCCCTTTGGTCGTTAGTATCCTTTATCATTTGCTTTATCTGAAGTGCAAAGTCGGATGGTGCTTATCTGGCAGCCCTTGAGCCCTCGTTTCGTATTGGGCGGTTTGCAGGCACGGGGAATGTACCCCACAACCATGTAACACACATACACACACACGAACACACACGAACACGACACCAACGTGTATAAAACTCTTTTGCGGAATGAGAGAAGGTCCGCAAGCCTGAAACCAACACAGGATGAATACTACTTAGGTTCCAAAAACACAACAGCTTACTTAGCATTATGCCGTACCTCCAGGACCAATATCGAGTCGTACTGTGCCAGCACAGCCTTTGCAAGCATCATATACGACGCAGCGCCTTTTTCCAGGCTCTCGTACGACATTGCAAAGACAGCCTCTCCGCCCAGCGATCGCAGCATATAATTGTCAAATAGCGCCGGAACAAACGCCCGCCACCACTCCGCCGAGTTGCGACCTGGCGCAAACGCCTTCGCGATGCCCGGCCACTTGTACATGGTGCCGTACGTTTGGGCGATAAACTTGAGGTGGGACATGAAGCGCTCCGCGGGGTCCCTGAGCGTTCCAGCCAGTAAGTTAGTTGGTAGTAAGTAAAGTGGTAGTAAGTTAGCTGGTAGTAAGTTAGGCCAGTCAGTTAGCAAATCTACCCTATAACCAATAGGTTATCAGGTTTTGGGTTTCCGGGATCGCCCCGCAGTGAGTCATCGATCAAATCTGGGTGTCTGACCTAAGTCCTAGAATGACAGATTCCAGGGGTGGTCCGAAAACATGGAAACAAACAACACATTTTTTGTAACGAAATCGGGTCATCTGATCATCATATCCGTGTCGTGGTTGAGAAGAATGGCGATTAGGGTAGATGATGATAAGCGGAATCCGCCAAAATGATTCGATTAGGGGAAACGGACCCTCGGGAGAAAGAGCAACGCGGCTCGTAACCGAGCGTAGCCGTGAACGCAAGTCGTCACCCCCCTCCTTCCCCATGGACCTCCTCTTTGGACCTATCGCCGCCAGTACAAACTTTAACAACATAAACATCCACCCTCCAGCAAGCCTTGCTTTCCCTCCCGCCCAATCAGCAGCCCCCCAGCACCCACCTCAACACGATCACGTTGGCAAAGAAAGGGCACAGCTGCGCGCCTCTCAGGATGACGGAAACCTTTTTGCTGCTGCTCCTGCTCCTGCTACTACTGCTGATGCGGCCACTTGGACTGCTACGGCTAAGGATGCTGCTGCTGCTGCTGCTGCTGCCACTCCTGCTGCTATACCTGTATGTGCTGCTTCCTAAGGTGCTGCTGCTGCTGCTGCTGCTGCCAGTTCTACTGCGGCTGCTACTGCTGGTGCTCAGGACGCTCCTGCGGCCACGAGCTGCTCCGAAACCCGTGCCCAACCCCTTCCCTCCTCCACCACCCCCTGGTACACCTGCCGCCGTCGTTGCAGCCAAGGTCAGCTCCGATACGAAGCTCCGGTAGCGCTCCGCAATTTCTTCGAGTATAACTGACTGCGGCGGCGCTGGCGGCGACGGCGGTGAAGGTGGAGCGCGCGGCGATGGCGGTGAAGGCGGAACATCGTCATCTGTGCTTGCGTCGGCAGACAGAGCATCCCCGGTCGCCTCATTGAGGACAGGCTCCTCGTACATTGTTCGGTCGTTGTAAATGGTGTACTGCAGTACGGCATGGTACAGCAAACCGGACAGTCGAAGTCCCGGAACGTACTACAGGATAGCGCTTCCATTCCAAGCCCAACCGCGAAGCTTGCCAACAGGTCCCGGCGCGGATTTGATCTTTTCCTCAACCCTGGGAAGGAAGGGGCTCCTAGTCCGGTGCTTGGGAAGTTGCTTCCCTGATTTGCAAACCCTACCTTGTCGAGTGTTCACCCTCGCCCTCCTCTCCAACCCCACAAGGCTTCCCTGGACTGCACAAAGTAAAACCTGTCCGGCCAAATACCCAGCGCAACCCGTGCCAGTCCTTCCCCTGCCCCAATCCAGAACTACTTCTCTCAACTGACAACACCAACCCAACCTAACCTCACAAAACCCTAAAACCCTAACCTCACAACCGACTCCCATCTTTTCCAAGTCTACCAGTTCTACCTCATTGGCGAAGAAGTTGAGTCGGTACTTCTCCAGCGCCGCCAGCCGAGCGGAGCAGGTGCGTTTTCGTTTGGGATGTCGGGGCACGCCGTAAAGCAGGAAGGCGCTGCACAAACGGGAACACGCGGCAAACGTTTTCTTATCTTAGGAGGCAGGCAGGCAGGCAGGCAGGCAGGCAGGCAGGCAGGCAGGCAGGCAAAGGGGCAGTATCATGTGTGTGGGGGGGGGAGGGGGGGGGAGTGTGGCGGGCAATATAGTTAAAAAGTTGCAAACTGCTCGAGTACAAAGCAATGACGCACAAATTTTGCGCGAAACTTTGCGCGTCGTGGGGGAGAGAAAGAAATCAGGCGGGTCGACAGGGTGTATTGCGATATTGTGGTGCGTTGTTGCGATGCGTTGCGTTACACTGTGTTGTATTGGGGTGTTGTGGGCTGCGCCGGTGCGGGGTGCGACTCACTAGGGGTGCGATCCCCAGGGTTCCGCAGCCGGTGCGATGAGCGTCCAGTGGTGGGTGCCGTTGATCCAGCGGGGCTGGTCGTCAAAGTCCCGCATGATGCACGTGCGACCCATGCTGAAGTCCTGGGCGCGACAGCCGGAGACCTCTGGGGGGATCAGCGGATCAGCGGGTCGCGTGACGGACCAATACACCAGCACCAGCAGCACCAGCAGCACCAGCAAGACACCACAAGAGCAGTGGCGGCGACGACGACGGAGGAGGGGACGAGAGGGCCAACGGGCGATGACGTGATGGCAAAAGCGGCAGCGGTAAACACACACAGACACGCACACAAACACGCACAAATGGCACCGGAACTGCAGTCATGCGGGTGAGGGCGTACCGTCAGTACCCCCTCCTGTGTCACCTCATAGGGTGGTGGTGTGAGGCGGGGGGGAGGTGCAAAGAAAGACCAGCGGGAGCAAACCGGAATAACAGGTCCACCTTCAGATCCAGACCCTTGGCACGAGCCTGGGTTCAGGCTGAGGCATTTTTTTATTATTATTATCATTACTATTATTATTATTATTATCATTACTACTATTATTATTATTATTACTTTCATATTTTCTGTCAGGTCTTGCATCTTTCATCAGCTCTGTATCACGGCCCCAATCCCATCCTCCCACCTGCCAGGCGGCACATGCTGGTCCCGGCGGCTTTGCTGACGTGCAGGAACTCCAAGCCTGGCCGGGAGCGCATGCCGCCCCGATGAAGTCGAAACAGCTACGTACGGGAGATAGATATTCACAACAAACATCACAACGAATATCACGAACATGGACAGAATTGGCGTAGGGGCCTCTGCCAGGACTGACATAATGGTATAGAGGTGTGTAAAGAGGTGTCAAAAGAAGTGCCAAAACAAGCCGGAAAAGGCAGGCGGAGGTCAGGGTATGGGAGTTATTGAGATAAAAAATGATGGGTGCAGGAAGAAGAACAGGATGAGCGCTGCCGGCCAACAAGCTCTCCGTGCTACGCTGCCTGTAAGTCTTTTGCATGCGTGCCGCCTTTGCAGGATGGCGTTGGAGATGTGCTGGGGAGGTGGCGACTCAGGCGGAAAGCGAAGAATGGTGAGTGGGAGAGGTGAAAGTACGTACGTGCAAAAAGTCACGAAAAACAAACTGCCAACCGCTAACTGCCAACCGCTAACTGCCAACTGAAGGGAGAGGGATATCCTAACTCCTACCCCTACGGGAAGAGGGTTTGCAGATCGGGGGCATATTGGAGGGCGAGGGGGGCGGGTGGGAGGGCGCATGAACGTGAAAGGAAGGGAGTAGTATGTTCAAAAGCTCTTACTAGGCGAGGAAGGCGCAGGGCTGGTGCAGACGGAACGACATATTTGCATGAGGATGAAGAGAATGTAAGACGCGCGTCTATGTCCTTTTTGTCTAATTAATTTTAAGAGAGCTTCACACAAGTAATCAAATGTATATATACATGGCCCAGAAGCCATACACTCCGTAACGCTCCACATTTTTTTTGTAATGTTACAGAGTGGGAGGCTTCTGGGCCGCTTTATCACATTGTCAGTTCTACGATCATTTATCACCTTATAGCACCATCCACCACTACCACACTGTACTTCGCCATACGAACTGTTAGTCCAAGGCGGCGGGTCCAGCCTTTAGGGACCCCTCCTCATCCATTCACCCGAACACCCGAAGAGACAGAGGGTTCGGCAATTGCCACCAATCCAGCGTGCGAATCTGGTCCATCAACTGTGACCTCAACTCCACATCTCAGCAGCTAGCCATAATCTCGCGCTCCCGATTAATTCGGGGGTCTCCCCAGGAATCGAACCCAGGACCTTGAACCGCTAAACAAGCCAACGTGCACAGCGGGCAGCAATGTCGGGCGAACTGGATCCCGGAATGCCCGGCAGCAGTCCTGTGTTGTATCCTGCAACTGCCTTAACAAAGAAAAACTGATGGCGAGCTGATGTCACCGGCCAGCATCAGCCAGGATACGTACATACATGTACACAGAGTAACACTACAGCATGACACAGATTTGCGAGCACCAGAACTTGAACTGTTTCCCTTGGGGCTAACATCCAAGCACTAAAAACACCCAGACCTTCCCACACGCTGGAGAAAAGTAGTAACTATATGCAGTTACCGCCAGCACGCAGTACCCTCATCATATCACCCACCATTAGCAAAGTACGCGCCACATCGCGCCACATCGCTGTCGACGCTGAGGCCGAGGATTTGGGATCCAAGCCCGAGCCAGATCCAAGCCCGAGCCCGGACGCGGAAATGGATCCAGATCTGTCCGTACCGTTGTACGACCGAAGGTGTACCAGCCACAGCTGTGTCAGCCGTGCAACGGTGGCGCGGCGGAGCAGCGGGTAGCTCCGTTCCGGAAGTAAACCTGAAGCCTGGTCAAAGTCAACATGAGGTGTGGAACTGAAACTGCCAAAGTCTGAATCTGGATCCGCATCTGTACTGCGGCTGTGAGCAGCTTGGCCGCCCAGCAAGCTGTAGACTCCCAGCTGGGAAGGAGATGGGGAAAAATGGGATTTTTTGGACGGCATCACAAAGTGGTTGGGGGGTCAACGCAAAGAGGAGAGCTACTTTACTCGCAGGAAGAGAAGTGCTTGTTATGATAGGGGTTCGTGACTTCAGGTTGGTGGAGTGCGTTGTCCTGGCTGTTGCGGCCTGGCTGTCTGTGTAAATGTGGTCGCCAAACGACCCGTGGTTCGGTACTCGAACTCTCGCGCACCGCCATAACGCGCCTGGATGGCGACCCACACCTACCAGAATACTTCGCAGTAGCTTTGCCGCGTCTTGCTGTTTAGCTGGGACGCGCTTTTTCAGCGCAGTCAACAGTGGAGCCGTTAAGGGATCCTCCAGCTCAGGTACGTGCGCGAGGCCAAGGTAGGACCGCGCAGTTAGTAAGGAAAGTACAAAGTTGTCCAGAGCTTTGAGCACGTCGCGAAGCTTTATAGCATCAGCGTCAGCATCCTGCAGCCCGTCGCCGTGGCGATGGGTTTGCACCAGTAGATGTAGCACCGACAGGAAGCGCTGATCCAAGGGCGGTAAGTCATGATTGTGTTCCGATTCCCGCTCATCATTTCGTTTCAGCGTGCGTGCGCCTACTTGCGTTGTGTCGATGGACAATACTAGCCGATGCAACAGAATCCAGAGAAAACCCGCGGTGATGAAGCAGCGCATTACAGTGTGTAAACATGTCAGGAGTAACCCAAATTATGTATAATTTTGGCAAGGGGGCTGGCGCTCTCCGGCACCCAGTTCTTGGAGGTGCTATCTCAATTATAGGAATTGATTAATTGACGATCTAAGCATCCCATATCGATGCTGTTTTTCCATCAACCTTTGGAAGGGAAAGGGATGGGCGGTTGGTTTGCACATGACAGCATCGTTGGGTCCGGTTTCGTTTCTCGTATATCGGGCAAGGGAAGCTCTTTCCACCTTTCCAGTTTACCAAATCCTGCTATTTGTACAAACACACATATAGTTGACCCTATTTGCTGCATCGGTCTTGCAGTTAAAAGTCCTTGTCCGAACATATGACCTGAAAAGCCTTGAGTAAAGCGCGCAGCAAGGAGGCTGTTGGCTTCTAGCTCAAGTCTCTTTTGTCTTAAGGTTGGCATATCTTAGCTTGCATTCGTCTGAGCCAGCAGTGGTTGGGCCCTGTCTCGGTGTTTTCTGCAGTTAATAGATTTTGCCGCGCTCCTGCGCCGCCTGTAGTCATGCCATGCCGGAAGTGCCTGGCTTGCACAGCCTTATCCTTTCCACGAGCCTCTGCCACAGCTTAGTGGCAGTCCAACTCCCGAAACTTTTGCCCGTTCCGACTCGCACGAACCCTCATGCGTCGCAGGATGGCTCCACGTCGACTCCTCTTTTGCCTGGATGAATCAAAACAGAGCGTCCGAGCTCTGGAATGGACGCTTCTGCACCTGCGTCGGGCATCCGATGAGCTCCATTTAGTGACCGTGTTGCCGCCCCTGATATACAACGTCTATCCAGTGGCGCCTGTGGCTACGGGAGCAGCTGTGGCAGCTGTGACACACCAGTGGGAGGCACAGCGGCGTGCTGAAGAACACCAAGCCGCAGGTGCGCGGAAGCTACAGGCTTACGGCCGCGGTGGCTTTCTCATTGAAAATAAATACAACTTGCACCCCAAACCCCCAACCCCGTCCCCCCTTGCACGTCTCCCTTTGAACCTCCCCCATTTGCAGAGGTGCTTAAAGCCGCTGTGGACCTGGTATGCACTCAGCACAACAAGGCAAGAAGGGGGCCCTGCCTCGGGGCCATGCATGGTATTTCTCTCGTTGGGATGCTCAAGGACTGCTTTTATCGTTCAGGCGGAGCGCTGGCAGACCCTCAGACTCGGCGGGGAGGGGGGAGATTATGACATGGCGCTAAAGTATCATGACGAAATGTTTTAAGATGGTTCCCCCATCCACTCCTCCTCACACCCCGCGATGCTCGCACCCCATCAGGTTCCCCGGGACCTGGTCCACACGAAGGCACTGCCAGCTGCCGGGGGAGCCTCAGGTATTTGGGTGGGCTGGGGGTTTGGGGGGAAGGGGGAGGTTGGATTGCAGTACGAAATTGCATTGCTAATAGAGCTGTAAAGGTCCGAAAGGGGAAATTGTTAGTTGGTGACACGGCAAAGCTTGGTTGGGTTCTCTCCGAAAGCTGCTGAGACATGGAAAATTGACCCCCAACGGGACACGGGATATAATCCACTAAAGTGTAAGACGGAGATGCACAAGTATTATACCTTCTGTATGTATGTGCGCGGATGGGCGTGGCGAGCTGGTGGGTGTCAGGTATGTGATAAGGTGAATGGGAGTTGGAGGCAGTTCGACCTGTCGCCCCGTCACGTATGGCCATGACCCATACTGCTGCTCGCAGCTGCGGTTACATGCAGCACAGGGACATGGACACACAGAAACTGATTGCGGAAACAGGCAATACGTGGCCCATTTCACGCCGTACATGTTTCGTACCACCGTTCCTCACAGGGGTCGCCGAAAGCCTGGTGGAATACGCCAGGACGTATATGATTGATCTGGCGGTGGTGGGCTGCAGGTACGGCAAGGGTTTGTACGACAGTCAAGATTGCTAGTATAATAGCGATTATAAGAGTAAAGGCTGCAATTTTGGTGCTGTCGCTCTTCCAGTTCCCTCGCCTGCGCTATCGCTTACGACAGACGATTGATTGTCTGTCTGTTTGGGTGGCTGAACGTGTGGGTGAGGTGTGTATTTCTGATGAATGTATTGCCAAGACCGAAAGGATATATGCAAGGGCTGCTGCAATCAAGGCCAAGTCGACTGGGAGGGGAGCTTTCCCGGGGGCTCCTGTCCATTGACTCCGACCTCTGGTGGTGTGGCTTTTGGCAGTTCCCTTGGCAAAGCTGAACGAGGTTGCACCTTTATGACAGTGTATCCGACCAGTTTACCGAATCAGTGGATCCGATTCTGGATCTAGCAGTGGATTCAACCGAATCGTCTTGCCAAGTGCAGGGCCGTGACGCAAAACCTTTCCCGCAAACTATCCTCTCTGCATCCGCACGTTTATTTCCATTCGGCCCCGTCGCGCATTGCTGCATGCTGGATGCTGCATGCTTGGCTTTGGGGGGCTCCCCGGCAACGGTCCGTTGATTCCTAATCCTATTTACCTTGCACCTCGGATTGCGCCCTGCTCCGCCCCCTTCCTGCCCCCCATCCCAACGCCCACCCCCTTACAACTCGCTGTGGCGGTGGGCTCACTGGTTGATCGCCTGATCGACATCATTGTCCTGGCTGACTGGCTGGCAGAGGCATGGGCGCCATTCAAAGGTACGGCATACGGAGATCCCGTTGCTTCTGGGTTTGCGCGTTCCTTACCCTCCCCCACCCACCACCTTTGCAGATCGGTTCTGTGAAGACGTTCTTTTGGGTTTCGTCTAGCTCCGATCCTTTCTCTCTCTCTCTCTCCCCTTCTCACACACACACACACCAACGCACGTATGTTCTCTCCCTTCCGCTCTCTCTGACCTTATTGTCAATGACCTTTTGGTCTATCTTTACTTAAGTAAACGCTCTTTCCCCGCCTGTTACATTACCTGGGAATCTACTTGGCTTGCTCGCTTTCCCCCCTCAATGCATGAATGCATGCTGTTACAGTTGGCTCCTACGACCACCAGCTATCAACGGGTTTCGTTTATAATGCATACATCTCATGACCCTCCCAAGAGTGTAGGAGCCCCCGAGCCGTAAACCAACCTAGAAAAACCGAGCGACTACCGACCGACCAAATGCTATGTTGCGATGTCATGTTGCAATGCTGCGATATTACTGTATGATGTCAAGAAGGTGTTGTGTGGTCTGATCATGGCGTCTGTGTGTCCTCAGGTCGCTGATGTCGTTCATCGGTTTGGGCAGTGTGAGCGACCACAGCTGTCACCACATGCCGTGCCCCACGCTGGTGGTGCGGGGAGAGGAGGCAGTGCTGACCAGGGGCCTTATGCAGGCGGATGAGGCCCACCCGCCACAGAGCGCACAGGTACGTATGTGAGTGTAGGGGGGTGAAGGAGGGAGGACCCGTGGGTCGGTTGTGGTCGGAGAAAGCGCGGGGGGGGCAGAGAGGCCAGAGGGCAAGAAGGGAAAGGAGAGGAGCGAGGGGCCTGGGATGAGACAGCGGACGAAGGAGGAGAAGAGGAGGAGAGGTAAGAGAGGAGCGAGGGTTAAAAGGAAGGGGTTGAAAGGGATAAATGAAGGTTCAGGTTTAAGGGGGGGGACCTAATCTTAGGTCGTCATCGTGAGCTGGCGGCAAGACTCCGGCCTAGCTAGCCCGCGAGCTCGTTAGCTTGCTGTCCCCCCTCGCCCCCCTCATGAGCCCGCGTGTCCTCCAGGTGTGTGTGTGTGTGTGTGTGTGTGTGTTGCCACTTCCCACTTGGCCCCTGACATCCCTCCCTTCTCCCTCTCCCCCCCCCCCGGACCCTACCACAGCCCAAGCGCATCATGGTGTGCTGCGACGACTCCCCTCACGCCCATGCCGCCCTGCTGTGGGCGCTGGACAACACCCTGCTGCCGAACGACCATCTGGTGCTGGCGGCTGTGGCGGTGCCCGTACCCTTCCCGGTAATGGCGGTGGGGGGGGAGGGGCTGGTAAGGCTCGGAAGCTTGCCTTTACCTTCGCAAAAGGTTCTTAGGGTTCCTTGGTCCCTTCCCTGATAGGACGGGGTTCTGGGTGGGGGCGACAGCGAAATGGCCTTGTGTAAGCATACGTGCCTTAGGTATATGTATACGCTGCTGGCTGTAGGCTTAAATCGTGCAGTTCATGTTTAGCTGTTGCTATACGCATACACGTTTTCGCGCATAATTTTTTTACCGGCAAGCCTCTCTGTGAGAAAGGCGGCAGGCCGTCGGGAAGGTGTCTGGAAGAGAAGTCGAGGAGATGGGGTAGCCGGACGCGGACTAGGACTGAAAGCCTAAGAGCACGCACATACACAGATACATACACACGTACAAACACGTCCTCCCGCAGAAATCCTCGGGGGTATGGGAACAGGAGGGAAGGGAAGGGGTTTGTAAGAATGGGGATTTCAGTGAGGCAGGTTGGGGATAGTGCGCTAGCGGTCGATACACTCGTCGAAAGAGGCGGCGTCTAGGTAGTGGCGGGTGCAGGGACCAGGACGACGATAGGTGTCTGTACGACGGCCCAGAATACCAGTACGACAACCGCTCTCCACAGCGGCGCTCTCCTTACACTTTCACGTTCCAGCTCCTTTCGTCAGCCCTGGCTCGGTCCCCCCTCCACTTTCTGCGGCATGTTTTTACACGCTTTCTAACTGTTACCTTAAATTTGTTTACGTATCACACGTATACGTATGCACACGTACAGATTCTGGACGAGCCCGCTGCGGTGGCGGCCATGCAGTCGGCACAGTACCGCGAAGCGGCGGAAGCGGCAACTGCGGCGGCGCAGGACGTGGCGGAGCGCTGCGCGGCGGCTGCTCAGCGTCGCGGTGTCGGCAAGACCAAGATCACCACGGTGGCGCTGCCGCCAGGATCCTCTTCGGGGGATGTGGGCGCGGCGCTGTGCAAGCACGCCAAGGTGTGTTTCGCAAACATATGTCTGTACGTACGTATGTACATACATGTGTATTTACATGTCTATATGCGCGACGCCGCGGTAAGGTTTCCTGTATGCGATCTTCGTCGTGGACATTATATTGACTACCTCGTACAAGAATGTACAAGAACCTGGGTGGATGTGAACTCTTGAGACTCCCATCTGGAGCTCATCTCATGTTCCCGCCAAATCATCAATCTGCCCTTGGCATCAGCTTCAGGACCCTTTACTACACTTCCGCCCTCCCCACTCCCTCCGTCGTCAGTTGATTTCCTGCTTCTGCATCAATCTCCCTCCTCACCTCGCTAATTTCTCGCCCCATTCTTCCCCGCCTTCCTTCCTGCAACTGCTTCCTCAGTCTGAGGGAGTCGACTTGATGGTGGCCGGCAGTCGCGGCATGGGCGCCATCACCCGCAGCCTTCTGGGCCTCGTGGGAATGGGCTCCGTATCCGACTACCTGGCCCACAGCTCCCCATGCCCACTGGTAGTGGTCAAGGGCGTGGCGGCAGGCGGCGACGACGGGTCCGTGATGGTGGCGGGGCGACATGGCGACGGGCTGGCGGCAGGGCACGGAAGCGGTCCGGCGGGTCTGGCACCCATGGGCTCCACATTGCGGCCCATTACGGAGGGAGACGGAAGCGAGGCCAGCAGCATGCAGTAAAAGTAGCTCTGCTGCAGTAGCGCAGTGCCTTTACGACTGTAGCTGTGCGTGCTTCTGCTGGGGTTTGGGTTCAGCCTGGTTTCTGCGGGGTTTTTGATTATGATCGGTTTAGGAGGGGGATTGGGAATCAGCTGACCATCAGCGGGACTATGTCGAGTTGTGTGAACTCCAGGCTGGGGAGGTTTTTAGGGTTTCATGTGCGGAGTGTTGGTGCGGCTTGCAAGGGCTACGTTGGTGGTGGTAATGGCGGTGACGGTGCTAAGTTGTTTTGGCAGTTGGAATGGCAGAGGACAGGCAGTGGTGCTGCGGTCTTGTGCTGCGAAAGGAAGGGAACCTGGACAGAGAGCGCAGCAGAGCACAAGGGAGAGAAAGAGATAGAAAGCCCGATTGAGTGGTGATACTATGCTCGGCTCCATCTCTCTGTCCCTTCCTCCTCCGTCAGAGCTTCACTAGTTGCAGGCAGCTGATGCTTGCGTGTTGACAAAGGATTTTCCCATTTTATCCTCAAAACTGTTTGAGAATCCCCTCCTTCTGGGCTCGCGACAGCTTTCGAGGAGTACCCGGCAGGTTGTGGTGAGGTAGGGGGAACGGCCTCCGGTGCATAGAAGTTTGGCGCCTTACCCTACTGGCTATGATTGTAAAACTATAGCGCCTGGTCTAGCCTGGTCTAGCCTGCTCAGCTCGCGGGGAGGGGCGGGTGGTGAAAGACCTGCCTGGTGTTCTCGGTGAGGTCATCCTTGCCAGCACTGCCAACCAACACAACCACCAACGGGTACGGCATGATGTTGGACTCGATTGGCAGGGAGATTAACTGGAGGGGAGGCTTTGCTCTGGAGGCGCGGAAGCTTAAAGACGGCGGTTCGGGTCAGTGGTCTTGTGACCGAGGCCGGGGGAGGGGAGAGAGGAGGAGGGGAAATGGGATCAGGGCGGAGGGCAGTAGCGCCCACGGGGACCCGTGAGACCATGGCAGCGACCCCTTGAACCTGTCCCATTGTGGCGACAGACAGACGAACAGAAAGACGGACGGAAACCTCGTACCGGGGTTTGTGCGGAGCGGTTGGGTTACGTTCGAGGCCATTTGGACCTAGGACACCGCTGGGAGTGCCCAGCCGTCACGTTGCCGCACCGTCTCACCGTTGTCGGGTTTCGTTCCATTGCCGCTGTTAAGTAGTTCTGGTAAAAGTTGGCGGATGAGGGAGGGGAGGAGATTATTGAGGCTACACATTTTAGATGGGGATGTCCAGAGGATGCGAGGAGGGAAGTAAAGCTTGGCAGAAAGGGCTGGTTCACATCTCAGGAGGCGCCAGTGCGCGGCGTGGGGAGGGGAGGTCGGGCTGATGATGGTTTGGTGCGAGGTTTGGCGCGGTACTGGAGGAAGCACATGGCGGTTGGCTATGTTTGCAGGACCGTTGTATCATTTTGGTTGGTTTGTTGGTTGGTTAGCTTGCCTTGTGTGCGCCTGCTTTGCACATCATCACCGAAATTGGCGCCGGCCGTCATCTGGGTTCACACCAAACGAAAACGCTTGGAGTATCGAGGAGAAACAAAATGTGCTGCTGTTGATTTTTCGTCATGAACGCCGGCGCACAGGCGCCGTACCAGAAGCTTCCGTACATTTTCTGTTGGTAGGGCTTCAGGGGCATGGAGGAGGCGTTGCGTGTTTTATTGTCTGTTGGTGCGCCTGTAAGGTGTGTGTGCGGGGTACCAGGCTCCTTTCCCTTTGATACCCGTGTGCCGTGTCCCCGCCTACACTGCAGCTCCACCTTTAATAGCGGCGTGTATAACACCTGAGCTGTGTACCACAATACCGTATCTGAAGGTCATTGGTTGAGGCATGCTCTCCTCAGCATGGGCAGAGGGCAATGCTGGCGTATCCCATCGTAATAAATGTTTTCACCATGCGTGGAGCGAGGCTCCGAGAGTGGCTTGGTGCAGCGGACTATTGCACACATCTAATTTAGCTCCTTGCGCGTGTGGGTGTTGAATAAGCTGAATGGGCTGAACATGCCCGTGTCCTGCACGGATGGGTTGTGTGTGTCCTGCGGTGGCATGCCTGAACGTTGGAAGATGTTCCACCTAGATAGAGCTTAAGCAGCTTACACACACTATTGTTGGCTGGGAGCTGCTGCTAGTAGGGGGACTCCATGGCTTAAGTCGGATATGTAACCCACCCACGGATATGTAACATGCATCGTTTTGAATGACCGATCCTCGCGAACAGAGAGGGCCGTTGTGCGCACCGAATCTGGGAGAGCTCAGCCCTCGCTGCCGGATAGCGGGCCATAAGGTGTCACGCTCATTTGCGGGGCGATAGTGGCTTAAGGCATATAATCGGCAGGAGAGGCTGTATCGAGCTTGCCCGAATGTAATTTACAACTTCATTTACGTGAATGCACCGCAGGCTGCTGCCTGAACACAAGAGAGAAAGGCGAGCTAAGTCTGTGACCTACGGGTCGTCGGCTTCGGAGCGCACTTGTATTCATGGCGCCTGGCTACCATCGGAAACGAAGCCATGACATTTTCTTCCCATAGTATGCGTACAACGACCTCGTCTGGCTTTGCATTGCACAAGTCCTGGGCCACTAATTTTGCAATCTCGCGTGGAACAAGCACATCCAGCTTTTTGCAACACTCCCAATAGATAATGCTATGTTTTCATCATGTAAATAAGGGACCGATATGATCTGTTCTTTGAAGTCCGACATGATGACAAGGAGCCTTAGGTGCCTAGGCCACGCTAATGGCCTACGATGATATTTCATGCATATATCACGCTGCTGCCTCCTGTCATGCTGCTCGCATGGTTCAGGACTTCCGCACCGTGCAAATTGTCAGGTGGGATCTAGGTCCGGGCCCAATTGCAATGATATAGGTTTTTATAATAATGTTAGTATTTACAAGTATTGGTCTTGCGGCGTCAGCGCCTCGTCAACCATGGCACCACACAAATAGTAGTGGTCAGGCCAAGGCCGCAACGCTAAATCCAACAGCCGCTGCCGGAACCATAAAGACGCATGTTCTATCTGCGGAATAGGTGATTACCCTGTTGCCGATGCTCGGAACATCTCCCCGCGACATTGCCCTTTTGCCGCAACCCACAGGCCCTGGCTGCACCCTACCAAAGGTCAGCAGTTCCCCGCCTCAGCCCTTGCGCTCATGAGCCACTGACCCAGCCTACATCATGCACTTTGTGCGGGAGTTTCCAATGGCAGTGCGGCCACCGTCACGGGTACCATTGCCGCGGTGGGCTCGCTGCAGTGACGGCAGCCAATCGCAACACCGCCGCCTCGGTAACTGCGCAGAGTGACGGAACTGCCGACGGTGCCCGACGGATGTCAGCTTCCTTCTTCAGCTCGCCGGGGATCATGAGACGCGATCTCACGCTGTCCCCTGAGTCATACAGTTCGCACGGAGGCGTGACGGCGACGCCGGGGGAGCTGCAACTCCATCCACCGCGACAGCGGCAGCAGCTCCACCCGCCACCACTGCCGCCGCCGCCGCGGCAGCAGCAGCACCACGACCGCCACCGCCACGAGTATCGCCACAATCCACAGCATCCATTCCGGCAGCAGCAGCAGCAGCAACAGCAACAGGAAGGAGATGCGGAGCCGTCGGAGGAGGCTGTGCCGGGGTTATGTCCACGCGGGATGTCTCCTGGAGTGTTCCGGGAGCCGTTGGGGTTGAAGGGGAGTTCTCATGAACGCGAGGGGGAGCTTGCGGGAGTGAGGGGAAGTGAGGCGGGACGAGAACGGGAGCCTCTGCAAAGGGCCACATACGGCGACTACATCACAAACGACACCGGGCCGAGGGCGAGCGGGCTGCGGCCGCTTATGCCGCGGCACGCCTGGGACCCGGGGCCCCCAGGGCCGCTTCCCTCAGCACCCTCAGAGCCCTCAGAGCCACCTTGGGTGCAGTGCAGCCCAATGCCAGTGGCGCCAAACGCTGGCGTCCGGCTGTCAGAGGTGCCGGAGGTGCCTGACAGCCCTGCTAGCGGGACCGAAGCTTGCATCGCCAGCGGCCGCGACAGCGTGTCTACGGCTGCTGATGCTGATGCTGATGCGCCTGCTGCTGATGCGGATTTCGCTATGGCGGCAGCGGAAGCGAATGCGCTGCTACCGTCAGCCGCCGCGACGGCCGGCGCCGCGTTTCGCGCCGCGTTGCGGGCGTGCCGCTGCTTAGACGACTTAGAGAACCTCCTGGGCGGCCGGTTGCCTGTGTCGCCGGTTCTTCTTCTGCAGGAGCAGCAGCAGCAGCCTCCGGCAAAGTCAAAACATCAATTGCTACTGCCACTGCCCGCCGTCGACGCGCTGAACGTTCCCTGTCTGACGGCGGTTTTCAGCACTCTGCCCCGCTTACCGGAAGCCTTCAGCGTCGCAGGCCGGCGGCGGGTACGGCACCTAGTGACGACGTGCCTGTCGACGCGTGTAGTGCTGGCGGCTACTAACGGTGAGTTGGACGCTGCGGGAGCGGCTATCATGGCGGCGTCGCTGGCGACGCTGGGGCCGGATTTAATGGATGGCGACCCACGGGTCCGTGTCGCTCGCACTGACCTGCTCGACGCGCTTGCTGCGGCGGCCTTGGCGGCGTGTCGCCTACCCCTGCAGCTCACTGGCTGGAGGCAGGACGGGGCGCAGCACGCCGGCGGTCACAGCGACCTGCAAAAGCGGCGGCGGTATGGCCACAGCCCGCGGTCGTACAGCTCTCTGCTGCACGCGTTGGCGAAACTTGGCTACCGGCCGGATGACGTTTGGCTGGAGCGCTACCTCGTGGCGTCTACGCATTGGCTTCGGAGCTTCCCGCCGCGGGACCTTGCCGCGTTGGCCTGGGCGCTAGCGGTGATGCAGTATAGGCCCGGGGAAGTGTGGCTTAGCGAGCTGCTGGCGGCGTGGCCGGCGGGTCGGTACACTGTCGAGGCTCGCAGCGGCGGCGAGGGCGGCGGCGTTGACGGGGCGAGTGTTGGGCGGGCACGGACTGGGCCTGATGGCAGTGCGGCGCTGCCGCGCCGACGCGCTGACGGGCACTCGCTGTCGCTGCTGCTGTGGGCGTTGTGGCGACTCGGCGTGGCGGCACCTCCCGCCTGGCTGGACGGCGCTGTGGAGGTGTGTGCCGTACCCTCTGTCCCAACGTCGTCGTTTGGATCCGCCGCCACGCTCCGAAACCATGTTGGAACCGTGTCGCAGCCGTCGTTCGCCGCGGCCACCTGCCAGAGCCTGGCGCTGGTGTCATACAGCTTGGCGCGCATGGGCCACACGCCGTCGGCTCGTGTGCGTACGGCACTGCTGGCGGCTGCGGAGCCGCTGCTACAGCAGGGCAGCACACAGGACCTGGTGCTACTGCTGGTGGGTGTAGCGCACTGGCCGCGCGGCGGTGCCGCCACGGTGGTTTCGGAGCGGTGGCTGCAGCAGCTATGCCAAGCGCTGCGACCACGGCTGCCTGGCTGTAGCGCGCAAGCGCTCGTGTTATCGCTGTCGGCGCTGGCGCATCTGCGGTATCATCCTGGTGAAGTGTGGCTTCGCGAGCACGAGGCGTCGTTGCGGCCGTACATCGCCGGCGGCGGCCTCGACGGCCGCGCGGCGGCGCGGGTGGCGGCGGCATGGGCGCGGCTGCGGTTCCGGCCGGGGCGCAACATCGTCGATCGCCTGCTGAAAATGCTGGTGACGGCGGCGACGTCTGGTAACTTGCACGGCAGCGGCGGCGTACCGGAGCGGCGGAGATGGCTCTCAGCGCGGCTATTCGCAGATGGCCTGTACGGCATTGCGGTACTTGTGGCTGCCCGACGAACAGCAACCAACGTTGAGCATCAGCCGCCTAAACAGCCTCCGCCGGCGGCGCCGCTGCTTGCCGCCATTCATGTACGCGCGCTGCTGACGGCATCGCAGTCTCGCCTGCCGTACAGCTACCTGGATGAAGCCCTGCTACATCTGCATGCCTGGCGGCTTCTGCGGGTGTCGCCGCCGCACCAGTGGCAGGCCAACCTGACGGCTGTAGCGCGTGCTAAGCTGCACGCGACGCCGCCGAAGGTGCTGGTGGACCTGCTACAGCTACTTGCCTGGCCTGGCTGGCGGGGGTTACGACAAAATGCTCCGCCGCCGCCGCCGCCGCAGTCATCACAACTCAATGGCTACTGCCGAGAGCGGCCTGACGAGCCTGACAGCCATCCCGGACAGTGCGCGGAGTTTGCGGGCGGTTGCAGTAGCAGCGGTGACGGCGGCGGCGGTGACGGCGGGAGCTTCAGTTTGCCCGTCAGCGCGGCGCTCGTAGGGGCCATCATGGAGCGACTGACGGCAGCAGCACTGTCGGAGCTTTCTGTACGACAGTTGGCGGATCTAGCAACCGCAACGGCGGCGTTGCGGGTACGGCCCACGCGTGCCTGGCTCCGGCTCTTCCTTCAGGCTTTACAGACGCAGATTCGGTACGGCAGTGAAGCTCCAGGCCTAGATCCAGGATTCAACCCTAATCAGGATCCAAATGCGGATCTTGAAGGCTTCGATTTGTACCCTGAAGGCTTGATGCACCCCATGCTCCGCGACGGAGGCGCAGGTGGGGATTGGGGGGCCCCTGGAGCCAGGGACTTCCCCGAGGGGACTGCGGCGGATCTGCCGCCGCCGCCGCCGCCGCCGCCGCCATACCTGAGGGCCCTACGTGCAGCGGCCCACCTCGCGGCCGCTGTTGGGGATCAAGAGCTACAGCGCCTGGCGGCAGAGCTGTTGAGTACGGCCGGGTACGGGAGCTATGAGGCAGCCGCGCCGCAGCACAGTACACCGTCGTCCGACAGCGCCGATGGCGGTGCGGGTGGTGCCGCTGTTGTCGTTGGCTGCGACGGCCGGCGGCCAGCGGCGAAGCTGCTGCGTCAGCGTCGGGTTCTTATCCGCGGATGTACGTCAGTGGCTTCGGAGGCACCTCTTACCACGCAGCTAGATGTGGTTGTGGGCGCCGGTGGCCGGCCGGCGGCGGATGATGACCGAGGTGCAGCAGGCCGGGAAGGACCCCCGACGGGGACGGTGGAGGCGACGGCGACGGCGGGTCTCCCATGGCACCAGGGGGATCCCCACATAGGCGAGGTGGAGGAGGAGATTGGGCCGGAGGCACCTGAGGCGGTGCTTGCAAGGGTTGCGAAGGTGGCTTAGGAACATAAGATCTTGGTTATAATGGTGCTGCGAAGGAGCCGTACGGACTTGCTGCTTCGGCAGCGGTTTCGGAGACCTCTTTGCGGAGCTGGTTACCGCGGGGCATTTTGCATGCACCGGCATAAAGGCAAGGCAGCGTCGTCGTCGGCAGTGTGCGAACCGCAGGAGATAATTATCGCCCTCCCGGGGAGGAGCAGGGAACGCGGGACGCGGGGGAAGGGAAGGGAGGGGCCGAAAGAAGCTTGCCGTGTGATGGCGCCGGTTATGCTAGCAGGGGGCAGCAACGCTTTTGCCTTTCATTTTATCTTTATTGACCGCACGTGCAACTGTCTTTTAGGGTGGACCCGGCGATGTGGGAAGCAACTGTTGTGAATGGGTGTGCTCCTATGTCTTGACGCTCTCGGCGTGTGTGTTTTTTATGTCGTACATGTGACAGGTATATGTGCTGTGCCGTCCTTTGCACAGGCCATGCAGCAGCAGCTGCTTGCCGGGGGGAAACGGCGCGGGTTCGTGGAGATGTCGTACACATCGGGTTCCCGTCGCGGCTGACCACGTGGTCATAAGGTTACAACGGTGCCGTACTAACCGCAGCACCGGTGTGACACCGGCGGTGTTCGTGCACGTGACAGCCTGAAGGACCTGGCTGGTACGGGAGCGCTTTTGCGAGTGTTATGGCGGAAAGGGCTGCTTGTGTGTGTATGCAGCGCGTGCAAGAGGGAGCCTGCCCCACGCCAGCACGTCTGTCCGTCTGTCTGTCTGCATGTTTGGTTGTCGATTAGCTTCAACATGTTCAGGTGATGCGAAGCTGAGATTTACAGCTTCGAGGTACGGCAGTACGAAAGAGCACATGGGTGAGCGAGTCATCGGTCGTCTTCGTGAGGAGCACAGCCACATATGTCTGTAGAGAAAGATTTCATCACGCAAATTAAATGATCTCGGAAATCAGACGGGTCGTAGAAATTGGGACGCAAGAAAGGCATCAGTTCGGTTGCACTTTGTTGTTTGCTTTTTGTTTCCTACTGGCAACACCGATTTATCCCACTAGCAACAGCGTTTTTTTCCACGATTTGAAGTAAAAACATAAGTTTCCCCCTTCACTAGTGATGGAAGATTCAAGTCAGTTTATGCAAAAAACATAGTAAGCATCATTTTGAAATACGTCATCCATGGATACTCGTTGTGGGCGGTGCCTCAAAGATTTGCTGTGCTTTTGAGAGCTGTGAATGGGCAGCTAGGGTGTCTAGCAGCCCGCTGCCTAAAGGATGTATGCACAGCAGCCGCTGCACTAATCCAGCCACCAAACGGCCTTCCGACAGTCTGAAATGCCAAATTACAAATGGTGCTCAATATTATGTATGGAGATTCTGCGATTGAAAAACTAAAACTCAAAAATGGCATGAGGGTTTTGCAGGTTTTTTCAACGAATCGATTCCATTTCATCTAGCATCATAGCTAGCTGTCTTAAAACAGTATGTGTAAGAAACAGAAAAGAAAATTACGCACGGCGCAGGAACGAAGTCTGATCGAATCGCGTGCGTCGCAAAAGGCCGTATCCTACATCTGCTCCATCCCCAAGCCACACATCGCCTAGGTGTAGGTGGCGAAAGGCAATATGACAACACTCTTCCAAGTCGGAGCTTAATGTTGCCTCATGGATGCGGCATGCGGCTACGGTCCCCTTCCCGTCGAGGCCGATACTCTAGGCGCCCCTGAGCTAAACCCTAATTCCCCATGGGCTCATACTTTGACAATATTGTCTTGGCAACGGAAAAAAGTAAAACCTTGGGCAACACTAAAAACCCCACATTTCCCAAGGACTCTTATAGCGTCTTTTTGGACTTACCTCCTACCTTCATCGCCTCCTTTTCTCGGGCTAGGAAGAGATTTCGCATAGCATCTACGTAGAGGCCTTTGGAAGGTTTATCCCCGAACCGGCAGCAGCACCGGTGATGTGCCGCTGCGAAGATATGCAGGTTTCGCTGAAGTGCAGCTTTGCAGTACACGTACGGCCGTTTTAGAAGAATGTGCATTTAGCAAAAGAAACTGTTGGCCACTGGCGCGGGGAGATTACGCGCCGTCGCGATCAGCTCGTCTGCAAAATGAAGCGAGTTCGGGTATGTGTCCTATTCCACGTCATCCAGCCCGATAATAAGCACGCATCGATCGATTGTCTATTTGTCAAATCCATTTTCACGTTCTAATGCATATCATTGATGCTAATCCACGAAATACACACAGATAAAAACATATACAAGTTCGTCACTTGAAATGAAAACGCCAACCCGCAAGAAAACAAAGAGGCAGCTGCGCGTTATAAGCTCAAGTCACGACAGCCACTACCAACCCTCCTCAACATCCCAGCACAGTTCAGCCCCCACCCTCTTTTGAGTAGTTTACCACCCCATCACTTCCTGACCCGTGGTCTTTGCCCACGCCACCTCTCCTATAACATGCCTGCACAGCTGACTGGCCCCAGCTGCAAAGCTAGACTATCTCTACCTATCATCTACTAATAATCATTATATTCAACAAACTGTACAATCCTCATATCCCTCTATCTACCACTCTCGGCGACCAATCTGCCGGTCGGGGCTTAAGGGTCCCCCACCCGCCCTAGCTGTGCACGAAAGTCTCTCATATAAAATGGGGGGGTTCTCTTTATCTGAGTCCGAAAATTCGCAACATCCGATCCCACTCTCCTACATCGGTTTCAGCGAAACCTAACGCAGTGCGAGCATACTTAAAAACAAAGGACCGCAGTAGCAGCAGCAGCGGCGGCGGCAGCAAGCATGAGAACCTCTTCCAAACCTCCGACAGACGTGTGTCACATGCACACATCTCACAAGCACACAACCAACACCATTAGTTTAATCAGTTAGCAACATCGTCACCACCACCAGTGCTCATAAACACAAAACAACCCCCCCGCTATTGCTACTCGCAAAATTCCTCCGAGACCATCGGCGACTCCACTTCACCCGGGACAACGTTGTCGTTAACGATAACACCTTTCTTAAGAAAGGTGCTGATGGCCGCGCCCCTTTCGCTCCTTCACTTTCACCCCCCAGCGGCAAGAAAGATGTTACGCTCCCGCCAGCCACAGCCACCACACGACCGTTTTTCCCATGTAACCAGGCAATCCATTATCATCAGTCTCGCTCCGAAACCTCACGGGAGACAGATCCTGGCGTAGGGCTCACATGGGCATGTCAGGTTTGTACGGGTATCTAGAGGTAACTCAATACATGGGGGCCGAGATGTACAATTTCAACATACACACGCCACACACACGTTAAACACACAGACTTCCTTAAATGACATAAGCATGTATTGCATGCGAGGAAAACAGTCAATCGGCAGTTTGGGGATCACGAAAATAAACGGGACTTAGAAAGTTGTTCTTGGCCGGTCGTGCATGTGTATGTCGTACGTCCGTCTAGCCGTGGTGACGTGGCCGCTGGTCGGTGTCTATCCCACAACCCAAACACGGTCCAAACACACCCACATCCATGCAAAACACAGTAACATCATCATCATCCATGCGTTTCCACGGCAAGACTCACGCATACGCATACGCATGCAACAAAAACCGAATGCGTGTCGTACAGCTCACAACGGTGTCTTTATGTAAGCCATGCCGTCTGTTTCCGAGGGCTCCGAACGCAAACACGCACACGCACCGTAGCGATTCCGCTGCCGTGCGCGCCTCTCCCCTCCTCCCTCGCACAATATCATCTGCAAAACCTGACAGGCTGCCTCTCTCCCCTCCATCTCTCTCTCTCAGTCTCTCTCTCCCCACACCCTCCCATTCCGCCCTTTTTTCTCATCCCATCTCGTCCCATCCCGTATTCCCCGAGCCTCTTCCTAAAACTGCCGCACAGCACAGCGCTCTGAGGACCTCCCCCCGGGGGATAGCGGCACCCCCCCCCGACACTCACTACCTGTCGCCGTATGTCAGCTGTTCATGAATACCATCACTACCACCATCGTCATCGCAATTCGTCTTAACTCATCGCCTTAACCTTTTCCGTCCTCCTCTTCCTCCAACCCCCCGTCATCACCACCTTCCTCCTCGTCCACCCCCTCATCATCACCAGCAGCCGCATCATTACTGGGGTCGCCTCACGAAGCCCTGTGACAGCACATCCGCGGTGCCGCTGGCCTCACACGCCTGCTGGCTGACCGCCCGGTACAGGGCGCTGTAGCCGTCCAGCGTGGTCTGTCGAGAGCGGCGCATGGCCTCCATTCCGATAACGCGCTTCCCCTCAATGAGCTTCGTGGACCGCTCACGATCTATGTGGTTATTGTTATTGTTATCGGTTGTAGTTGGCGGTTGGCGGTTGTGTAGATACGTTGATGATGCGTTCAATACGTCGGGAGAAGGCAACGGGAGGCGTGTGTGTGGGGGGGGGGCGAGGTTGGTCGGGTGGTGGGTGTCGGAAAAGGGCTGAGGGAGGGAAGGGACTGAGAGTTGGCGACGGAAAGGAACGCGAGTGGAAGGGCGTCCTGGGGCGCTGAGGGCGGAAACTGTGGAGGGCGTTTGGAGGAGTGCGGCCCCCGGCCTAGCTAGCTAGCGAGGCTAGCATCCCGCCCGCCCGCTGGGTAATTCGAAGGACGCGGCGGTTAAGAGGTCTTGGGTCTTGGGCCCAAAGGCCGCCTAACGGGAACGCTCAACTCTTGAAGTACAAGGGATCTCTTCCTGGGTAAGAGAGTGTGCGTGGTGGGCGAAGAACAGTAGCAGCGGCAGCAAGGCGACCAAAAGGAACCTCGCGGTAAGGAAGAAGACCGGGCAACTATCAATTAGGGGAGGCGAGGAACATGTACGGCAGCACACTCGCCTTTAATGATGTCGTACAGGTCCTCCCACGAGTCAAAGAGTATGTGCGCGTCGATGAAATCCTTGTGGTACCAGTCAAAGAACTCTTCCCAGTCCTTGGGCCGGTCTTTGAGCAAATCCCTGAAATGCAAACACACATACATACATATAAATACTTATATACATACATACATACTTATGCTTACGGTCAGGCACTACTACTGGTAGAGCACGAGGTTCCGGGATCGAGGCCTGTCAGGCTCGATAAATCCTTCCAATGGTGGTCGATGGACGGTGGTGACCTGGGATAATGTTGACCTGCGAGCTGACCAGGAATGGAATTGAGCCGTCGCCGATCCGGCAGACTCCGTTGGATGCCGGAGGTGGGTGCGGAACCTGAGCGATCCACTGAGAAGTTGACTAGGGTGACTTGATGAGGGTGCCCCGAAATACCGGGGAAGGCAGGGTCTGCCGGGTAGCGGCCGCAGGGTGAAGATATGAAACCCCTGTCCCACACATCATACATACATACACTGGGGCGCCATCACCTGCGTCATAAGGAGGTAGGGACGCACCCGCATCCGGACCGCGCAACCGACCTCCTCCTCCCCCCCCTAGCGCCATTCCTCTCCCTTTCCCACTTCACACACCATCACACGGAATTTCCTCTTCTTCCTTTTCTTGTGTGACAAGTGAGAACAAGCGGGGTAGAGAAGGACCTCCGTATGCCCCCAAGCTCCTTCCCCTCGAACCCTGCACTCTCCCTGCCCTTCCAACACCCTCGCACACCACCCATCCATATTACAGCGCACTCGCACCTGCAGCAGAAGACCATGACGTCATTGTTGTACGACGCAAGAAGCTTCTGGAAGAAGCTCGGACTGGGAATGATGAACACTGCGCCCGCGGTGAGGCCTTCGTACATCTTCATCACGGACGTCTGGAGTGTGTACGGCACACGCAGCAAGGCGTACGGCAGATTATAATCAGTGCGTTAACAGTTCGTTCACACAACTTAGTAATGTTTACAAATGAGACATCGGCCCGGACTGTGAATGTCGCCCTCCGCTTGAAGATGTTTGACTAATCACACCCCACACCCCACGTGCCACTGGGGGATGAGAAGGTGGGTATTTCGTTCGCATGCTCCGCTCTCCTAGTGATATATTTTCCCCCCTCTTACCCCCTCTGCATATGTCCGTGTCAAGCTACAGCCCTGAGCCGTTTGGCCTACGATGCGGTTCTCGACGGCTACAACGCAATGAGTGACATTCTGACCTGGCTCTGGGGATATAAGACTCTCGGATAGGGATATTAGACATCATGTTGTCGTACATTATTCACCTGGTACGGCACGGTGATGACGCCGCGATGGTGCGCGAGTACCGTAGGCCCGCCGTAATGCTGCCGGTACATCCGTACATGTTCCGTCAGGTTCTGGCTCCGGATCCAAGGCGCAATGACGGTGTTTTCCAAATGGTACGACCCTGACGGTTGGACGAGCGCCACTCGCGGCCGCTCCCGCGCGATGAGGTGCGTTGGCGGCAGCAGGCAAACCCCCACGGGCCGCAACAGTAACAATCGCTCCAGGGGCAGTTTAATTCCGCGTCTGCAGTCGCCGGCGAGCAGCGGGAAGGCGATGAGGGGAATGGGCCACATTTGCACAAGGACTCAAAGACAAGTGCGGTCTAGCTGCACTCGCGGCCACTCGGGTTCAGGTACTCACTGGGAGACGAAGAGCACCTCGTAGGGGTTGTTGACTACCCACCACACATGCTTTCGAGTGGCTGCTTCAGCCATGACCTGCTGATAGGCGTCCTGGTCCGATGCCGAAATCCCATAGTCAAAGCGGTTGGTGACCTGGCGAGTAAAGGAGCAACCGACCCATGGGGCGGCAGGTGGGTAACAGTGGGCAGGCATTTCCCCGGGACAGGACAGCAGTTGCTTTGGGAGCGTCTAATTGCAGCACAGTAAGGTCAAAGATTTGAAAGGCATGGAATGCCAAGGCAATGCACGGCTGGAGTGGTGTGTGGAGATGTACGGGAGACGGAGTTGCTTTTCATGCCTAGAGCTTGCGGTTTTTTTCCCACGGAAAAAAAGCGGCGATGCTCAGGGTTAAAAACTGAATACGACGCCAGTGGGCATTGGAGGGTAGTGCAGCAGGATATTCGCGGATGCAGGTACAGTCGCAGATTGGGAATTGGAGCGCTTTTGTGACAGGCTGCTTTAAGGGCGTGGTAAGGCCCACCTGCAGGATAATTGGTGTCGTGCAATCTCCTTGGAGGAGAGGCCGCGCGTCCGGGATTGTGTCGCTGAAGACAAGGATGTCCGCGATGTGGCATAACATGTGCCCCAGGTCCTCCCAGATTGCCGTGGCAGCCGTTGAGTTGACGCCATAGTTTTGAAACCTGTTTGGAGGAATACCGGCACGTCTCGAGTGACGTGTTTTTACTACAGCGTTATGAAGAACAATGCTGTGTCCATCAGAAATGCAACAGCGGAGGAGGCGATATGTGATGACAATAACTCCGCTATGGCATTCCAGCCGCTACAACCCAGCGCCTCACGGACTTACAGGCCAGGGTTAACTCGCGTCCACGGAGCCCCCAGGTGGTCTGCAACTGCGATCCAATCCCACAGAGTACCGCTATGCCTTGTAAAGTATGCAATCCGTAGAGGATGTCCATTACGGCATTGCCGGCTGCACAAATGAGGCGTTGCAAGAGCTTGAGACTGAAGATATGTTGATCCCAGCATCATCAGCGTAGCGTACCTTATATCCACGCGAGGGCTGAAATGCACCCAGTCCACTACAGACCCGTACATCAACCGTAACTCTGTTTCGTTATAACTTGCAGATGCCAGTCCTATGAAAATTAGAGCCAAAAGACAATTGAAGTTGATGGCGGACATGGTAACAATCTGTCCAGGTTGTGCACTATTTACACAAGGTGCGAGGGGTAATTTTAATAGTTTTTTGCTGTGTTAATATGCATAAGATGTCATAGTTATACCAACTGGACTTGTCTTCAAGAGTCAGAGCCATTCTTTTGCACACGGCAAACTGTTGCCGTACTGATGAAATTGTGCAACCAAAAGGGTAGACACTCTCTTATCCCCAAGGCTTACAACTGTTTGTACAGGTGCGCAAAGCTTTCCACGTCTTGGGGCTGTCAAGACTACCAGGGCATTGGCGCGGAAGTGGCAGTGTCCCTCCCCATGGCACGCGAAAGTGCCACGCCTTTCTCCTTGGATTTACCATCCAACTCCCTAACATTTACACTACTCCAATACTCAATCCCTACGAAGCTGCCTTACGATAGGGCGTTCAGGGCTGTTGCCTTGAACCTTAGGTGCTGTTAAACCAATGATACTAATGTACAAGTTACGCCTTTCGTTACTCAGGCGTGCTGTCGCAACGATATGGCGCATGCAGGGATGTTCGACCCTGCAACATGACCTCTGTTGACCTACCTACCTATAACCTACCCTCACCAGCATCGCTGGAACTTCAGCGCTGTAATGTGGATGCCCGCGTAGGGCCGCACGTTACATTTGTATCGTGGCCCCGGTTCTGTCCCCCTGGATATGCGTTGAATTCGGCATGCGCACGCACGTACTTTGATTCGCGCGTCGGAATAACGTTCCGTCTGATGCGAGAACTGTAACGCGCATGCTAGAATAAAGCCCGCGGAGGTCTATTTTGTCGTTACAAGCGCCCTCTCCAAAGCGAACGGACACCGCGCTCGACGTCACATGACCGCCGATCTCACGGAATGCAGCCATGCCAGAGCCGACACCGACCTTCTCGCGCCTCCGCTTGAATCCATAGCACCTCAGTACAGGGCCACATCCCAGAATAAATACTCAACCCAAAGTTCACATTCGTGCCCATACATAGAATCTATGCCATAATATGGGGTATTCTTAAAATTAGATCTCCAGAATACGTTTTCCACGCCGGCATCGTACGAAGGATTTCAGCGAAAATCCAGGGCAGGCGCCAGGAATTGGCTAGAAGATGACTTGAAACTCCGAAGGATATCTTAGCACGATAATAAAAAATGGATGGAAATTATATCAGTGCTATGTGTTACGCTATGTGCTCCATGTACGGTACGTACGGTACTGTACAGCAAAGAGAGCAGGCAAGTATAGTACCTGCTGCTTGTCCAAACGTTATTATCGCCCCCCTCGTCGCACGATTTGATGCACACGGCGGCGCACTCGCACGTGCCACGTACCACCCAACAAAAATCACCTTCACCTCGGCGCCGGGACGGAGTCCCCGGGAGCAAGAACGACCCCATCCGCCCCTGCCAACCAAGCAGCTGGAAAGCTGCATGCACACAGTACAACACACGCCTACTCCGCCATATGCAAGTGATGCAGCAGTAGCAGCAATAGCAGTAGCAGCAGCCTAGTGCATACTATATCTGGAACAGCTGGACCGTTAACAAGCGAGCACGCCTGTCCGTTTTTAAACGTGCGTACAGAAAGAGAGGCGACCCCCTCGCAATTGACGGCGCCCGCACGTCGGGCGTCAATTTAATGCAGAAACAACAGCAACAGCAACTTGGAGGAACAGGGGCGGGACACGACCCCGGGGCTCTCGCTCAACATCTCGCGGTACGTGGCAGCCACGTGATGCCTGGCGGGCCTCCCACTGCCATAAAGGCCTCTTTCCTCACATCTCCTCTTTCCTCTATTCTTTCCTCTCTTATTACCTTTCTTCCCTTTTTTCTTACATCATCTTCTTCACATCATCTTCTTCTCACTTTCCTAGGACCGACTCCCCCACATCAGTGCGGGTGAACCCCCCGGCCGATACCTACCTACCCATTCCGTTTAAGACACGTGCCCAAACCCAGCAGCAAAGCCGCCCCCCCCAGAGCACCCGCCGCCACAGCCAGAAGCACGCACGGTAGCACTAAATTGCGCATGCCGTACCACGACTGCGTGGTGAGTACGACATTTTTGGCACCGCCCCAGCCATACGAGTTGTAGCGGTTGGCCACGTGGAGCCGCAGCACACAGCCAGCAGGCAGTTGCTCGTTCAATGTGCCGTACAACTTGGCCGCAGTAGGCCTGCAGGTGTGATGGCCGGGCGAAGTGATAAGATAACGTTGCGCGTGTGTCTCAGAACACGCGTGTGTGTATGTGTGTGTGTGTGTGTTTACCCCTGCCGGATCATACATATGGTGGCACGGTCCCCTAGCACGTTTCCGTACAACCCGTACATACAGACCTGGCGCTCGCCTGCATCCACACTTGGAAATGCCCCGCCATCCCCACCGGCTGATTCAACGACCCGCCAGTACGGAAGGCAGGCACACTGTTCAGGTTCGTGGCGTTGTACATGCCGTACAGGTTCCGAGCCACCAATGGCCACAAGATGCCATGCTCATCCAGTGCTAGTGGTGCAAATACCGTCGTTCCGCTGGCACCGCTGCTACTGCCAGTTGCGCGCGCTGCGGTATCTGTTGCGGCAGTAGCAGCCTTCCCGCAGGTGGCCGAGTCGGCTTCCAGTGTGAACGTGTCGTTGAAAAGGGAGGTGGCTCTGAGACCGCACGGGTTGATGAGGCCGGAGAGGGGCAGGGTGGCGTTGGGGCTGGCCCCCAGGTAGAGCCTCGGTCGACAACTGCACGTGTGTGTGTGTGTGTTCAGCCACGGACCGCCGCGGCGGTGGGTTCGTCAGAAATCACTAAAGCGCAGTTTAGGAAAGGCGGGTTTATTAGCGGCGGGTGGAGAGTAGTGATGTGTAAATGGGTTGGGAATAGTAAGATGTAGATTTCGTCTTCGGACGTTAGGGTTTAGTTTAGTGCCGTACAGTTTAGGGGGACAAACAAAGCGAAACGTTTACTGAACAGAGCTGTTTGCATTTTTCTGATGGTGGTTGCACAGTAATCTTGGTGAGTAAAGGACAGGCACTGTCTATCCTCACTGGATTGACCGCTGTACTGCTGTACTGCATGTGATGCGAAATGTAACGCTGTCGGGCCCAACAATACCATGGGTGCATCAGTCGTATCTTATCTACCCATGTACATACGCACCCTTCCAATTTTATAATTTTTTTCCGGGAATGACTATATATGTTGTCAGATTGTCATAGAGGTAGCAGAAACGTATTAAGGATTCATTCGTACATGCCTGTGCATGTGTGTGTACATCATGTACATCTTTTTCATTTTCCTTTTCCTCTCCCTCAAGCGAAACACAGTCCATGTGTACGCGCATGCGCAGAGTCGCCCCTTGTTTTATGTTGTCGTACTATGTCGTACATGTACTACGCGGATCTTACATCTCCAGAGAGCTGGCTGGCATCTGCTGCCCCGATAGCTGCTCCCAGTTGATGCTGCGAATATAACGCTTATGCGTGCCGTACAGTCCTTCAATCTCGTACAGCATGTAGATGGGCGGCCGCATTGTGCGTGGTATGGTGAGCGTCAGGATTTGCCGTACACCCGCGTCGCCAGATGCCCACAATGTCGCCTGTGGATCCAGTCTGCGGTGTATTGGGCTGTACGGCATACGAGGTTTACTCGGGGAGATTGGGCATATTGGCGGCTGAGGGACACGTAAAAGCCGGGAGGACGCGGGGAAGTTGTGGTTTCGGAACAAAAATCCGAGCCCTCATACGCTAGCAGTGCATTCGTGTGCCTGTACGTGTGCCGTACACATACACAGCACTTAGTCATGATGTGCAAACAGCCAAATCACCAGGTCAACCCGACATGCTCCTCCCCAAATCCCCGTCCCCTCCCAAAACCCGCTTTCTCTCTCCCCTCACACCCTGGATGCGTACCCGCTGCCGCCGCCATCCAGCGGTGTTACATTGTCGTACCGTGCTCGTACTTCCACAACCCGCAGCGACGCTACCAGCAACGGAACCCCGAGCCCCAGGCCCAGGGCAAATAACACCCCTAGGACCGCCAAGGCTCCAGGAAGGGTTGTCTGCGGACGAAACACGTCGTACGTCTGCTCCCGGAAACGGCGCAAAGCGCCGCCGTGGGGATCTCCGCGGCAGCGGTGAAACCCGCCGCCGCCGCCGCCGCCGCCGCCGGTCACCGATCTGCTTTGTAAAGGTCCAACCGGTTCTCTAGTGCTGGCTCTAGGATCGGTGTTGTTGTTGGTTGTGGTTGCAGATGTGTTAGTTGTGGCAGCGGTTGTGGTGTTGGTTGTGCGTTGGAAGGGGGATCCGGGGGCGGTGCTGCGGCGCTGCGGGATGGTTTGCTCGTCCTGTACGGAGGAGCTGGTGTTGCGCCGGTGCTCCTGGGGAGCATGTGCTGAAGACGGGGTGGAGTATGAGGAAGCCGGCGACGCCATCGTGAGCTTTGACTCCACTGATGGGAAGCTTCTAGAAAAAGCGACCCTCAAGAAGGACGTTTACCGTTGTGCGCTTTAAACTCCTTCTATGTATTTTTGGTTATTACTAAAAACGTGCTCCGTTTCGGGTGATCTAAAATGCTGACACTGTTTTCTCCCTCAGTCGCTTGTCAGTTTAATGAGCAAATGTGTAGCATCCCGGCCAAAACAACGCGCGATAACTAAAGATAAAACCTTATGCCAATAATTTGCAGTGAAACGTTGTTACACCTGTTGCCGATAATCGTGAGCAACCTCATCAGTCAAAATTTGACCCAAGGGTCAGCTGAGGAGCTGTGACGAGAGGCTGGTCGACACAGCTGACTTTCAGTAATTCTAGATGGAGCTCCGGTGGAAGCTGACACCTGCGTCTGCTATCCAATGGTGTTCCCCGCCCTATCGCCGTTGAGAAGTTTGATGCAAATTAAATTTCGGCGCATGCTGGATTTGGTTTGGCGGGAGCGTGTCGTTAGCTCGATAGCTTCCGGCATTATGTTAATTATTCCACAGTCTTATATTCGTAACATGGCCAGCTCTAATTTTTTGCAAACAGAAAAAGGAAAGGGAGAGTAAGGCGCATCCTGCAGGACAAAGCTGTGATACTTTATCATCCAATAGGTTTCCTGACTCGTCCCCTCAATTTCAACTTTTGGGACCAGGTGCAGCCGCGTGGCCATACAAAATTGTGAGCATTCTCTTAGGGTGATATTCCAAGCCTGCAACCCGCTTGCTGGACGGGATTCCAAGAAAGGTAAGCTTTGGTGGAGCTGGTGGAGCTCCCTTATTTGGCCGCCAAGAACCACTTTGGCACGAGCGAGACTCCTTGGTAACTCGAATAGATTCCCGTCCTTTTCACTGGCAAGGATTGCATGACCCTGTGCCTGGGCTCGCGGTCCTTCAGCTGACTTCCTTAAGCTTGTAAGTGACGGGAGCAGGGAGTCCTTTAACCACGATTTATGGGAAGGGCTTTGGGACTGCTTGTCAGCAAATTCAGCCCGGCGTTTCTCTGCTTCACCGGGCACGCTCTTGAACTGGGCCCGCGCTGCAGCTGCAGCTGCCTTCACGACCTTCAACTGCATGGAATTGTTGGGGATTCGTGCGCCTTTCTCCTTTGTGAGGAAGGCGGCCAACAGCAACAGCAGCAGCAGCTCTATCACAAGCTTTTATCACGAAGCGTTCACCGCCAAATCATCACCTCTATATGGCTTTCCTGCTCGTAGCCTTCTGCTGGTCCGGTCATGCGTCAGCTCACTACTGTTTGCGCGTTCAGTCATTTGCGCTAGCTTTTAAATGCCTGTCGTCTGATTGGCAGCCTAGCTTTCCGTGGTTCCCTTTTTCCTTTTCGAAATTTGTTTTGTAAATCGCCCCTTTGCGACCTGTACAGGTTTACGGAAGCTAGCATAATAGGGGGATAGCAAGGTGAACAACATCGCAGCAACCCCCTGCTGGCTGTCCTCAGCTCATATTTGAGCTCTCCACAATAATCCCCTCCAAATAAAGCCTGGGGACCAATCAGCATCGACAAGCAGTCAACAACTACAGCAAAAACAACTGTCAAAAAATCATCGGCCGCGGAGCTACAAGTCCTTTTCCGGTCATCAACAGCGATGTCGCGGCAGCAGCCATCGGCGGAGGCGGCTTTCACGCCCCGCGATCTTGATGCTGCTGATGGCAGCGAGTACGGACAGTACACCGAAGCCGATTTGGATCCCAAGCAGCTCCAAGTGGGTGTTATTAGGTGCAGCACACCTTGACACATTAGTCCTGTGGCCGCCCTAAGTTTGTTTTCGCCTCACAGGAGCGCGAGATGCGCACAGGAGGATTATAGTTTGACGGCGATGACGGCAAAAATGAGATGACGCATGGTGCAGAGATCCCTCCTGCCTTCTCCCCTAATCTTTTCCCGCCCGTGAGCTCTGACTTCCTCTAGCCGCTCTAGGTGTATATATGATTGTACGTATATGCGTGTATGTATGTGTTATGTTACACCTTCTGCGAAATTTCCGTTACTCCCAAAGATGTAATAGTGCCATACAAGCCCTGAGGGGGGCTATCCGTATATGCTTCGGTTATGGGTCGACATGGCGGCGGTCGGCTTGTTAGTTACCTTTTCGGTCGCACCGCCGCAAACACCCACCTTGACTAGCAACTTATTTAGTGCGATAGCTCATAGTCTGGCCCATTCCCATTCCGGAATGACTTGATGTACGTATATCTGACAAATGATTCTCTCTCCCTGGGTGCCCGTCGGCCAGCCCCCGCGGACCGTCAACGGGCAGTCATATGACGGCCAGTCATGCTGAGTGACGAGGGTTTAAAACCCTAAAACCATCACGCAGGCAGCGCACCGGCAGCAGCACGTAGTCGTTTTACTGACCGGTACCCGTGGGGCCCGACCGCGGCAATCCGGCGCGACCCGGGCCCTGACTGGGTTATTGAGTAGGCTATCCTAACGGGAGCGGCACTCGGCAGACGATTCCTGATAATGTATCAACGTGCCATGTCCATCCCATCGCTTATGTTCTTTGGCGCGACCACGCGGACCAAGACTGTATTTCGGGTGTCTCGAGCGATAGCTTTCTGTCACTTGGTGTCAAAAGAGCTACCGAGTTTTTTTTCAAATTTGAATATATTGCGATGTAACCCAACGAGGCTATTAAAATGCCAAGATGGTTTTGCATCTCGAGTGGGCCTGCCTGCTAGCAGCCTGATGATGCTCCATCCAAGCTATCGTCACACAGCTTAACCTTCTTGACCCGCCCCGCTGCCCGCCCCCCCCCCTCGCGGCCTCGTGCGTTCTCGCAGGAAGCTGTAGGACAGAAAAAAAACATTTTGCGCCGCTTGCTGACCAAGTGTGAGTTGAATTTAATTGTAAATAATGCAATATATTGAATTAAGTGAATATGTTTAATAATTCGATACGTTGGAGTAAATAGATGAATGGAATGAGGTTCAGTGGATCCCAAACAGGATCACGGGACTGCCGTACAGCGGTTAGGAGCATTCCGGGTAGTTGCCGTCGGTTAGTTCGGCGCTGTTGGTGCAGGTCCCGATACAACAGTGTATTGGCCATCGTCGTACCATCTAGTTTAGACCTTATGAAACTTAGGAGCTGATGGTCGGAACCCGCGCGAGTCATTTTTTGTCCCGCATCGCAATGTCGGCGTCATGATCATCGATGATGGATGCATCATGGTGGTTTGCGTGTATGATTATGAGAGGGATGTATGTGGCCGAAGCGGCAGCAAGCCTTCGACCTTTCGGGTTGTATTGCTGCACCTGCGAATGGCCGCTGGCCTAGAGGCAGTCTCTGTCTCCTTCCTCCTCAACGTTTGGAGTGCATCCTCATCCTTCTCACCAATGTACTGTCACTCACTGACTGTCCAAACATAAGTTAGTGATGTCTCCGAATCAACACACACCACCAATCTTCTTATGACGACGCCTTTATGAAGGCGGTGATGAGGTTAAGGGGAGGTGCTGTGCTGCAGGTCGAGCTCCCACAGCCTGATATAGCCAGATTAGGACATATGGGGCAACCCAAACCCGCAATGATCCACAAAATGGATTGATTACGCTGTTCCGCGCTTTAATTTTGACGTGAGGAAGCGTTACTTTGTTGACTGTTGCTACTGTTTTTTTTATTCGCAAACAGTCTTTCATGACACCGGTGTGCACATCCTCCTCCCTTGTCCCTCGCCCCGAAACCTGCAGTTAAACGCAAGCTCACAACTACCAGTGGTAGCAGCAGCGGTGGCGGCGCCGTCGCCGTCGTCAGTGGCGTCGCCGTCGTCAGACACCCGCCGTCCCCTCGCTCGCCGACCAAACGCTCCCCATCTGCCGTACGGGTCGCGGCGGCGGCCCGGGCTGCCGGCGGTGCGAGCGGCGGCGCCGCTGGCACTGCTGCCTCCCCTGTGCGTCGGCCCTCGGGCCACTTAGCCACATTGCCGCCCTGGAAGCAACCCAACTCAGGAAGTAACGCCCACAATACGGCGGGAAGCGTTGCCAGTAGCAGCGCCGCCGCCGCGACGGCGGGTCATGCAGCTGTTCCAAGTACTTCGGTGTCTGGAAGCGACGTTGCGTCATTGCAGTTGACGCCGACAGGCGGCGGCGGCGGTGGCAGCGGTTCGAGCCGCTCTCCGGCGGTTCGTGGCGGCAGTGGCGGCGGCGGCAGCCTTGGCTACGCGCCGCCGACCAGCCCTGGAGCGATTGCCGCTAGACCGCGGCCGCACTTTGGAACGGCACAGGGCTGCGGTAGCGGTGGGGGCGGCAGCGCGCGCTACAGCCCCGGCCAATCGCCGTACGGCATGCCTCTGGGTAGTGACGCTGAGTCAGCTGGGCGGCGGCATCCTTCGCTTGGTGCCGGCGGCGACGATGGCAACACTGCCGCTGCCGCCGCTGCTGCAGCGGCGGCAGCATTCCGAGACGAGGACGCCAGGGACTTCACCACGCCAACACGTACGGCCCCGCAGCCGCTTCCTCCGGCATACTGTGATTCGTACGGCGTCGGCCCGCCTGACCGCGGTGGAGGAGGCGACGGGACCGGCATCGTCACCGATATCGCGTTTTCTGAGGTGCTTGTTTCGGAGGTACCACCACCTCCGCCACCGCCAAGGCATCTGCCGTACGGTGGCGGCGGTGCAGATGCGCCAACGACGGCAGGTCCCCGTACCAAGTACGCTCAGGATCGGCACGCACCTGACGGCGGCGGCAACAACTTTGGTGGCGCTATGCCGTACACCGATGCTGATGGCTCCAGGGTGTACCATTCACGGCGGCGCAGTACTCAGCAGCAGCAGCAGGCCATACTGGCTGCGTCAGCGGACGACGCTGCTGACGGTGGTGCCGGCGGCGGCGGTGGTAGCGCCGGCGCGGCGCTCGCCGCGGCCGCTGCTGGCGGCGCATTGAGCGCGGAAGCGATCGCCAGTGAGTTAACTTCCCTCGTTGCCTCGCTTGAGGAGGAGCTGGCGGCTGTGGCGGCGGTCAAGAGCAAGCACTCCTTAAGGTGTGTGGTCGGACATACAGACAGACATCGTTAGCGATGAACTCTTCCAACCCACGTAAGGCACAAAATTATGCATGCATGGCACAGAAGCGGTCTGCCTGGTTTTTATGAAAGTAGGTACCTTTCTCTCAGTAGGTTTTGCGAGCCGTACAATACGCTGAAGCTAATAGAGATGTACACGAAGAGCTAAGCGTGAAGAGTCAGCTCTTAGAAAAGACTGTTCGACTGCTCGTTTGGTTGGCGTAATGCGATTGCTTAATGTTGTTGAGCACTTGCCGCTGCCGCTGTTCGCCACCGTCTTCTCATTTCCCCCTTTACCAGGATAAAGCTGGTGGGCTCGCTACTGGAAATGATGCCTCCCGGCGGCGGCGGCGGCGGCGATCTGTCAGCGGCGTTGCCGCCGGGGAGCGCTGCCGCTGGTGGCGGCGGCGGCGGGAGCTCTCTGGGCGGGCGGCTGGCGGCGGAGCGGGACCGGTTGGTTTCGGAGGTTGGCGAGCTGACGGCGCGTGAGGAGCTGCTGACGTTCGCTCGGCGGGAGTGGGGCAAGGTGATGAACGTCATGTCAGGTGAGGTAACGGCGAGTACGACAGGTTGCTGTAGGTCGTAAATCCATCGAGAAATGTTGAGATCGCTTTATTGACAGTTTGTTGGATATTTTGTCCCGCGTGCGGGTTTTATTGTCGTACCTTCGAGGTGCGCATTCTATTGGCCCATGTCACGTGCTCTTATGGTTCGGGGCCGCTACACGCCGCAAGGTTATAGACAGCGTCCGTCCCATACCTTTCCATCCCAACTGTCACAACCGGCATAACTACCATTTAACTACCATGCAACTATCACAACTGCCTTCCCTTCGAGTCAACTTCGCAATCCGCCCACTCGCCGCTCGCCGCTCTCACCCCACTCTCGGTCAGGTGTGCGCGTATCTCGGCGACAGGCAGGGCCGTTGCAGGCCATACTCTTCTCAGACACACTCGCACGCATAAGAGCGTTCCAGAAGGCGCAAGCCAGGCGACTTGGTATCAGCGGCGGCAGGCGAGGCGGCGGCCGCGGCCACCGCGGCAGTGCCAAGGGCGCACCCGCTTCCAGGGCTCTCCAGGCGGTGGCGGCGGCTTCCGGGAGCCACGTGCAGCCGGGTGAGACCGGACAAGAATGGCGGTCAAGTTTCGTTGGTTTCGGAGCAGCAACTGCTGCAACCGCTGTAACTGCTGCAACCGCTGCAGCCTCAGCCGCAGCAGCGCCTTTAAGATTTACATAACGTCTTTTTTCTCTCCGGCCGGTTCTGAACTCTGTCGCCGCCCCCGTGGCCTTTCCTTTCACATCAGTTGCTTTCTTTCGGGTCGGGTGTTATGGGGACGTGCCCGAGCCCAAATGAAAACGAGCCCACATGAAAAATGAAAATTTCTATGCCCCGCTCCTAAACAGGCTATCCTCCAGGTGGCTCCAGCCATGGAGCCTGCTGGCAGTCGCAGTCTCAGTCGCAATCATTTGCGCAGCAACAGCAGCAGCAACAGCCGGGTAGCCAGGGCGCCGCGACGGCAGGCGGTGGAGGCGGCGGCAGCGGCAGTAGCAGGCGCCGGGGCCCGGAGGTGGGTGGTGTGTGGGGCATGGGGCACGGAGCGTGGTGTGTTGCATGCCGTGACCATGACGGTTTGTGGTTGTTATTGCGGTTGGGCAGGGGCATGAATGTGGTGATGAACGCGCACTCGAACTGGTGCGCGACCAGGGCCGGGCATCGAGCGCGGATTGGATGCTATGTGCGGCATGTGGACGTAGGCCCCCTCCTGGACCTGTACTTTGCGAGTTTGGTGATATGACGGTGATGACGGTGATGATGGTAATGATGGGATAACCTTTTTTCGAATAATTCCCCTCATGGGTCGACATGGACACCAGCATTCCCGCAGCCTTTATGGCCAATTGGTTCATATTAGGATAGCTACCCCTGTCCTTATTGACCTGAAGCCACCTTGACCATGCGCCGTACCACCCGCCTTTCGAACGGTAAGTTCGTTGGTTGCCGTTGCAAGCAACGAATTAACGAAAAACGACTTTTTTCACAAGTGGGTTCCTCCTGGACCTCTTTTTTCCTCCCATCCTAGCCGTCACCTAAGGTCCCTTCCCGCCATCCCTTTCTGTCTCAATCTAATTCCCTTGGTCGCTAATCCCCACACGCCCGCAGCGCGCCGCCTCCGCGACCGCAACGCGCGTCGTACGCCATTCCCAACACCACCCTCTCCATCTCCATCCACACAATCTTCACCACCCAGCTCCATCCTACCGGCCCGCGGCTGGTGCCGGAAGCAGTGGCGGCGGCGGCGGCGATCACGGCGTTGCTGCGCTGCTTCTAGCGTCCACGGGCTCCCACCACCACCAGCATCACCATCATCAGATGCTGGCACCACATCATCTGGCACTCGCACCTATAACAGAAGACGACTGCTCGCCGCAAAAACAGCAGCAGCAGCAGTACCAGCAGTACCCACAACGGCAGCAGCAGCAGCAGCAACACCAGGGAGGCATGTACGGCGAGCCGTACTGGGCTGCAGAGGCCGGCGGCGGGGCAGGCGGCGAGGCGCGCGGAGGAGCAGGGCCGACGTCGCAGTTGATGCGACTCGGAAGTAGCGCCTTGGCGGCGCTCAACAGCAACTCCAACAACGCCCAGATGGGCCGCTCACAGCGCCATCATCAACAGCAGTCCAGTCGATCTTACGCGCCGCATCCTCAGCAACATCCGCAGTACCACCGTCGCGACCCCCGACACAACTCTTATCAGCAAGGGCCCCCGGGGCGAGCTGGGACGTACCGTGGAAGCTCGGTGTACGGCAGTGTGTACGAAGGAGGACCGTACTCGGACGATGACGAGGTGTCGTCCAGCTCGTCCGGTGAGATGTACCGCTCGATTGCCTCGTTGGCGCGAAACACCACCGTGGTTGGCGACGACGACGATGATTTTGGTGCGGACAGGCTGCGGGAGGTGGAGGACAGCGACGACGGCGGCGGCGGCGGCGACGGCAACGGCGCGCCCGATTATCCGGAGCTCCCACCTCAACAACAACAACAACACCGCAGGCTGCGGCATCCGCCGCATCCGCAGCGGCATGAGTCGTCGTACCATGGTGGCGGTGGCGGCGGCGATAGGAACGGCCGGCCCGGCAGCCGTGTGATGCAGGCGTCTTCAGGAGGGCAGCGGCGCCATGATGCGGCGGCGGTGGCAGGGGACGGCGGCGACGGCGATGACACCGATTCCTGCTCGTCGTCAGCCTCCCTGGAGAGCGCTTTCATCGCCAAGTGCCTGACGTACACTCGGAGCAGCCTGGACATTCGCGGGCGGACCACCCGCGACGCCGGTGGTGGCGGCGGCGGCGGCGGCGGCTCCGCCGCCGCCGCTGCATCTGCCGCTTCGGCGGCGGCGCTCGCGGCCGCCGCTGCCGCTGCCGGCGGTATGGGCCGCCTAAGCCGCGCCGATCGTCAGCTGTACAGCACGGCCATTCAGACGCTACGCGCTAACGCGCTGAGTACGACAACCGTGAACTCCGCCGCTTTCACGGTGAACACGAATGGTGGCGTGGCGGGGAGTCCGGCGGACGCCAACGCCCAGATTGACTACGATGTCGCTCGCACGGAGGACTTGTATGACGATGGGGTCAGCGATGTCGTGTACGGCACTATGGAACGGCGCGAAGTGGGTTACTTTGAAGTGGGCCAGGCGATGGCGGCTGCAGCGCGCATGCGCGGCCGCGGCGATCCGACTTCTACGCCGAAGTCCGCGGCGGGTGCATCTGGTACGAACGCGTCGTCTCTTGGGAGCGTGGAGGATATGCTGGCGGCTGTGGCATCGCTACAGGGTGGGCGCGGCGGCGGCGGCGGTGGCGGCGGTGGGCTGCCGCATGAAGCGCTCTGGCGCTGAAAATGACGCCACGGGAGGTCCAAGAGTTGGTTGCATTTAAACCCGTTTCTGGCGTTAGCGTACGTTGTTTTCATATGCCGTACGAAATATGCTGATGCTGGCTATGGCTTTGCTTGCTTTTCGGTATCGGATAGTTTTTTTGTTGCTTTAGGTCATTTGGATAGTTTCAGGTGCGTGTTCACGCCTGTGTGTGTATGTGCATGTGTGCGCTGATGGCGTGTTGAGTGCGGTCACGCAGCAGCTGTAAATGCGTAATGTGTTGTGGTTGTGGACGCCCTCGCGCGCGTGTAGGAATAACGCCGTACGGTTTCGGTGCGGGATAGAACATACAGCAGCACGTCCAACGCATTTGTGGCTTTGCGATTGTAGTTAGTGGTTGTTTGTGCCACCTGAGGGTACAGAATTAGCACATGGAAATGCAGGTTAAGCATGCGGCCAGAATTATGGAGGGGCCACCGCAGCGTATGGGCAGCAAGGAAAATGCGCCCGAAGCGCGGTGCACACGTGACAGGCTAAGGGATGACGGGACGATGGACGAGGAAGGTGTAGTGCAGAGTAAAGCGTGTTCAAGTTGTTTTCGCATGAAACGGGCAAGACTGAGGTCGGCCGATGTGCGGGCCCGCGAAGACTGTCGTAGTAGCAGTCAGGTGACGGTTGCTTAGTAGGAGGATATTATTTTGTATAACGTTGAGCAGAATATCAATTTTAGCATAGCATGGATGAAACTGGTATGGAAAGCATATCGACGATGGAGTAATATGCGGGACTTGCTCCGGAACCAGTGTTGAAGCTGTTCAGTAGTACTGTAACTCCATATTGAATTGACTATAGAACGCTGCATCTGCACAATTTCATCATATTGAAGAAATTCGGAAACGTAACTCAATCTTAATAAATATGACGAAGAGAAAGCTTTCAGGTGGAGAGGCGGCACCCGCTGAGGAACCTGAGGCGGCGGACGTCCAGGAGGAAGAGGAGGAGCCAGCGATGTACGCCCCGGGGCCAGTCGACATGAACCCCCTACAATTTTTGATTGCGCCCACGGTGAGGAACGCCGCCGTTCCGACACTAACGGACGAGTTGCAAGCTGCCCTTGTATGCAGTTTATGTCTTGTGGGCATCACATCAGATAAGCTCTGCTCGTGAGCTTGATATCTGTGACGTATGTTATCTTTCGCGTAATAGATCTGTTCAGGTTTTGTCATGTTTGCGCGGTGAAACCCTACTCGTCCTATCATTATAACAGTGGGGCAAATGAAAATATTGGGTTTGCCACGGTTGTGTACAGAGAGGCGCTGCGGAGGTATTCCCGCCTTTTGAATGCGCATGCCTTATTGTCACCTGTCGTAGGAGTTGTCAACCTTCTCCTCTGAGTACTGGGAGAAGAAACCGTTGCACATCCCTGCTGATGAAGAGCGTAAGAACTTTTTCGACGGCCTCTTTGACTTTGATGAGCTATGCAAAGTTTCGGATGCACTGGAGGCGGGAGTGATGCTCCTCATGGACCAAGATCCTGGACCCAAGGGAGATGCGCTTTCCTTTGAGGACGGTAAGAGCTTCTGTTCGAGCCCGCATTTCGCCTTTCTGTGTGACCGAGGGGGCCATTCCATCGCGACGAACCTGGGTTTCGTAACCAGAGGTGCAGCGCTTCTATGTCGTACTGATTTGGATTTACTTCTGTATCCTTTCTTTACTAGGGTATCGTAACCTCCTCTGTCTTGCCTTTGGCAGCCTTACTCCCTTGTTTCCTCTCACCCATAATTTACACATGCACAGACGTGGACGATCAGATGGTTCGCGCCATTGGCCCGCTGGTGTTTGGCCGGGACGTGGTGGCGGTGCGGTACGTCGACGGCGAGCGAGAGACCCTTGCCGGCGAGGTGAGTTCCCTCTTGCGTTCCTGGTCAACCTTTCTTTTGCGTGCGTGTATGACTGCGCGTTGACTGTCACTTAAGAGCAGCCCATCCTAGTTTTTCGGTGTATGGATGGGTGGGAAAGGGTGGGAGATGGGTCACGAGACGAACACGCGGATGGCGCATCATGTTGAAGGAGAATAATAACAGTATGAGAATAGTAAGCGTACGGCTGCCCAGGAAGAAAAGCATGCATATGAGCAATTGAAGGGAATTGAAGGGCATCATGTCTGGTCACGTCGTTTGTAAGCGGATGTCCGCTAAGGGACTGCAGATAAGGAAAAAACAGGGAGTAGCTATTAGGGTTATTAGATCAGATGATAGGTGACGAGTACGACTGGGGAAAGTCGCTCTGGGCACGTCGTCTTGTTTACAGGACCGCAAATTCCCGTAACTCGAAACGCCTTAAAACTTTGACAGTCACTCGTGAGCGCGTGTTTTTTCTAAAGGATTTCCAAGACCGCGTGTGAACTGCTAATAACGAGCTCTACCCCTCAGAATACAGTTCGTTGCGGATATTATGGCAACCTAAGTAACGGTGCATACATAGCCGACCCCCGGGCATTTCAGTCCATATCTGCGCACTTCCGTGTCCTCGTCTGCGCAGTTTGCTGACAGCGACACGCTCCGCACGCTCCACGAGACTGAGGGCGCCACGCTGCAGCTGCATCAACCTCAGCGTTTTGTTAATGCGCTGTGGCGGCTGGTGGCGGCATTGGAGGCGCAGTCAGGCTGTCTGGTCGGCTGTAACGCTTACGTCACACCTGGCGGTGGCCAGGGCCTGGCGCCCCATCACGATGACGTTGAGCTGTTTGTTTGCCAAACCAAGGGTGAGGGTGTTATTCTTGAGGTGGACGGGCGGAAATCGAGCAGGCTGAGATATCTAGACGGCATGGTTTTGGATTCTTGGGTATGGAGCCGAGGGTGTCCATGACAAGAGGGTTGGGGTAGGGTTTGCGGCGACTGGCGGCTGGGCTGTGTACCAGCCGAAGGCAAGGCGTTTGGATTGGTATTGGCATTGGGCAAATGATGTGAATGAGCAAAAGAATGAAATGAGGTACGCAACTTCACAGCCAGTGTTTCGAAATCCGGGACTTCCTTTTCCCAGGTTCTGTTCCTCCTCTGTTGATTTATTTTACCAATTTATTTTACCGACACGTCCGTCGTGCATGACCCACATGGCTGGCGCTTTGTGTTCAGGTTCTAAGAAGTGGCGGCTCTACAAGCCCGTCAACGACTTTGAGCTCCCCAGCAAGGTCTCTGGAGACCTCCCGCAGGTTTGTGGGGTTGTTGTCAGCGGGGACTCACAGTAAAGCGCGGAGTGGTGGCGGGCTGGGTCAAACCATCCAACCACTGTGCCCCTACAACCGCTACAATGTCCGGCCCAATTACCCAACTGTTGGTTGCTCCAACCAATCACCGTTGGTTCCCAACCATCCAGCCAACCACCGCTCCCCAGCAAATCAACCAACCGCCTGCGGCATCTCTCTAGCCTTCCCACCCGTTCCAATGAGGTACCTCGTTAATTATCTTCATATCTTGGATTGGAAAGTATGGGCAGTTGCTGGGCTTCAGGGGGGGAAACGTCGGCAGCTGATTTTGCTTTGCGTTTGCCTGATCATTCCCGCGCATGCAGGACGAGCTAGGGGAGCCGATTCTGGAGGTGACGATGAACCCTGGTGACGTCCTCTACGTGCCCCGCGGGATTCCACATCAAGCTGTTGCGCAGGTACGTGGGTGCGCACAAGGCGCACATAAACAAGGTGATCTATGCACGCGGCTTTTTTGGCCTCGTTTGAATCAAACAGATTCATTCAATATTTTCCCCCCCGTCGGGTATCGCCTTTGGACGCTTTAGTTTTTGTAAGCTGCGTTAGGGCACCGCAAGGCGCCTTGCGCTTTATGCTGCTAGCAACGGTTACTTCTGCTGCAAAAGACGCACAGGGATGTCGTGAAGGGGCAGTTAACTTAAACACGCAATCCGAGGCGCCCCGACCCACATCTTCCCACATGTTACCTGCGCTGTGTCGTACGGGACGTACGTTTTGTCTTTCAGGAGGAGGGCTCTTGCCATTTGACCATTTCGACGTATCAGCGGTGGACCTGGGGCGATCTGGCGGTCAAGCTCCTGGAGGTATTGAGGGAACCCAGGGAGCAGGTCTTCCTTAAGGAAAGGGGGAGGGGAGAGCTTTACGTGCATCGAAGCACAAGGGGGTTGACTGAGCGAGGTGCTAAACCGAAGAGCGTGTGGAAAAAAAGGGCATGTGGGCGCTTGTAGATCAACAAGCCTGGTTGCAAGCCTAGGTGCTCATGCTTACATTGGGTTTTCGTAATTCCGTGCTTTAGCGGCCGTCATGTTGTCCGGTTCGGGTGGGTGCTTCAACTGCGGCGGTGCGCTAGTCCTTGGATTTCTGAAATTGAAGGGTGAAGCTTCTATATATGTTCGGAAACGTTTGAAAGATTGGTGCCGTCAGGCCCAATCTTGAGTTCTTTGTTCTCTGTTCTCATTGCGACATGGTGAAACTTTTGTTCTGCCAACTATTTCTGTTACAGACGGCGCGTGATGCCCAGGGCTCCTCCCCTGCGAGCGCACTGCCCCTGGAGCTCCGTAAGGGCCTTCCGTTGGGCCTTATCTTCAAGCACGGCATTCAGGCGGAGATGATGGCAGCGGACAGCGCCGCTGCCGCCGCCGCCGCCCATGGTGACGCGGCCGCTCTGGCGGCTGGCTTGCGGGCCCTTGCTGCCCAGCTGGAGAAGGGCCCCACGGAGCTGCTGGCGCCGGCTGTAGATGAACTATCGCTGGACTTCCTCGTCCAGTGAGTGGGTGCCATCCAACTCATGCATGAATTAATAACCTTTTGCATAATGTTTTTGAACTCTTGGAGAAAGAGGAGGCCAGGAAAGTTTTCTGGCACCGTCCGTCCCCATGAGCTCCCTGATGGAGGAAAACGTTACGGGTTCGGAGGGCTGGGGATGGGAATGGGGGTGGGCGAGTGTTTCATGTTTTATAGCCGTGGTCCTTGCTTGGATAGAGTGAGTCCTTGCTTGGATACAGCGAATGTTGCCCTTTTTCCGTCCGCGTACAGCTCCGTGTTTTTTCTCTAGAGCTCCACTTCTATACCGTCTCCCAAAGGAGGTATCTTGTGTGTTTTTCATCCCCTTTTGCCATGTGGGCTGTCTATGCTGCAGCCGCATGCCTCCACATCCCTGCCAGCTACCGGACCCTGGGGAGGAGCCTGGCCTGGAGGACTCGTTGGTGTGCCGGGGCAAGAATCTATTCCGCATCGTGCCGTACGAGGATGAGGACGAGGAGGAAAATGATAGCGACGAGGAGGAAGACGAGGATGAGGACGACGAGGACGAGGAGGGTGCCGGCGGCAAGAAGGTGCGTGGCCAGGCTTCTTGCTGGGTAGGAAGGTGGGAGGAAGGGTGGTGGTGGAGGCGGCAGTGGTAGTGGGGTTAGGGAAGGGTTTTTGTCTGCGGACTTGGTCATACTTTCCAAATCCGTCTTGTCTATGTAGTCTCTCAGCTTTTCACGTGATGTGATGATTAAAATGCTATTCTTATTGCGATTGCCATCGTCTCTGTAGTTGCTATGATTGCTGTTTCTCCTGTTGCCAGCGGGCATCTGACAAAGGAAGGCACATTTCTCTGCCTACCTTGTCGTCGTTGCTAACCGTCATGTCAGCGTGGATCTTGGCAAGCTTAGTATTGCATCTTAATTCTATGGCACACACTGCGACGGACACAACCACACAGCACCGAACAAATGTACCTCACGGCGCATCGTGTCGTCAACCCGCAACTTGACACTTTTATAGAGGTCCCTTACCACTAGCCGTCCGCCCTGAATGCCGTCTGCCCTTGTCTGGGCCTTATTGCAGGAACCTCTGGTCAAGCTGGTGACGTGTCTTGGTAACAGCCGCTTCACACACATGATATCGTCGCGATCTGAAGACGAGGAGGAGTCGGATGATGAGGGGCACCACGAGCATGGCCCGGGGCTCTGCGGTCCACTGTGTGGGGCGTCTGAGAGCGACGATGAAGAGATGGGCGAAGGGGAGGAGGAGGAGAAGGAAGAAGAGGGGAAAGCTGGAAAGGGTAAGAAGAGCGCGAAGAAGAGCGGGAAAGAGGAGGGTGAGAAGGAGGAGAAGGTGGCCAAGGACAAGGAGGAGACGAAGGGCGAGAAAGAGAAGCAGGAGGAGAAGGAGGAAGAGGGTGATGAGGAGCCCGAGATCATGGACGTCGATGAGGATGAAGATGATGACGAGGGCGAGGATGGCAGCGGCGGAGAGGATGAAAGTGACGACGACGAGGAGGAAGAAGAGCAGCTGCAGGTGGGTCTGACTTGTGCTGTGGAGGGCTGGGAAACACCACGTCGGGAAGGGAGGGGTTGAATCTTCTAGGGAAGACCTCCTCCGCGCTTGTATCCTAGTTTAGGGTCGAGTTGGATGGAGCTGTAGTATCCGGGACATACCACTGGATCACCATCCACCGTTCGGTTCTTTTCTGAAGAAGTCGTGATACCTACCCTGCTACCTACCTGCTACCTACCTGTCAGGTTCTTCCTTTGCCATGTGACGAGTGAGGTTCCTATCCCATTTTCCGTTGTCTAGGGACAGACCAGGTCCCTTAGGAGCTTAGTTTCTTTGGTTCGCTAGGATTGCCATGGACACTGTCTCCCTCCCCTCCCTCCCACCGCCATACTTTCGACTCCTGTCCGAAACTCGCATCCGGGTAGTTGGTAGCTTGTTCCAAAAACCGTTGCCTGTGTTCGACCCCGTCTTTTTTCCTTACCTGTGCCTGTGTTCCGGTTGCCCTTACCTGTGCCTGTGTTCCGGTTGCCCTTACCTGTGCCTGTGTTCCGGTTGCCCTTACCTGTGCCTGTGTTCCGGTGCTCTTCTACTTGCTAGGGCCCCATATTCCCCGCCGTTTACGCTGCGGCGTTAGCGGAAGTCCTTTCGGCCACTGCCGACAAGCCTCTGCCGGTCAAGAAGCTTCAAGTACCTGGAAAAGATTCCGACGAGCAGCTGCAGCTGGCCCGTTTGCTGTACCATGGCGGGTTCGTGATTACCGTGCCAGGCGCCAAGCAGACGGAAGAGGAGGGGAAGAAGGCGTCGAAGGAGAAGAAGGCTGCTACGGAGAAGAAGGCTGGCGGGAAGAAGGCCGCGGCGGCGGACAAGGAGACGAAGGAGGAGGAAGGGGCGAAGCCCAGTGAGGACAAGAAAGACGAGTTGCCAAAGAAGGCTGGCGGGAAGAAGGCGGCTGCAGCGGCTGGTAATGAGGAGGGCGAGGCGAAGGAGAAGAAGGGCCCGACGCCACCCGCTAAGAAGGCCAAGAAGGCCAAGTGAAGTGACGTGACAGCTAGCTAAGAAATCTGTCTACATGGAATGTAGGTTGTTTGATGGAAGCGGGAGCGCCATAGCGACTGGGGGCACAGAGGGTGATGCGCGATAGAGAGGGAACGCTGACTTGAGCAGTGGACAATGCCGCAGGCGGAACCAAATAAACAAACAAAAAGTCAGTTGCCTTGCGCCAAAGTATCTTCCTGGGGCGGCTAGTTATTGCGTTACCTGTTTTTTTTACCTGGCATTTGCATTGCTCCTCAATCTTGGAGGTCCGTTGCGCAAGCAACAAAATGTTTTAATGCCACCCTGATCTATTACTGCATGCGACGCGTGGCGCAGCGCAAGCGTACTGGATACGGTGAAGTGTGCATGTTAGCCCAGTTTGAGACACCCAATAAAGGTTGCTGGGGATGTGGAATAGCCAGCGAGTTCTTGCTGGTGGAGAGGCAAACGAGAGGTAAAGACGTGAGGTTAAGAGATGTGTTTTTTTGTGAAAATGGCGTTACAGTAGACCGGGCCGGAAGTAAATATTAAGATGAACTCGGACAGTAACGGCCAGGTTAGTTCCAAAATGCCCGGATATACTCTCCTGCCTCTAAAATCTTAACCTTTATGAAAATCGCCTCTTTCACCAAGCTCCCCGGACTGCACAGTGTTACCAAGTCCAGCAGAGATCTTTGACAGGTATCCCTTTTGACAAGTTTTCCATCTCACGTCTGCGACATCTCTTTGGGGGGAAGATACACAGGTTGGCATGGCTAGCCTAGCCCCTTCAGCTCGCTGGGCTGCCAAATATAGGACGCGTGTCCCTGCAAATCCTGCTAGCTGGCTGCCAGGTCGGTACAAGTAGTGACGCTATGTCGGGGAATTCCTTCAATTTGCCCGTACGCCTTAGGTGGGTTCCAGATCAACCAATGCCCAGGAGGGCCATGCGCCGCCAACCTTGCGGTTGACTACGCAGGTCCTCCACCTGTCATGAGTATTCCAGCGCTGAGCTTAATCCAAGCAATCTAAGAAGCCGCTATCGATCCATGCATGCCGTGACGCAGCACGCATGCATGGATCGATAGCAGCTGCCTAGTTTACTTGGAACCATGTGCATGTGTGTGTATTACATGGTTGGTTTGGTCTTGTCGACCCTACTGTCTTATACCTGGGGAGGTATTACATGGTTGGTTTGGTCTTGGAGGACCCTACTGTCTTATACCTGGGGATACTCACGCTGGATTGGTGGCGATTGCTGAACCCTCTGTCTCTGCAGATGTTCGGGTGACTGGATGAGGAGGGATCCTAGAAGGCAGGATCAACTGCCCTGAGGACTTCCAGTTCGTATGGCGTGATACAATGTGGTAATGGTGGATGGTGCTGTATGGTGTGATAAATTGTAGAATTGACAATGCGTTCAAGTGGCCCAGAAGCCTCCCACTCTGTAACAATTCAATTCAACTCAACATGGTTGGGGGTGCGTGACATCATAAAACCCCATACGAGCCGAAGGCCCAAGGGCAATATTTCGACGCGTAAAAGCCACGGACAACAGGAAACACCGCATTATCAGCCCAGACTAGCGCCCAAAGGGGATAACTGAGTTACGGTGAGCCCACATATGCTCCAACATCCTCGCCAGAGGTGCTGGCTCCCATTTCATGGCCTCCCACGGTTGATGATCGAATCCCTCTTCCGCACAATTATCATTATAGGCTGGGCATTTCAATAACACGTGTTTTTCATCCTCGACTTGGCTATTGTTGGCAGGTGACTATATTCGCTCGTTGCGAAATAGCTACGTCCCAGCTGCCCATGTTTGGAAACTGGTAAATCCGAGACTGTCGATGGATGGATGGATGGATGTTACAAGCTCATGAACCGCTTTGACAGCGCCGTCGATAGGGGAAAAGAAAAAAAGAGAAAAAGTAAACGAAACAAACAAAACAAACAACGCGAGAAGAAAACGAGTGTTTATGAGAAAGAAAAGCGTCAATTTGACTCTGAAACACAATTGCCTGTTACCGCCGAGAAAGTTAGGTAGCTAGGTGATCATGCCGGGAGCGAAACATCTCAAAAATTGCCTTTGCAATACCGCGCTGATCATCCACTTGCATGATATCACGGATATCCGCATGACGGGCACACCGAGGTCCCAGAGCTTCTGACGCGCAGACACAATCGCCGGACATTCTACCAAAAATGTTTCTCATCCTCAATAGCTCCGTTGCTACGACACACAGCGCACACGCGATGCTCCCTAGCCCTGTTGCTCTCACTGTTAACCGCCAAGTCGGAGGCACACAAACGAAAACGGATTAGGGCACGATGATGCGCCGGGGGAATATAACCCGCGTACGGCTTCGGTGGCCCCATCCAGTGCTTATGACGGCACATCTTCACGCCGGGCTTCCTACCGTCGTTACGGACGGTAACGACCGTTTAGTTAACCAACTAAAACCTCAACCGCTCAGTGGCTTTACCAAATGACAAGCAAGTGGTGGCAATTCATAATTTGCCTGTTGTAAACATTAGTCAACACCGTTCAATTTTTGAATGCAACAAATACAGTAGGTAAGCAGGTAACTCAACAATCAATACGATGATGTTCAACTTCGTCCGCGACAATGAACGAACTAATCTCCTTATACGGCTATGGCGTCTGCCGGTCTTGCGCGCTGGGATTGCCGGTTTGCAATAAGGTGTAGCCCAAGAGGCTGCGCATTATTGTGCCGACATATATACATAACACACGTTCGCATGTGTATACATTATATTAACGAATCTGTTTTTTGGTTTCACAGATGATTTTCAACAGTTTGCAGTTGCCATCACCGGTTGCGAAAGGCCGTCCGGGCGACCTATCCTCTACTATGTAATCTCGTCCGCTACATACAGGACAGAAAGGGAGTCCCTTGTTGATGTTAGCTCCCGATACTTGCTGGATAGTAAATCAAATGAAAAGCGTGCTGACACCCGCTTTGCTGCTCCTGTCATACCAAGTTCACGAACTTTCCGTTGAAAGGTTTCAACCGACCGCCTGCTTTCCAACTTTCAAGGGGCCGCTAGAAAGCGGGATCGGCCGGCACACAAAGAATCTAATCAACTCCGATGAACGTCCGCTAATCCTGTCCGGAAGTAACCCAAGGAAACCAACGCAGCGAGTATGAAAACCTCTGAAACCGGGCTGGAGGCAAACCTTCATTAACGATCACCGTAACCCTCTGCCGGCAAACCTCTGCCGGCAAACCTTTTGCAACCCCTTATTGACCGCTCGCTGCGGTCTCCTAGCTAACTTACCTTCAGCTAAATTGCCTTCAGCTACGACGAGGGGACGAACCATGCGGTTGCGGCTTCGGTCCTGGTGGGTGCGCTGGATAGTGGCGACACTGGTGGCTTTGGTGGCAGCTGCGGCAGCTGTTCCAGAAGGTGATAAATTAGCTGATGGAATATCGGGTCTGTCCAATAGAACTCGGTGGAGGACCCGATGACGGGGTCCCGGCATTCAAGCTGTGTATTTCTGGGTGTTTATTCACTGCGTCATTCCCGTGGGCCGGCAGATCAAGAGGCAAAATGAAAAGCCTGCTTACATTTGCTGGTGCTTCCAAACACCATGCAGAAAGGCACAGCATGCGCCAGCAGAGTTTGCTCTGCATACACATTTATATCTCTGTATCTCCGTCATCTTTTCCCTGCCCGGATTTTCCTGCATACGTACTGGCCCCTGAGGCTGACCGGTGCCAGCCATAAGTAACTCAAGCACTTGATTGCTTTTATTCATTGACCTCGTGAAATCGTCTCAGGGGGCGATGTGGTTGAGGTACAAGCCGCACCTGGAGATTCAGCCGGGGGTTTTGCATCGGCACTTGGACGAGGTGCACAACGTGCATTGGTTTCTTTGCCCCGCCGATTGCTAACTGGCTTGGGCCTGGGGCTCGGGGCTCTGTGCCCCTCAAGTGTGGTTTCTTGCGCTACCGAGATCAAATACAATGGAAGGTGCGAGTCCAGTGGGCTTTTGGCACACAATCCGTGGTGTCCCCCCCGCCCACCTAAGATGCAAGTTGTTAGACTGGCTGGCTGCATCGGCTGCACTACTATCGGCTAAATTTGAGGCATTAAAGTGCTGCTAGCTACTGGCAGAAACGAGTATGGCAGGACCAGGGCCGGGCTGGGGGTTACCTGGTAGGATTTCGTCGGATGGTGCCAGCTATCCATGCATATCATTAACTGGAACAGAGCAACGGGTTGCAATTTACAGCGCTAAAATGCATGTGTAGTTTGGATTTCAAGGAAGCTGGCTACATGTAATCGACTTCTAGGTGATGATGATGATGATGATGATGTTGTCATGGTTGTTGCTGGTGCTGCCTCCTTACCTGCTGACTACAGGCTTGCTACCCGGTCGGTGGTTCTTGCTGAAACTAAGCCAAGTGAGAATAAGGGCAAGGGAGGCGGTGGTGGCGGTGGTGGCGGTGGTGGTGGTGGCGGCGGTGGCGGCGGTGGCGGCGGTGGCGGCGGCAGCAGTGGCGGCGGTGGTGGCAGTGGTGGTGGCAGTGGTGGCAAGGCACCAGCAGTGGCAGCACCTGCTGAGCCAGCCCCGGCACCAGAGCCAACCCCAGCTCCAGAATCAACTACGGGGCTAGCACCAGAAACAGCACCAGAACCAGCCCCGGAACCAGCACCAGAACCGGCCCCAGAACCGGCACCGGAACAAGCCCCCGGACCAGCACTGGCACCGGCAGCAGAACCAGCACCGGCACTGACACCGGAACCAGCCCCGGAACCAGCACCTGCACCAGCACCTGCACCGGCACCAGCACCAGCACCGGCACCAGCACCAGCACCAGCACCAGCACCAGCACCAGCACCAGCACCAGCACCAGCACCAGGCACCAGAGCCGGAACCAGCACCAGCCCCGGAACCAGCACCAGCACCGGAACCAGCACCAGAACCAGCCCCAGCACCGGAACCAGCACCAGCACCAGCGCTGGAACCAGCACCAGAACCAGCACCAGAACCAGCACCAGCACTGGAACCAGCACCAGCACCAGAACCAGCACCAGCACTAGAACCAGCACCTGCACCAGCACCTGCACCAGCACCTGCACCAGCACCTGCACCAGCACCAGCACCAGCACCAGCACCAGCACCAGCACCAGCACCAGCACCAGCACCAGCACCAGAGCCGGAACCAGCACCAGCACCAGAGCCGGAACCAGCACCAGCACCGGAACCAGCACCAGCACCAGCACCGGAACCAGCACCAGCACCGGAACCAGCACCAGCACCAGAACCAGCACCAGCACTGGAACCAGCACCAGCACTGGAACCAGCACTGGAACCAGCACTGGAACCAGCACCAACACCTGCACCTGCACCAGCACCTGCACCAGCACCTGCACCAGCACCTGTACCAGCACCATCACCAGCATCTGCACCAGCACCGGAACCAGCACCTGCACCAGCACCTGCACCTGCACCTGCACCAGCACCAGCACCAGCACCAGCACCAGCACCAGCACCAGCACCAGCACCAGCACCAGCACCAGCACCTGCACCAGCACCAGCACCGGAACCAGCACTAGCACCTGCACCAGCACCAGCACCTGCACCAGCACCTGCACCAGCACCAGCACCAGCACCAGCACCAGCTCCTCAGCCCTGTGCCATCACTTCAGCAGGTGCGTTCTTAGCACCCGTACAAGCACTTTCAGTTGCTTAGTCAGTGAAGTTGTTCAGCATGTGTTTTCCTATACACTATTTGCTGAGAAGGACCGTAGCCGTGTACATCATGATGCCTGTGTTATGGATAGATGTGGAGACCCCAGATCAAAGGTAGTGTGGATGTTGACTGTACGTAGACAAGTTGCTTCTCATGCCCTTGCTTGTGTTCGGTCTAGAGTCACTTGACACCCTACCTCCCCACAACCCCCTTAACCAGCCCCCTAAAATACAACTAGGCTCTTGTTTTCGAAACAAAGCTATACTCTATTAGCCCAGGACCCTGCACCAATAGTGCATATTCACCAACACTACACATCCCCGCAGAACTTCTTCATTGTTTTGCACTTCGGTACCCCCACTCGCTCATGCATTTCCTCATAGGCTCCAGCCAGGTGCCAGACACGAGCTCTACAGCCAGCACCATCCCGGCTGCAATGCCGCCGGCGGCCACGGCTGCCGATACGGCTACCGGCGGACTTACCACTGCCACTACCAATGCAACCACCACCACCACCACCACCACCACCACCAGTATCAGCGAGCCAACGCGCGCCACCTTTGGCGCCACAGGCAGCACCGTCACCAATTCCACCGCTGAAGGTGCCGCCAACAATGCCACGGGCAATACATCTCCTTTCAATGCCGCCACCAAGGCGGCCACGAGCACCGCCAATGGAGCCGTCAGCGGTGGCGCCTCTACCGGCGGAAGCAGTACTGGCCCTGGCAACACCACCAACTCCACCACCACGAATGCCACAGCTGAGGGAACGCCGTCTACCGCGACCACAGCCCCCGCCACTAACAACGATACTGGTGCTACAACAGGCGCATCTGCCAACACCACCACCGGCGTCCCCACTACTGGCACCACCGGCAGCACGGCCCCAGGAACCACCTTCAATGCAACCAGCAGCGGTTCAACCAACAACACCATTGACACCACAGGAGCTACCAGTAACGCTACCACTAGCGCAGCCATGGGCACTGCCGCGAACGCCACAACCAACACAAACGTCAACCTGGTTATTGATGCCCCCAGCAATGCCACAGTTGACGTCACCGTTAAGGCCACCACAGGCGCCAACATCAGCTCCGCAGGCAACGCAACCAATAATGCCACTGCCCGCAGCACCGCAGGCACGGACAAAAGCAACGCAGGCGGTGTGAGCTTCCGTGCGACTTCAGCGAGCCCCAGCAGCAACGTTAACTCCACGACTCCTCCGGGCTCGGTCCCGCCAGGAACGACCTCTGGTGCTGCCGCTGGTGGTTGATGGATGACAGTAGTTGATCGCCTTCAATGCAAGTTTTTAGGTAGTTGGCTAAACCATTCATCTGTTAGCTTGCGGTTTGGGGCTGGCGGAACTCGTTCATGTGGCCGTGCTTCACCCGCTACCTCACAGTTGTCGGGCCTTGGGTGCGTGATGAGATGACATTGGGTGTGGTGGGGTTGTGGGTGTGGGTGTGCGTATGTGCTTACTAAACTCTAAAAATCAAGCGCGTGTGTGTGGGTTCGGGCGTGGTTGCAACTTAGTTGGGGGATAACGACGGCGTCTGTTGGGTCGATGGGGTGGGCGGTTGGTTCACCTAGCGAGGGCAGCATGATGGCCCTGTGATTCGACCTGCTACGAAAGGCGCGTGTGATAATAGAGAAATCAAACGACAGGGTGTATGAAATAGCCACCGTCGCTGCTACTATGTTCAAAATTGCTGCCTGGCTGGATGGTTGCCGGTTGACGGCTAGTTGGTTGGCGGTTGATAGCTACTTGGTTGACGGACGTGATTCCGAATAATAGACAGCAGCGGTTGTGCCGGCGATTGCAAAGCAACGCAAGGCAAGGCAACGAAAAGGAGGCGCTGGAAGAGAAGCGGACTTACTTGGAGCGGAAGTGAATGCGTCCGGTTGTGTGCTGCTGATACTAGCTAGTGATGTGCGCGTGATGGCGGTGATCCTGGCCAAGCTATCTGCTGCGTTATGTCGGGGGCTGGCCGTACGGGTGCCGGCTACACTGGGACAGGGCTTTCTGGTCGGCAAGCCGTACTTTTGTACCGCACTAAACTAGTTGGCGCCTTGTCGATTACACGGACGAAGGGGACGTGACACCCCATCTGTAGGTATTGCGTAGATCGATTTTCGTGCTTTGGAAAACTCTTACTTAGAGAGTGAACCCTAAATTCCATGGCTTTTTGGCACCTATGGGCATGTCTGTTGCAAACCCTAGCAGGCCAAAGTACCTTCAAATGATGATATTGATAAAGCAGCAGTGGCTGATGTGCATGGGGGTAATGCTGCGTTCTGGGCTTGAGTTGCACCTCAACTCGAGGATCACGGTGTTTGCTGAAAAATGTGGTCCCGCGGTTGCGTTCCGTCGGTTTGCATGGTGCGACATGGTAGTGGACGGACGCAGCTAGCAGAACGTCGAAAAGTCGGGTACAGGTTCGAGAAGGCCGTTTGAACAGACCGTGCCCTGACGTGCTGCAGACCGTTCCTGTTTCTCAAGAGAGAAGGATGCGCACGCGGTTAAGTGTATGCCTGGCCATAAAACTGGTCATAATACACCGTGGCATGAATGTGCTGAGGAGGATATCTTTGCGGCGCACCGTTGACAGTTGCAGTCCTTACCGTTGATATTGGACAAGAATGTTGTCAGGGGGACTGATAACCTTCCGGAACCTAGTACGGATTACGGACGCAATGGTCGACTGGCGAAGTAAATTATGCTAGGTCCAGGCCGAAGCGTGTATTTATCTTCCAATGTAACGGGTACATCTGAAAATCTCTTTTTTTCTTTTCCTCATTTGTTTGAAATGTTATCCAACGGACGCATGCAAGGACTGTGACCACGAGTCTGAAGCATCCGGCAGATCCGACGGGCAGAAGGAATGACCGAGCCCACGTTTCGTCCGCGGAAAAAGAAAGCTTTCACGAGTAGTTGCCTTACCGCTTGAATATGGGGATGGGTTAGGGTACCCGCGAGCAGAAAAGTATGTTTGCTTCCGTGGGAGGAGGCGAGCCAGGTTATCGACTGCGCTGTCTGCCGGGGGCAAGTGTAATGGGCAGACGACGCAGTGGAAACCTGTCAGTACTGACTTTATGAAACTACTCTTTCCGTCGCGCTCTGCGACTTGCACTTCGCTCGCACCGGTACGGCCCCGCCGTACCACAAACGAACAGCCCAGTACGCTCTCGGCAAATGCACAGAAAAAGAAAACCTTGGCTTTCTTTGGTTTCATTCAGAAAACCTTTAGGGGACGCTTGGATTATTGTTGCAAAAACGTGAAATCATCATGAGCTAAACAATATGGGGAAAAAGCACCCTGTAGCACCCATCGCGGCTGTCTTCATCGCTCTAGGTCTTCATAGCTGTCTTGCTATTACTAATACATCCACCTAGAGCGGATGTATTAGTAATAGTAAGACAGCTATCCCTAACTGCTCCATACAGGGCTACGTCAACTTAATGCCGCATCAAAGAAAAGAATTTGGTAGTCGTCGTGCTCCGCACCGCCCCTACCGCATGTTATTCACCCAATAATCGGCCAGTTACCCGGTAATCAGGCACCGTTACCGGGCTAGGGTCGGTAATCGGTCAGTTACCCGGTAATCAGGCACCGTTACCGGGCTAGGGTCGGTAATCGGCCAGTTACCCGGTAATCAGGCACCGTTACCGGGCTAGGGTCGGTAATCGGTCAGTTACCCGGTAATCAGGCACCGTTACCGGGCTAGGGTCGGTAATCGGCCAGTTACCCGGTAATCAGGCACCGTTACCGGGCTAGGGTCGGTAATCGGCCAGTTACCCGGTAATCAGGCATCGTTACCGGGGTATTTACCAGGTCGCTACCTGGTAAATACCGGCGCCGGCGCCGGCGCTCAGGGGATCCATCGGACGCCGCCCTAGCCTGTGACTGAACGTTTGGATTAAACTATTGCATGATCCAAGCGAACGGCAAAATTGATTTAGCGACACGCACTCTGCAACTAAACGCCGAAGGACTAATCAGCAACTGTTCTGGCGAGATATATGAGCTTAGCTTATCAGGGCTTGTACTTTATCAACTTCGCGATTCGTGCAACACGGCGTATGCTTACAACCTATAGCAAAATGGAGTCGTAGCTTGTATGATCATCGTGCGTGCAGGTTGCGGTCTGCCCCGATTGCGCCTCACTAGTACTGAGGCGCAGTCGGGGCAGACCGCGCCTCGCCCGAAAAATAATCGCCCAACAGCTGAATTGTGGTAGTTCAAATTATTACATGGTAAAGAATAATTTGAGCATGGCTTTTTTTAAAGCATGCACTTTCTGCTCTCTCCACATCAAAGGCGACGATGCTGCCTGGAAAGTGTACCGTCCGCGAAGTGCAGTCGTCATTTCACAGCGAGGAATGCTTAAGCTACAATTTGACTAGAAGCTGCACCTACGATGATGTGGGAGACTCTTGAAAGCGGGCAGATAAGCGCTTAATGGGCTACTATCATCCGTCGTTCAACGTTAAGTCGCGAACGTATTGCTGAGAGCTATCAACCGCCAGCCCCCTCGCAAGCTGACTACTTATAATGCTCTGTCTGCACCCCAAACCCCAGCCCGACTTGATGCAATGATCATTTCATCGCCTGAAAAGGTTTTCCCATAAGCACATATAGTTAACCCGCGAACTTGGTTTTGGGCTCTGCAAGCTAGCACGTCACTAAAATCAGAATCTTTAAGACCATCGGTTGTCTGATCCGTTCAGTTGCCGTAGCCTTGGCAGCGGAGGTTAGCTCTGTTGAAGCCGCCTGCATAACTTCGCAGTTGCCTGGCTGGCCGGCGGAAGTGTAGTGCCGAGCGTAGCTACAATTTCCTATCTACAGCTTCGACCCCTTGCGCCATGCGGCTTCGGTCCTGGTGGGTGCGCTGGATAGTGGCGACATTGGTGGCTTTGGTGGCAGCTGCGGCAGCTTTTCCGGGGGATGGAGGTAGGTGCCGAGGGGAATTCCTGAACGAAGGCGCGCTGCTACGGCATACCAGTCTGGGTAGTTCAGTTAGTTATCCTTGTTGCGCAATAGGACAAAAGTCCTTCGTATGCGTCATTACGGTATCGGCTATCCCGGACAAACTTGGGCCGTGTCTTGGGCCGCCGGCTCGTATGGTCCTGTTACACGTAATGCAACTCAAGGTGTGTTACAACACACGCACATATGCATGTAACATGCCTTCAAGCTGCTGCTGCTTTTGCTGCTGCTGCTTTTGCTGCTGCTGCTTTTGCTGCTGCTGCTTTTGCTGCTGCTGCTTTTGCTGCTGCTGCTTTTGCTGCTGCTGCTTTTGCTGCTGCTGCTTTTGCTGCTGCTGCTTTTGCGGCTGCTGCTTTTGCGGCTGTCGTTAATGCGGCTGTTAATGCTGCTAATGCTGCTGTTGCTGCTAATGCTGTTGTTGCCGCTGCGGCTGCGGCTGGGGCTGCTGCTGGGGCTGCTGCGGCTGCTGCTGCTGCTGTTACTACTGTTACCGTTGCTGCTGATGATGCTGTTGCTACTGATGCCGCCGCCGCCGCTGCTGCTGCTGCACCCAACCGAGCTTGTGATGGTTGAAATATAATGCGCGCGTGTGGCCCTGCACGCAATTCAACGGATTCAGGTGACCAGGCGAACGAGGTGCAGGTTGCAACGGGTGGCGGGGTTGTTGGCTTCACGTCGGCACTTCGGCACGGCGCGCAGCGCGCGCTGATCGCCTTGCCCCGCCGATTGCTAACTGGCCTGGGCCTGGGGCTCGCAGCGTTGTGCCCCTCAAGTGTGGTTTCTTGCTCTTCTGAAGTCAAGTACAACGGAAGGTGCGAGTCCGTTGGGCTTTTGGCCAAGAAATTCCTGTCGTGTCCCACGCGTCCTGTACGAGCGAGCGAAGGAATGAGGAAGCCTATTTCCCCCCTACTTTCCAAGAAGCCCACCCTTCTGGACCAGAGCGTGTCTTTACAATCCGCAGCGTTTCACACCATACACCATTCAGTTCCCGAATGAAGCTTCCTGCAGTAGCATCCTCGCGCCCTTACTTGATAATTAACATTGGGACCAAAATCAACACCCGCATCCGCCAATCCGCCACAGGTTTGCTACCCGATCGGCGGTTCTTGCTGAAACTAAGCCAAGTGAAAATAAGGGCAAGGGAGGCGGCGGTGGCGGCGGTGGCGGCGGCGGTGGCGGCGGCGGCGGCGGCAGTGGCGGCGGGGGTGGCGGCGGCGGTGGCGGCGGCGGTGGCGCTGGTGGCGGGGGTGCGCCTGCACCTGCACCTGCGCCCGCGGGCCCATCTGAACCTGCACCCGAACCAGCACCAGTGCCCGCGCCAGCACCCGAACCAGCGTCTGCATCAGCGGCAGCAGCGGCAGCAGCAGCGGCCGCCACACCTGCACCAGCACCTGTGTCGGAACCAGCACCTGCATCATCAGCACCAGCCCCTCAGACGAGCACCGCCACTTCAGCAGGTACGTTCCTAATATCTCTATTGGCCCTCGTAGATGGGCTAAGCGAGTATATAATATGTGTATGTATTTCATACTTTATAATATATTTTATAATGTATATGATGCGTGCCCAACAAAAAGTTTAGTGAAGGATTGCTGGTGCGGTGTATGCTCAGTCTACAATAATCTGTGCAATCCGGCTGCATGCGGTTTCCGTTTTCAGTTCTGTGGACCTGAACCTCGTGCCCATGCAGCCGCCCGCTTAATAACCCTTCCGCTAAACGATGGCCCCGATGGCCCCTCCACCCCATCTAATGCTCCATCAGGTCCTCTGACCAACACCACCCTTCCACTCAGGCTCCACATACGCACTCATCGTACAGTTCGTGTTTCCTTCTTCACGTGTGTCGCTACCCCGCGGGCCGCGCAGGTTCCAGTGGAGCAGCCGACGGGGGTTCTTCGACGAGCAGCAGCTCAGCCGCGGCGACAGCTACCATCACCGTCGTCGGCCCACCTTCCGCTGACGGTTAACCGTTTACGGTTTGGTTACTTTGTTGGTCTCTAGTCTCTGGTACTTCTGGTCGGGCCGGTCCACGAGGGTTGGGTTGTGTGGGTGGTGGCCGGAGGAGGCGCTGTTCTGGGGGTTGGCGGCAGGAGGGCCTCGGTTCGGTTGGTTCGAATGCTGTATGTGCAGCCTGACGTGCTGCCCCAGCCTCACTGAAATGATTGAATCGGGATTGAACAAGGGATAAACAAGGAGCAAGAAGTTCCTTTTCCTTTTAGATGGCTGCAGGGTACTTAGCTGCCAGGGGGCTTATTTAGCTGCCTCGCTGCTGCTTCGCTGGCCGGTTGACTCACTGGGGTGATTCTGCATAACAATAAATAGCACATCCGATGGTGAATGCGTGCCAAGGAGGGAGGCCGCGCAAAGAGGGCCTGGTAACAGGAAAAGCGGGCGGATGCGTTCATGCGGTGATAATAATCGTAATGGCGTCTTATTGAGCAATTTTGATTTTGCAAATGTCTGCCAGGAAGTACGGCGGCAACTGCCCGGCGGCCGAGCGAACCGGCCGCCGATACCTGGCGCAGCCGCCAGCTCTTCCCGCTAAGGCGAAAATGGACGGTTACAGACCTAGCCCGGTGTGCCATAGAGCGTTTGGTGGAGATCCTATGGAATTGGTTTCGCGATTCCGTTGTGATTTGCTGCGTATTGAATCCTTTTGCAGATGTGTGCAACGCACGGCAAACTCACAGCGCTCTACAATACTTTACGTGTACGGCACAGCGAATACCTGGCTGTCTGGCTGGGTAGCAGAGCTCGTCGGTAGCAGAGCAAACCAGGCATCACGACATTAAGTCTGCCGCACGCATGTGTTTTTCGATGCTACAGTCGTATGACGGGACACGTGTGTGACTTCCAAGAATAGGGACCTGCGGGGCTATCCAGCCGGGAAGGCGAGGCCGTCCAGGTAATAGCTGTAGGGCACTTGTAATAAGCGTTCCATATCGTTGCTCGTCAGTTTAACGTCTGTACTCATTTGCTTGCAGTGGTAAGCCCGGTCAGAGAGACCGAAGGTCCGCATCGCTTTCTCAACACCTTGGTCACCAGTGACTCTGCCCGGAATGCTGGAAGTCCAGGACTGTTAATACAGTAGGTGTAGCAGCTGGTAAATAGTACGGCACACATATCTGTCGGTTTCCTGAGTGAAACGGAAAAAAACCAAGGTTTTGCTGAGAGCGAACTCGGTTGAGTGTCGTTGTTGTGCACGACTGGAACGTACACGGCTAGTGTAAGTCGCAGGAGTGCGACGGAAAGTGTAATGTCCGCAAGTTCATAGTGCCAAAGTACGGACAGGTTTCCTCTGCGGCTTCTGCCTAACCTACAGCGTCCAGAAGCAGAGCCGCTTCGGTGACCTCCCATGGAAGCAAGCACATCTTTCCTGTCCGCAGGTACCTCTTCATGGCCATGTGGACGGTCCCTAAGCTGCAAGGCAACTAACTACTCGCGAAATCGTCTATGGATACGCGCTAGGGCACCCCACCGGCATCGTAAGGGCCTTTTCAGTGGCCAACTACTACAGTACGTCTGCTAAAGGGGCTAGACCCTGTGGCGCCCTGTACTCCTCACGGATTTTCAAATCTTGTTCATTGTACAGATTAATCCTTTTTAAGAGTTATGGTGCCGTGGTGGGTGCTATGATGCCGTATTTCGCCCTCGCTACTGGTTACCGCCGCTTGCTTCCCGCCGGGGGGTGCGGGGCCCAGTCCTGAGACTCATCATGTTAGCGTGTACACATGTACATGCGCTGCGCCTTAGAACCTGCACTTATCTTTCCTCCGCAGCTTGTCCGGTGCTTATTGTTCAGTCTTATTACCTCTGGATAATACGGTTCTTAGATAGGTACCTCTAGGCAGATGGCGCTATCGTACTTATACATGAACACGCCAAGCATTCGTTCAGCAACAATCCAGACGCAGACGTGGTGCACCGCACTTCCCCCCTAGATTTTCTACTGGGATACCTATATCTAGCTACTTGCAGACGAAGCGCTTTGTTTGCAGTACACGCAGGAGGGTGGGTGTATCCTCACCTTCATCTCAAACGGATCATTCGCCCGTCGGTTTGCCTGCGTGAGATGCACACCGGCTTCTGCGTGTGAGCTACCCGCATGCAAGGGGAAAACACCTTCCTTCGTCTGGTGGTCGGACCCGGCTTCTGAGGAACGTTAACCACCGGTCGGTCGTCGATCGCTGGCACACGCACATACACACACACACACACACGTACATACCGCACACGAGCATCGACTACGAAAGACTCACTACTTATTCGTCAAGTGCTCCGGGAGCTTTGGACGGGCCGCCGACCAAGAGCATTCGTGCGTAAGGAGCGGCTTGCTGGGTGGGCTGGAGACCTCCTCCGGTCAGTCCGCCGAGCAGGTTCAACGGTTGATGATGTTTCGCCAACATGCATGCACACAGGAACTATGATAAAGCAGCCGCTGACTGCACACACACATACACACGTACACACACACGTACAATTAGGTGTCCTGGCCAGTGTCAGGCCCGGATTCATATGTAACAAATACACATCGCATGCACACATTCACATACACGACACGACACGACATACACATATAGACATAAACGCACCACATACGTACACGCACACAACGTACATACATACGCGCACGACGTGGAATTGAAGCGACCGCCGCTGCTGGCTGGGATGCCAGAGGGCCGCGTTGCTGTCCAGTACCGATGTCTCTGCGGCTCTAGTTTCTTCCATTTAAATTAGTTGTTTAGGTCTGCACATGAGCCGACTGCTTCCTCCACACATACATCCACACACCTGCAAATTGCGTGGTAAATCCAACATCTGCCGAATGTTTCACGCAATCGAACCCGAGCGAAGTAGCAGAAATACCTCGTCTAAACACGCCACAAGGCTGTCCAGCATTTTAATCCGCCTCCAGCGAGAACACATCACTTCATCCCCCGATTACACACCCATGCATCGGCACAAGAGATTGTACCTGTCTGCATGTGGCCGCGTGTCGTGCTCTGTCTTTAGGATGTCCGTACGAAAGTCACCAACAAAATCACACGGTACGGCTGATTTACACAAATCAATCAGTTTCATTGGGAAGCATCCTCGTGCAGTTTGACTCGCACAGAAAACCGACGGCGGACATGTAGGCGCATGTGCCCAAGATGTTTTCCCCGTTGCGTTCATTTCCTAATAATCATAATCACGAATGTCATAAAAAGCCAAATTATTTTTTACCTCAGCTTCCGTCTCCGCTTTACGCCAGAGAGTGGGAACGTTTGTTGAGTTTTCTGTATCGTTATGCATGAGCAGCTAGATAGGGAGCCCCAAGACAATAAAATGCTGAGAGCTCCGTTCTACGTGCTAAGCAGTTATTACGCTCGCGGCTCCTGTTTTGATTCGATACGCAATAGAAGTAACTTGCGTCTAAATAGGGCCCGAGCAATAATAATATTCACATATTTTACCCAACCTGTGGGGCACTGGCTGGCACCCCGCCGGCGGACCGTGCCTCTACCAGACACCCTCGGTTTTTTGTTCTTTCACGCCTTGTGATCTTTAATTCGATGCGGCAGGTCCATCCTGGGGAGCTCGCAAAACTCTCCGCCTGCTCAACCCGTTGTAGGTACCCCGATTTTACTTTGATAAGCTCCCCCAACTTCCCGAGTATCCTGCCAAGCTGAAGCCCGGCTGGTTAGCTCCACATCCAATCCCCCCCAGCCGTGAGATCCCATGGAATGGGATGTGGGGCCAGATGGCGCTCTCCAAGGGAACTTCTACGTGCAGGTATCTGGGCGAGCTAGCAGCGCACAGGAGGTAGCGGTGCTGGCCCTCGTGTTGATGATGTCATCGAGCAGCCTTTACCACGGATCCATCCGGATCCATCCATCCGGATCATCGTTGGCTGGCCCCGATGATTGAGGACACGTCATAACACACCACGAGCCACTCGGGCCGCCTTAGATGATCGTGCATGTATGATGTGACGGAAGGGCGATGCCATGCTGATGGCCCGGCGGATATAGCTAGCAGGGCCATCGGTGTGCGGCGGTTGTGGTCGATCCCGCTTATTACAACAACCGGTCAAGCCCTGCAGGTCGGGCCAATGGTTGGCAAGCGGAATAAACCAGGAGGTCAGATTCACAAACGGGCAGCTTACCTCTGTACGCATGGAGGGGACGTTTTATCATCATGGTCCCACGGGCGGTTAATTAGGTGGTTAAGCTGCCGTACAGCAACATGTACAATCTCTGCGTCCTAAACCTATCTATCTCTCCCGATCACCTGTCGAAGACTCCAGGGGAATCCGGCCCAGCGCACGTCGTGCTGTCTCCTCGGACTCTTCCACGATACGATTGAACCATTCGTCTGTACGGCAGCCAAACAAGTCATAGAAACGAACAGCTTCAGAGCCAAGATAAAGGCATTGTTGAGGGCTTTCATAGCCATCGCTTTTGCCCATCGATTGACAGGAAGGTTAGAGGGTTGGAATGCATTGACGTGCCTGAACTAATGGCGTTAAATATTGTGTAAAACCCTGTATGTGGAGCTGGACCACCCACCCGGGGTTTCGCCTGTGGGGAGAAGATCCTCCTCCTCCTCCTCCTCCTCCACCTCCTCGCCAACCCCTGTGCCTTCCGCGGACTCTTCTTCCTCCTCCGCCTCCTCCTCCCCTGCCGAGATGCCGTCCTCCGCCGGCACACGCTCCTCTGCCGGCAAGTCCTCCATGTCCTCCGTCGGCAGCCGTAGCTCCTCAGGTTGTGCGTCCTGCTGGTGCGCTGTGTCCTTTGGCGTGGCCGACAACAGTCCCGCACTCTCTTGCAAAGCAACGGCCTCGTCCGCTAGCGGCATGCTCTCGCCAGTGGCTCTGTCAGGGATATCGTACTGTTGCCAGTCGTCGGAGTCGTACGCTTCAAGTCGCTGCTGGTGAGTCGCTGCCGTCGCCTTGGGCTGGATCACATCAGCCACAGCGTTTTGGACTGCTCTCTGCTTGCCCACTTCGTTGCTGCTCCGAAAAGATGACCGATTCTGCTGCTTATTTCTTGTCACTGTGTCCATATCTTGGCTCCTCCTGTCTTCTTTCTTTATCTTGATGTCCTTGTTCTTGCCGCTGGCAGCTTTCCTGTCTTCTTTTTTTACCTTGTCCTTGTTCTTGGCGCTGGCAGCTTCGTCCATAGCCTACGATGAGCCGCGAACAGAAGGGGGTCATAAGCAGTCAGTTGGGTTGTAAGTAGGTTCAATTTCGGGAAGGCTAATTAATGCAACCGAGACAAGTTGTGCATATCTTCTTGTGGAGGCACTGATAAGACGACGATGTCGGGAGAAGACGATGGATCGACCGCATGCTGAACCAAAACGGCATTTGTATCAATTTATTCGCCTCGTTGTGTGTGACGGGCATTGGTGCGCGTACATAGACGACTAACCAAATAGTAATCGTTAATACAGTTACGTACCCAAAAACAAATCGGATCAAGAAATCGGATACAATTTACTTGTGCCGTCATCCGATTAAGGGATCCACAAATTCAACAAGATCCCCACGTGGCAAAATCTGGCACAGGCGTCGACTGTTGAGTTGGCGGCGGGTCAACTTCAAAAGCGTTACATACCATACATGCTCACCGCCAGCTTCTTGGCGTTGGCTCTGATGCGGTCGACATCTCCAATTTGGAAGAGCCATTGCTGGAATGTGAGAAACAGGCCGTCAGCGGCGTTGAAGCGGAAGGCCAGGCGGATGAAGTTAAGCCGCCAGCGGAACCTGCGACGCGTTTCATACATACGTACATACGTACATCCGCAAGGAAATTAAAGGTAGTACGTGAACTCTTGAAACAAAAACCATCTGTCTGGGTGATCACGGGAATAGGATTGGGACTGTACACTATATATACATCCTTTGATGAGGCTTGACAATCTGCTGGATGCTAGATGCACGCTGACAAGCTTAATTTTACTTGTGGGCCGGTTTTACTGTCGGTCCCCGGCCCATGCACGACAGTCGCACTCGGAGGCAGTGAAGATGCCCGACCAGCAAAACATGCAGTGCACCACGTGCATGAATGCAGCCTCACTCCTGGAAGTAAATAGAGCGGAGGATATACATACGTGTCGGGGCCGCCTCTTCCGTACCTCCAGCCTGACTAGGCTCTTGCATTCATCATCACGCGTCTTGGAATTTATTTCATTATTTCCTGTTTTCAGCAACTTTTCCGTACATTACGTACCTTCGGGCTGTCCATCGAAGCCAACGTGCCAGCAGGCAGAGACGAACGAAGTCAACGGTGCGGTACATGCGGTACATGTACGGCGGTGAGCAAGAGGATTGGAATCACAACAACATACACCGCAGGGCGGGCAGGTGTGTTCGCCACAGCAAGAAGTGCTTTGTCATTTATGGAATTTATTTTTAAACGAGTAGGCATGAAAAATGCTTAGACGCAGTGAAAGCTGGCCCACCGTCTAGACGGCTGCTTGTCATTGCGTTTCTCTGACTCAGGCCTGCCGGGTCTCCCAAGGTCTATCCTGGCTCATCTAAATTCCTAAGACGACTCCTAAAATCCACTCGTTTGGTCGCTGCGTGCGTGGACTTGCCCGTTGTGATCCTGCCCGTGTGTTCACGTCGCACGGGAGGGTGTCCGTACAACAGCAGTAATATAACAAATAAGCAAAATATGAGGTACGCTACTGTTAAAATATGTATTATTGCCTTACCGAAATTCTGCTCAGCCTCCGTGAGCCCTCCTTCCTTGATGAACTTGCGTGTGCTGTTGACCAAGTCCTTCATGTTTTCCCGCTTGAGGCTTTCCTGGCCGGCCTGCCAGGACAAATTAGTTGCGTTCGGTCAGGTACGGACACAACTCATCTTGAGTTACCTTGCATGAAACCAACCAAGGCAAAAACATCACTGAAAGACAGCAAAGTTATATGGGAGTTGGTGAACTTTACATGCATGTTTACAGGAACTTATCCGAATCAACTATTCAAGCTGTAAATTGGAAAATGTACATAATTAATATCACATGGGCCACCAAACATTGGGTTCACGGCGCGCTAAATAAACCACAAATCGCCATCCAGCTGCCTTACCTGTAAAATTAGGTGGTATGTATCTGCGCCTGCTTGGAGCGCCTGCGCCGTCTTCACCGCGTTCTGCCCTCCAGCTCGCTCCAGAGCTGGCGAGTTAGCCACAGTCCCCAGTGCGCGAGAGGCGGCATCTGCTTGGTCCACCAATCGCTAACAACAGAGAGGAGCGAGGCGGTGTTAAACGGATTGATGCAACAAGGATGAACGAAATGGTCCAGGGAGACATACGTACGGTCGAGGGCTGTAAACGGGGTGTGGATATACGATACATGACGCACGGTGCATGATGTACGGCATACCGATGATGAAGATGAAAGCAATACCTGGAGACCTCGAATTTTCACGCACGCGCACTTGCGTCCAGGTAGTAATTGCGCGTACATTTCCACGTACAGTACGTGGCAGAGACACACACACACACACACACACACACACACACACACACACACGCACACACGCACACACGCACACACACACGCACACACACACACTAACACACGCACACACACACACGCACACACGCACGCACACACACACACACACACACACACACACACACACACACACACACACCTCCAGCCAGCTAGCGCCGCACCTGAAGCCCGTTGTTCAAAGCGTCGCTGTAGGTGTCCACGTTGATGTCCTGAGCGCGGTTGGGGACAATAGCAAGCAATAGCACCAAATATTTTTTTATGTAGGGTCGGCAGCGAAGGCTTGCAGAGAGCTGAATATTCAATAGGAAACGTCCAGCCCTAGCATGTATGGACGCGGAGGCACGGACCGTACGTCTGCCTTCCCTCACACCCTCGGCTGAACGCATCGGAAAGGAGTCGGACGGAGAGCTAGGGCTCACCGCTGTGTGGTGGCTGGTACTGGTGCAGGACAAAATAAAACGGGCTAGACGCGCACGTGTGTGCGTGTGTGGGAGAGTAAAGCGCATCCACAGGCAGAATCGACCCGATACGACCGGGTACCATGTGTAATTTACCGTGAGACGTACATGTATGTACCACCTCCACAACAGAGAAGAAACCCGAATTGCTGCACGAAGCGGTTTGCGTTACCTTAGGAGTGGGGTAGGCCCCACGCAACACCTCCACGCGACACCTGCACCGGCACCCTGCATCGCAGCAATCCCTCACCCACCCCCAATATGCCGTCCATAACCTCCTCCAGGAAGTCCGTGTCCAGCTCCGTGGCCCGCAGAGCCCTCACAGCGGGAGACTCGCGCTCGAAGGCCTGTCAGGAGCGGGCCCGGGCGCGGGCCCGGTGGTTGATGCAATCGGTACGATCAGCCATTCAAGTACGTAGAAAGGAAGGACATCGCGTACGTGAAATAAACTTCATAATCTAGGAAGATGAAAAAATCTCAGTTATGAAAGGCAACGCTATCAGTGTCTGTATGGATTATTTTAAAAAGCCTGTATAATGGTATGGTATGTATTGGGAAGGCCGATCTTAACGAAATGGCCCATTAATAATTCTTGAAGCCGTCAATTCATTGGCTCGCTGAGTGCATACACGGTCTCCTTAGGCATGTAATACACATGTAGGGTTGTGCCGGCTGCTGCCCACCTTTGCACTGTCGTACATCTTTTGTACCTCTGGATATCGTACACCAGGCCCTGACTTCCTGGTGAAGTCCAACGGCTCACTGGGCGAGTCAACTGTGGGAAACCAGGCAGACAGGCGGCGGCTGCTGGAGGACCCCTCCAGGGGAAAGGGGATGGGCGCTTCGCGAACAACATCCTCGCCGCGGCTGCCTCCGTCGCCGCCGCTGGCTGCGGCCGCTTCCTCAGCTGCGAGATCCTCCGCATTGGGCACCCTGCCGGTTCGAACTCCATCCGGCACCCGGCTGAACAGCCACTCTGCCCCCGGGACTGTGAGTCTGCACATGTTATCCAACAGCGCCTGCTTGTCAAACGGCACAGTGCCGCTGCGGCCCTCTGCAAACAGAGAGAAGAATAGACCAGATAGGAGGGGGGGTCAACCCTCGTATCTTTTGGCGGGGAGATCGTTGTTAGATCGGCATCCGCGAAGTGGGTTTGGCAGCGGATATTGACATAAGACTTGCGGTAGTCAGGCAGGCAAGGGATTCGGTTTATAAAGAAGCAAGAGAAAGTGAAAACGCCGAATCCATCTCGGTGATGGTCCCGGGATGAGGGCCGGATGCACTGGTTGTGGAAGCGGCTTGAGATGTTGCCGTTATGTTGCCGTTAGTTAGTTAGCTTAGGGTTTTTAAGGTTTTGTGGACACCAGGGTGATCAGCAGCGAGGCATGAACATAGATTGCCGTACGCTAGGCGCAGAGACGCACCGATTGTGCCCCATGGATTGCTTCTGTCGTAAATCGAGTCGTCGTTGCTGCACTCAGCGCCATCCTCCAAGCGGAAACCTTCTGAGGCGGCGCCATCGTCGCGAATGCCAGTGTTGCTGGCCCGGCCACCGATTCTTGTGTCGCCGCCGTCAGCATCCTCAAAGCCAGTGCCACTTCCACGAGGGTTCCCTTCGCCATCGCCGTCACCGCCATCGCTGCCACCGCCGCCGCCACCGCTGCCACCGCCGCCGCCGCCGCCACCGCCGCCGCCGCCACCGCCGCTACCACCGCCGCCGCCACCACCGCTGCCACCACCGCTGCCACCACCGCCGCCACCGCCGCCACCGCCGCCACCACCGCCGCCGCCCCCGCCGCCGCCCCCAGTGCTAGAGCTCATGGCCGCTCGGGTCCGGATAGCGATCTGCTTACATGTTCAAAAGCGAAAGCCCACATTGTTGACGAACGTAGGAATGCTACTTAGGTAGTTGTATGTCCGGTGTCATAAAGCTGAAGATACCACTAAATAATCGAACTAACCGAACCATCCAAACCCTTATACCGTGGAGTGCGCCTGCTATTTGCGACCCTCCTTAGCTAGGCAATCAAATTGTGGAAACGGTTTGCCAACTTCAGCTGCATGTGCTAATAGTCCAGGTCTGACACCTGTCTGACGGGTCACTTCCCCGCGCACGTTCCCCCGCTGTGGCATCGTCTGCTACGGCAGTAGTGCCGTACATGTCGCGCACCTCGATGTCGAGCCCGTAGACGACGATCTTGCCCGGCCAAACAAAATTTTGTAAGATGATTTCGGACCCGCCTGCACTGGACATGTCGCACCACCAACCAACTTAGCGGAACGGTGCAACGACCGGGTTAATTAGTTAGTTAGTTAGTCCGTCGCTGATGACCGTTTTCAGGCGCATCATGATGATATGTCGTCACCACGTTTTGGTGTCCTGCCTTTCGCTGCTGGGTAGTGGTACTACGTATTCCATAACCCGTGAAATTCCCACCTTCCAACCAGCCCGCACACATTATATGAATCACGTTCAAGGATGAGATGGGACTTAGGGTTTATCAGCTTGCAAGGTTCTACGCAAGTGCGAGGGTACGGACGGTGAAAGCATGGACGGGGACACGGACGGGGCCGTGGACGGGGGCATACATGCTTACATACGCATGCACAAACACACACGTGAGACCATGACCAGCATGGAGCAGACATGCCCTCGTGCGCGTCCCTGGTTAGTCGCTTCTATTATTTCCCCATTTATTATCTTCACCCCCCCCCTTGCGTGCGTCCACTGAAACAATCCGCTGTGGACGCCTGTGGTTTACTTGGAGCATATTCCAACAACGTACAAAGAGGTCACACCTAGTCAGCAGGAACGAGATCTCAAAATAAAGCTGTCCGAAAATCCAGGCCCATAGATTGAAACGTCGGAAAAGCTGCCGTAGTGGATTTCCGTACGGCTACAGCCCTGACTCACCGATCAATAGCTGCACCCAAGGCTGGAATGTCCTGATTAAAGGCGTCGCCTTGTACGGCAGTCCAAACAGCTGTTGCGTGTTGTCGATCGAGCGGATCATATCTGCATGCATGTGCACGATGGTAATCAATTGTGTACGGAATTAAAGAACGTACGAAACACGCATCAGTTGAAAATAATCACTCAGCAAAGGAGTTGTGCAGAGAGCGTGAAGGCACAAAATCACTTCTCCGTCGCCCCCGATCTCCAATGTCAATAACTTCCAACGCACGCCAAGTAGGATGTGGCGTCACACACCGTGACAACCGATGCCAAAGCAAGCAAGGCAAATAGAACTACTCGCATGCTTGCAATTACCCGTATACTGCGTGCTCCCACAAATGCGGGCAGCATCCTGCAGACCAAGCAGCAAGCTCACTCAAGGGGGCTTCTCGCTCCTCCTCTGGCATCCATCTAATCGGTCCTAACTTACTCCAGCAGCCAGCAAACACCTCAGACATCCCCGACCAGCCCATGGATTCCAAGTCAAGACATGACGCACGTCACGCACCTGCAACTGCGTCGTCTGCGAGCTCTGAGTAGGTCTTGTACTTAATGTTGGCATCCCGGGTGACTAGGGTGCCGATGGCCGCGGCCAGGGACCCCCCGCTCAGCGCGTTGAGGCGTACGGCGGAGCCCAGTCCGGTCAGGGCGCCGCGGAACACACTGCTGTCGGCGGCGGCCTGCTGGGCCTGTACGTTCGTATGCATGTACACGTGTGTTAAATAAAACCGCGGCTCATATCATATAAAAAATAACGCCGAGTATGATGTGTGTGAGTCTTGGAAAACTTTGTACGTTGTTTTCGTGTTCTTTCGCGGTTATGTGTGAGGAGACAACAACAGCTAACGTAACGCTACGGCCAGCCAGCTATCTACGCGCAATCAGATGGACCTTTTGCTCACTTTCATGGCTAAATAACGCCGTCCGCGAAATTTATTTCATGTGACATGACATGACGTGATGGCCACATGCTAATACTGAGGCTCTACTGCACACCCCTGGACAAGGGGTTCGCTCGTACAGCAGTTAAGATGTTCAGCACAGTCGTTTCCGGCCAGCTTTATCCTGTTTCGCTAAACCAGCGTACACCATCGCTATTTTAGCTACTGGCTAGGAGTGACTCCAGGGCGCGTGTGACTGAAGCCGCGTGCCCCACCACCGGTCACACATACCCAACATATCCTAGCCAGCAGCAGGCTTGCTGCCCGCAGGCATGCCATGATAATGGTAAATAAATATGGCCCTGGTACTAGGGCTCCCCGGTCCGTATGGTCCCGCTACACCTCTGGAGGGTTACGCAACTCCAAAAGTTGTACCACCCCCACCCCCCCATACACGCACACAAGGAGGAGAAGGGTTTAGCGGCCGTTCATGTTTGGGTACGGTTAGGTGCCCCTGGCCAGTGTCAGGCCGCGATCGATATGTAATTAGCAAACACACACACGTTCACTAGGTCGTACCATGGACAGCGTCAGGAGGGGAGGCAAGGAGGAATTGGCGGGAGGACACAGCACCAGGCTCCAAGATTTGAAGTCGATTTTGCGTCTGTGACAGTTAATACGGGAAGTTGAATTCAAATAGAGGTGAGAATAAATTACAGCAGAGGGGGCATAAATGGGAGCACGAACATGACGAGTCCATTTTTATGGTGTGCAGTCCGTGCAGTTTCCTGTTAAATAACTTTTCGTTTAGGGGCTGGCCGCCGCACGCCAGTGCAGCACACTACCGGTGTGCTTTTGTCACCGCAGCGACTGCACTGGCGATTTCTGGCTGTTTTCGTAACCGTATACAGCTGTCACCCGTAGGCAGCTGGTCCGCTGTAGGGTGCTATCTGCTGTTGCTGCTTCGCGGTTAGTGCACGTATCATGCCAACCCAACGCACACAGCCGTACGCAATAATATAGAATCCCTAGGGCTCAACTGCTTGCAGCAGGTGCCATTTGTCGGTTAAGCTTCCACGAGCACCAGCATGAAGGAATGTATGCAGCTAGACCTGCCGAGGGCCATCCTATATGTTAGGAACTACGTGCAGCCCCTCCCATGACTGCAATCTGTCGCGGACAGTCGCTCGCGGCATGTTTTCTTTGATACATTTAAAACGCAATCATGAGTCGTGAAAAACATGCCTGGCGTGTATGGTTCGGCAGGGTGTTCAAGCGCGCGACGGCTACGACGGCTACGACGGCTACTGCATTGCCGTACTGCAACCGTAACCGTACACTCACTCTTGCCAGTTCTCGCCCAGGTCAGCCACCCGCAGCACCCATCTTCCCCGGCTCGTGAGCTTGGATGAGGAGAAAATCGATAGCGGCGTGACAGGCCTGTGCGCCCACGGAGGGCAGCGCACAGCAGAGGCATGCTTACTGAACGAATCGTTTTTTACGTCGAACCATTAATTTCAATGGTCAAATTTTGACTATCCATTAATCTTACTACTCACCGGAACCGGTGTTAACTTCCCTCGCGTAATAAAATATCTTTACTCGCATATGATGATGATGATGACGATGATGATGACGATGATAATCCGTACATCCACCTCTAATGATTGTCGTCTCGCACGGCTAATGACGGGAAGCAAATGACCAGCCAGACTATATGTGTACATACAGGTAAACCGCATGATGAATCAAGTCACAAACATCGCTTTTATAGTCATATGCCGTACATCATGTCCACGTGCCTGTACGAGCCCGTCAGCACCGGAGGCGATGCCTGTGCCACGGCCAATGTGGCGTTAAAATAGTCCGCAAACGAAACATTCTTTAGTTGTGTGGCGCCTTGAGCTTCCTGTAGCCCCTTGAGGACGGCTCGGGCCCCCGACGCTCCCGCCAGGTCGTTAGCGGTTAGCTTGACGTCCGCCGGCGCATCCGAGTACGGCAGCCAGTACAGCGCAATCTGCACGGCCATGGCGTGCGAGGAAGGCATTTCACTGTCTATGTGTTTAAGTTAGCTTAGAGACCCAGACTGTATCAGGAAAAAAAAGCGCAACCCTTCCCCCACCCGACACAACCCTGCCCGACACTACTGCACGTGTTTCGCCTGTTCACACGTGCACCTGGCCCCATCCAACACCTCACCATCCACATACTCAGCAATCTGCAGTAATTTGTTGGCTGGAATGCTGGGATCACCAAACAGCACTCTCACTGCCTAAACCCAGAGACATGTCATCGTCCGCGACTCACCAGCAGTGCTCCAACCCGGTCATGTTGCAAGGACAGGTCCCGGACCTCCACCGCTCCCACCTCAGGCCCTACTTGATCCGCCACCAGCAGCGTGCTCAGCATGCTGCCGGGGCTCCCGCCCGGAAAGGCCGCGTCGGTGCTGTAGCTGACACACTGCAGGTAGGATTTCAGGTGGGGTAGCATTCACCGGTGGCACACCTCCAATCGATCGGGCGCCGTACAATGCACCAGTACAATGCAGCGTGTGTCCTACGCGATGGGATAATAGCCTTTCTTATACGCTTTTTCTGTTACCTATTTCGGGCAGCCCTAGGCCCCCTCAAGGCCCTCGGGTCCCCTATAAAGGGCTCCAGGTATGGGCCCGTTGCGCGTTCGGGTAGTAAAACGCAACTCCAGAAGATGCAACACGCATACACATACATACGTATATACACACATACGTGTCCGTGTGAGACCACTTGCCTTCATTGCTCCAACGCCGGCAGGCGCTAGCAGCAAGGCACTCAGGAGTGCGGCCACGAAGAGGTGGCTGGACAGCCGGCAACAGGTTCCCCGGCTGGCTGCCTCCAAGCGGCTGCCTCGCCTCCCAGGGCCGCTGTGCCTGACGTGACGAGTTCGCCGCATCACAAGTACCGGTGGGCTGCTGAGGAAGGTGGGCACCACCGGCGGGCCACTGCCTGCATCCCTTGCTCGCTCGTTCTCGCACATCCTTGCCAAATTACGGTGGCGCGGGTAAAAGCTGAACCGAAGCGCGGCCAGGTCCTTCGCTGTTGAACTGAGGTTCAAGTTGAGTTCTTGCTTGGAGTCGAAGCAGACGGTGGGTTAAGGTCTCCTATATATAGTTGACAGTCCTCAAGAAGGCAAGCAAAAAGTTTTATTCCGTATCGCAATATTCCTTAAATGTAGAGAATTGTGCCTTTACGTGCGTTTCGGAATTGTTTGTCTAGTGTGTCTGTGTGCGTCGCACAGCCGACATGCTTGAAAAACTCTGGGCAGACCTGGATTAGTTCCAGTACGCCAGGTCAGACAGCAGCAGCACTGCAGGATTGGGCAAGTGTACGTTTACGAATCTGTCCGAACCATGGCAACGTCACTCGTTCATGTCAACTAAGTTCTCCGCTTCGTTCCATTGTGGAGGTTTGTTGGAGGCGCCCACGTACGTGCGCGCTACTCGTCGGGCAGTCCAAGCTTGTCCCTTGGTTGACTCGACGAGCCTCGAACGGGACCAGCTGCCAGGCCACGTACGCGTGCGAATCGATGAGACAAAGGCAGCAGCAGCGCATCTGGCGGTAAAGTAATAACAACGAATCCTCTGCCTTGACTTTGCCCTGCCTAATTCTTAAGGAAGACACTCCTATCACAGTCCTATGCTAGCTATCTCGTAATATTATATGGCTTGCCCCCACCAGCCCCCACCTACGCCGCCGTCCGCACGCGGCGGAGGAATTTACACGGCCCGACGACTGTTCCAGATGCGGCCGCCGTACATGTACAGGAAGGATGAGATACTTGTGTTGCTGCGGTAGCGGTGCTGCAATGCTCGAGGCAGCCAAGCAAGGCAATCAGTCTTTGCCATGACTTTGTCCTGCTGCTTCGCTCGGGGGCCGAGTCGACCACGATAGGAACATAGATGTCGCGGCGATGCGATGTATGTATGTATGTCGTTACAGGGTGGTTAAGCTTTACCAGCGGCCCCTTTCCCGAGGCAGTCCCTGCTCTCCCCTGCGAGAGGGGCACCCAAATCCATTCAACCCATCCAATTTCAGAGTGTATTCGTTGGGATCAGAAACTAACCACCAGCATCCCACCAAATCAAGCGGATTAACGGCGCCTCAACTTAGTTCCTGGTTCGCTCGCAAGCTGATATAATGACGTCCTACACCGTCCACAAAATGGCAACCCCCCTGGGGTTATGCATGATGACGTATGATGTAATTCATAATCGTGAAGTATGTAATCCGGTCGAGCGGTTGTCCGGATGCGTGACCGGTAAGTGAGCTTGGGGGCGCATGTCCATCGACGTCTACTTGCTATGAAATGTGTGTGCATGTGTGTTTGTGTGTTAAACCCTGAACGGAATACCCTCTGGCATCACTATTACGTTCACACCTTCCCGCCGGCTGCTTTGAAATTGCTGGATAGGGTTCGCACTTGCAAGGCACGTAGGATGCATGAACAGGGGTACTTATCGTTCCAGCCCAGACTCAGAATAGTAGCAGGTCGTGGATTGTCGTTAGGTTGTCGTGTAATAGGAGTTACAAGTCCAAAGCATATCCGAAGCGAATCCGAATCAATAATGTAGAGAATCTAGCAAGTCCGTTAGTTAGTCCGTTAGTTAGTCCGTTAGTTAGTAATTCAATTTTGTTGAAGGCCACACCCATCCAAACCCATCCATCCGGATGAATGCTCGACCCCTCGTACACGCCAGCCAGCACATTTATATGCACAGTGTTGCTTACATAGATTTACATATATTTATGCATTATGCCCAGAAGTTCCCTTACCTACACATACATGCATGCACGCGGCATGCCGCTGCGCCAAGCAACATCATCAGCAGGACAGACTTCAAAGGGTCACGCAAAGCAAGTTATCCGACGCTGCCGTACTGAGACGCACGCAAGAGGTTTGCAGTTGCCATGTAATACTAAAGGACTCATGCATTTTTGGCGAATCCTAAGGACTGTTTTAACTTGCCTGTCCTGCATCCAATCATTACAATTTACCGGCGTACAATCGCGGCACGGAATAGTGCACGACGGCTTGAAAAATGCACATGTCTGTTAATCTGCTGGACCAGCCATGCCAGTCCGTTGTGTGCCTCGCCTTTTTGCAGGTATCGATTTGTAAAACACAATCACACAGATGTACTTTCTTCGTCTGCACAAAGTGCTATCACGACTGCTGATCACACGGCCCACTTGCAAGCATCAAAATTGGCTTTTTTTTCCTTTCCCGAAGTAGTGCCAATTTGGACAACCGCGTCGCCATTCGACTGCGTCCTATTGCCGCGTGCATTTAGCGATCCTACAGGACGATGCGATCGTCGAAGTTGGCTTTGCGAAAAAGCATCCTAAAAAAAGTCGTTGACAGAAAGTCTATTTAGGCAATGGCAAAGCGATCAGCGTGAGGATATAATTATTGTGAGCGCCTCACGCCCCCTATAGTCGCTACATACGCTCAGCTGCGGGCCTGGCGGATTCGGGTGGTAGATCGTCATCATCGACCCATCCCACTTGCAGTCGGGAAGGTCCGCCGGTCAATGCCTACATACAAAGCAGGTGCGCAGGGACATATTCGGCACGGCGGCGAGGGTGAGGGAGCCACTCTGTGGGCTCCAGCGAGATTCCTGGTCCGGTATCAGGTATCAACCTCTTCAGGCAGGAGTTGCTGCGGCGCGCGGTAGCTTTAAACAACAACCGCTATTAACTAGATGTACGTAGTACGTAGTAAACTAGACCCTGCAAACAATAAAGAGGAGGAAGTGATATCTACTCGGTCACTTATTCGTACCTGCACTACCTGTACGTGTTACACTGTCGCACGGAGTACACGTCGTATCTGAGTATGTCGCAAAACAATGTGAAGGGGACTTGCAAGCTAGAACGAGCTCAGCAACGAGCTCAGTCCTCATACTGCTGCTGGCCGTTCACCGGTTATAACCCAAAAATTGCGCTCGGCGTCATCATGTCGGTCTGCCATTATCCGCTTTGCAGCCAAGGACGTGGTTCGGTGCCTCGGATACAGTGCACCGATGGATACAGTCTTTTACGAGCTCGGTAGAATTGCATGTCAATTGCCTCCGGATGCATGAACTGATGTTAGACCTACGCACTCACCGATGGTGTGGTCCACGGGGATGCGGGACAGCGCCTTCTTTGCGAGTTGATTGGCCTCATCCTTGACACGCTTGAACCAGGCTTCTGCGCTCGGCCGTGCATCCCACACATGTTCGTGGGTACACACATACATAAGTGTATACAATAATAATGCATGCACACGGCAAAGCGCATGCAGCTGGATGGGCTGGGCAGCTGGCTGGGACACGATACACACACACGGCGGCTAATGCGATGTGCGTGATGCCGCGTAGCAGAGTGCTTGCTCCATTACTACTACTACTTCTATCTCCACTACTACTATTACTACTGCTACTACTATCTCCACCACTACTACTACTACTACCACTTCTCGCTCCTAGGTACACGACAATGTGTGCATGTCGGAGAGGCCACCCGAGTATGGATGGGAATGAACGAATCTACCCTCCTGTTTGCGCCCATCGTAACGATTCCCATAACTTTATCCATATACACCCACCAGGGGTCTCCCCAGTAGGCATGTGGCCGCGGCCGCGAGAGTGACGGCCGCCGCTGCCGCCGCTACTCCCGCCGCCGCCACTACTGCTGCTGCTGCTGCTGCTGTCAGAGCCTTCCCTGAACTTTTCACCGGCGTCCTTTTCGTCACCCTGCTGGTTAGCTCCCTGTTGCTCCCTGCTCTTCATTTCCTTCTCATTGCCTTTCGTTGCTTTGTCCAGGGCCTGTCAGTCAGTCAGTCAGTCAGCCAGCCAGCCAGCCAGCCAATAAATGACAGAAGCTCATCATTTAGGGCACCCTACAGTTGCTGCGGAATCCGCGATCCGCACGCACCTGTAGCGCGTTTGCAACCCCAATGATGCTGTTGACGTCGGCCCAGTTGTAGAGCCACTGAATGAACGACACCTGCACGTCACCCGGTGGCAGTGATAAGCGGCAAGCGGTATATATGTGCACGTGGAATATATGGCCGTGTGGAGGAAGACCTCCTGGAAGACCTCCAAAGGAAGTGGGCGCACAATTGCGACTCAATTCATCCACATGTGCGTCGGTTAGGGACTAGATAGCAGTTACGAGGAGAAAGAAAAAATATTTAGGGGGCCATTCATGTATGGCACCATACAAGCAAAATCCATGTACGGCGGCGGGCGCAATCCATGTACAGCTGTATGCTGTTGTGTGAGGTTAGCTGCCACCCTCCAGCTTTGCATTTGCGCAGCAGCTCGCAACTTCGCCCCTACAGGCTTACTGGGTTAATGAAAGACGACATCGCTTTAGAAACACTTCGATGGGTTGCTTTGTCAAAGTAAAATTTACCCCAGAACCATTAACCCGGCGGGTAGGTGATGAGCGATAAAGTGTTGGGGGTCGCTATTGGTTACCAGTACTAAGGGTTTCGTTCTCGCAGGTTTACACCAGCGGCCCCTATCCGTGTTGCCAGTCTCCTGAAACCGTCCACTGGCGTGTGGTTGGTTGTTCAACCAACCCGCCGCCCTCAACCGGACCACCTCTATTTCAGGTGCCACCAGGTGCATATTTCGGACTATGCATGGCAAATGGTGACAAACCAGCCGGCGGCGGATTCCTGACCCTACTGAAAAGCTGGGCTATTCGAGCTACACTCCCTACACTCCTGATCTGGACTCTGATCTGGACTCGAACTTACAAGCCTATGATCGCCAATGCTCATCCTCAATAAGGAACGGTTTTTCCGGCGACTGCTTAGTACATACATACATACAAATTGTAATACATATATGAGCACACATTCCTATTCGCCGTTCGACCTACCTGTAATCCGTCCTGAGCGCTGAATCTGAAGGTCAGACGAACTCTGCAGCCGGAGCGAGGCAAGGGAGAGCGAACCCGGCAACGGACGGGTGGCTGGGCTTTACTTGCGGCCTCCACAGTGCAGAACGCAGAGGGCCAGAGAACCGAACAACAACAACAAGGACTTCAGCTATTCCGGGGGCCAAACGATCCAGAAAAAGAGGACTTACCAGAGCTCCTCGTCTTTAACGAGCTAGACTTTCGCGCTCGTTGCTCTGGGTGTGTGCGTATGTCTGTATATCTGTGTGCTTCAAGGCACGTACATGGTGCAAGGAACCGTAAAATCTCCAAGCGCACCCTGCAACCCTACATACCGCGCCAGCGTGGGGCCCTATGCCGCCCGGCTAGCACTAGCACTCGGAGGAAAGGAGTGAGTCTATCCAGCAGTGAGGTGGGGGCTCCTGTTAGCCAGCAGGAGCCCCCGCCCCCACCTACGAGGGAGCGACCCTCCACCAGTCTCCCCCCCAACCCCACCCGTGTACTGCCATCCAGGGCCCTCGAAAGCCCGTCTGGGTATGGCGAACTTATAAAATGAAGTACCTCCCATCAGACCCAGTGTTTTTTTTAAGTAATATATTACTTTTAAGGAATAAAGAGGCCTTTTTGGCCTTTGGAAATAAGGAACAAAGTGAGGCCGATCCGTACATTTTCATTCCTTCAGCCAAAAACGTCCATTGCTGCCAGATTGCTCCGTAGTGTGCAGAACTTAGTATTATCGATCATAAAATAGATATGAGGGGCCGTAAGAAGGTCAAGCCCGTGAGTCAACGCGGCATAGCAGAATGTATGACCGGTCCTTCCATAGACAAACACGCAAAAGGCAACGACTTGAACGCCGAACAAACACAAAAACAGCAAGATAAGTCTGAAATTTTTCCTGATAAAGGCGTTTGGGACGGCGGTGCTGTTGTCGGTAATGCATCGGCAATGTTGCTGCCAGCGGCGACCGATGACACGGGCGCCATTACCCCTGCCTTCCATGGCGGTTGTGATCAGCATAAGCGCAAGCTGTCACCCAATCAGCTTGACAACAACGAATGCGGCGAGGCGCCCAACCCGAGCGCTCGCAGTGCCAAGCGGGCTCAGACACAGCGCATCCGCAAGGGCATGAGCGACGGTGCATGGCGGGACAAGCAGAAGGAAAATCCCCACAGATGGCAGATTGCCTGGGCCGCCAGGTATTTGCTATGCGGTTGCTTGCTTTGGGCCTTTGCTTGGTCGGATTTACTTTTTGTTCACAAACAGTGCCAGAACTATCTATGCATGTGCATGAAGCGTGCGCACATGAACGAAAACGCGCCAACGCAGTGTGTGCCTCTTGGTCTATGAGGGGAGTTGTAACTTATCGGGGGGGGGTCTGGTGGGGGCGTAGCCCCCCCCAGCGCCCCACTCTTAAGGAATACATAACGGCGACGCTAGCAACTTTGTTACTTAGGTTGGAATAAATTGAGACGCCCCCTAAATGAAAAAAAAATCACTGATCAGACCGACCAATCATGTTACCAGGAAACCACCAACCACATAAAAAAACCTTCAAGAAAATATATGCAAGTCACAAGTTACAAGTTCCGCACAAATGTGGGGGGCCGTCCGTACAAAGCCGTACAGCTCACGTACTCATCTCACCGGGAGAATAACCACGTGAAGCGGTCCACTGTGTTGGGCTGCTGATTGCGTTTCTTGGCCGCCCTCTTCATGCCCTCAAACTCCTGATTGACACCGCCGCTCTTGAGCCACTCGCGAGTCCAGTTCTGCATCTGTGGCTCGTTGAAGCGCTGAAGCGACTCCTCGCCGGCCTGTGCGTGGGGATGTTACGTGTATTACGTGCATGATGTATACATACAGACATGCACAGGCATGCACGTATGGGTGAAAGAGTTCACGAGGGCCGATGGATCCGATAGATTAAATCCTGGATCCGAATTACTAGATCTGAATCCGTGGACAAGTAGGTCTGGATCTATGGACTTCCTTTCGGTTCCAATGAGTTTAAATTGCCAAAACCGAAAGATCACTAAGTGGAAAGATCACACGATCCAAACCTATCGAATGTGTCTGTATGTATGTATGCACCTGCGAGTGCATGTATGCGGCTTGCCGTATACACAGCAAGCCTGAAATATGATCCATCTTGCTGTCCACTGCAGAACGGGATCTCGAGAATGCTGAGAATGTTAAGAATCCTAGGAATTTAATCGTCGGCAGTGTGCACATACTCACTCGCAGTATCTCCGTGTATGTGTCTGCACTGGCTTTGAGCGCCTGAGCGGTCTGCACGGCCGCATCGCCCCCCCGCGACAGGAGCTCAGCTGATGCAGCAACAGCATCCAAAGTCGACGATGCCCGTTCCCCGCGATTTACGGCAGCCTGGGCGGGGTAGAGGGCGCAGTCCACAGTAGCGAGCAGGGTTGAGGGAAGGCAGCATTCATCGATAGACTACAGCAACAGCACCGACAGTCGCAGCACTGACCAAGCCCATACAGTAAAAGTATGGCCCAGTGCTGCCCATGTAGCAACTGCAGGTGCTAAAGGCAGCTGCGGGGGCCCCCCGGTATGTACGTATGTATGTACTCCAAAGCAAGGATACCGAATGCAGTTTGACAGAATGGAAAGGGAAACACGCATTTGCAGCAAGCCGATGCCCGGTGATGCATGCCCGGTGAACTTTGTCCGTCCCCCGGCCAAGCCAGCCACATGTACGCTTATCACCAGTGAGCGTCTTCAAGCGGTGCCGCCGACATCCTGACTCCATCTGTGCTTCGTAGGTCGGCCGCGGAAATGTTGATGTATCTTTCCCGCATGGCCCGTTAGCAGGGCACGCAATCCTATCGGCCGTACACCTAACATGCGCGTGTACCGTACAGTTTGGCTACCTTCCGTGATAGGAAAATGGAGCCCGCTGCTGTTTCCCCGCCTCTCCTGAGTTTGGGCCCAAACTGGCTGCTGGTTGGCGCGACTTCGTCAGGGGAAAAGTTGCAAAAATAATGACAAGGCCGGATTAGCAGCTCGGCCGGATCGTGCGCGACATCTCCGGCATGTAGGCCATATCTATGTAGTTCGCAAAGGTCAAAGGTCGCAATTTCTGTGCTGCAGTCCGTGGTGGAGCTTGAACTACTAGGATCTGGGTTGCCATTCCAGACACGCACGCACATCGCCGTACACATGAAACTGCTCACAGGGTAGGTTTCAGCACATGCAGAAATATAACTAAATACCCAAAGGAAAATAAAAACAAAATTACGCAGCATTCCTGGAAAATAATTCTTTGCTTTGTAGGACCACGCTGGCACCGTACCTTGAGCTCACTGAGCACTGCGTCGTTATAGACTCCCGCCTCGATGTTCTGCGAACGGCCGGCAGAGGAAAGGCGGAACCCGTGTCGTGGATAGCCATGCAGGTTATCACTGAGTAGGCACGGTGCAAGGGGTGAAACCATGAACGCCGGCGGACGTCCGCAGGCGACTAGCTGCAGTTGCTGGCCGCTGAAAAGGCCTCTCAAGCAAGGTGCTGACAGATCGCCTTAGCGCGTATTTACAGACAATGTGCGTGCCGTACTATACGGCAGCTATAAGGTAAATCAAATATCTAAGATGAATCAAGTTTCTAAGTCTAAGCCTAACGGGAATCGAGTTTCTAAGTCTAAGGTGAATCATGACGTACACACACAAAACGCCGACATCCTGTGCGGCATATCCAATGAGGCAGTTACAACGAGACGCACGTTGAAGGAACGCTCGATGATTTGGTTGATTGCGTCTGGATTGGGTCGTCCAATTGTCCTTGGTTCCCGCCCAGCACGATCTCTCTGGTTTGTGCCTCCAACGGTGTCCCAAGGCTGCCCCAGTACGGGCTCGTCCGGGGATTCCTGCACGCCAGCGAGCGGGTCGGATAGAGCTACCGTTGGTTGCTAAGAGTCCTTACAGCAGGAAAGGCTACTACGTGACAATGGACACCGGCGTAGCTTTTAATCAGGAAGATTGTGATGTGTTTAGGGGGGCTGGGAGTCGCCGTTCGTCACAGGCTCGGCAGGTCCTTACATTTACTATGTAACTGCTGTGAAGGCGGAGGAAAGCCAAGAAGTCAAGAAGTCAGGAACTCCGAACTTGAGGAACTAAGTAGGCTTCCTCCTATCCGGAACTGTTTGGTTGCCATGCAATTCGTACACTAGGAGACATTTCGCGTGCACACGAAGTGATTCGGTCCTTCCAATTGGCAAGGGCATCGATGGGGTGTGGGAAGGGGATAAAAATGGTAGCTATTCATTCACCAGTTGGTCAGCCTTCCAAATCCAGCAAGCACCATAAATACACTGTAATACATAGTACAGCAGTATGTACACACACACACACTCTTACCTGGAGTGGAATGACATTCGGGTTACCTGGTCGCCCGCCGAGCAGTGGCCCACTGCCGCCGCGGCCAGCAGGCCATCCGCCATCCAGAAGAGCCCTCTGAAGCTCCAGGGGGGCCCGCAGGCCACCACCGGCCTGAGGAAACAGCGGCGCTTCCGTGAAGTCCAGGGGGGCCAGCGGTGTGGGGAAGCGCAGGCTGCTGGAGGGCCCCAACAGGCCGGCAAGGCCCCGGCGGCGGCGGCGGCTCTCATCGTCACTGCTGCCTTCGTCATCCACCTCCTCATCCACGTAATCGTCATCACTGTTGCTGTCTGTTAACTCAGCGACCTCCTCGTCATCGCTGCTCTCCCGGAAAGAGGTGGCGGAGGAGGAGGAGGAGGAGGAACGCTGGGATAATACTTCTTGCTCATCGGAGGCAGACCTGTCGTTGCCGCTGCTAATACTGCTGGGTCGCGGCCTCGGTAGTACTGGTGGTGGGGATGGATTCATGGCTCCGCGCACGGTGTACTGCGCGAACTCCAACGGCATCATGATGCTGCACATCTCCCGCTGCAATAGCTTCTTGTTGACGACGACGGGGCCGTTAGGGCCATCTGCATGATGGAACGACATGGATCATGTTAATGCCGCAGTGGATCCGAACTGGCGCAGTGGATCCGAGCTGCGATTGAGCTGCGACTGAGCGACAACCTTAGATGTCTTTCGGAAGTACTCCGTTTCATTGGTTACATTGCTTACCATTGGTAGTCCGTCAACCAAGCAACATGACGCACGGAATGTGTACGACAATGTACTACAACTAGTTGCTAAGATACGCACACAAGGCACACGCCGGCATACATATGCGTGCCTTCGGTTCGTTCTTCGGTGCTTGTTTATTGGGTTATCGATAAGGGCCCCCGTGCTAGTCACTTCTGACCTAAAAGGCTAAAGAGGGCAGCTGTGAAAGGGATCTATCGTTGCTGTCGTACAATAGTACGTTGTACGTAACTCACCAACCACGCCACAATTCGGAGTCTCATCGGACATGCTGCTCCTCGGGTTGTTGCCACCGCCACCGCCACCGCCACCGCCACCACCACCACCGCCACCGCCACCACCGCCGCCGCCGCCGCCACCACCGCCGCCGCCGCCGCCACCGCCGCTGCCACCGCCGGCCGCCTTCGCCGCCATCGCCTCCCGAGTTCGCACGAAAACCTGGTGGTAGGTAGTAATTTCTTATGTTATACCCGGTTACAGACAAGGTATTGCTAACACAGCTTTTCTTCTCATGGAAGCAGCTGTCTGCTGGGACAAGTGCGCTGCAAGTTCCGCAACGGCGCACGCACGTCTCTGCGTAACTGCCTCGCAGCACGGGCAGCATTGACCCAACGTAAGTCCTGCCACTCCGCCCCCCCCCCCACTCACCTCGAGTTGCAACGCCCAGAAGACTATCTTGCCCGGCCAGACCTGGTTTTGAATCGTGACGTCGGTGCCGCCTGCACATCACGGAGAGGTGCATATGTAGACAAGAGGAAGGTAAGAGGGATTCCATCAGTAGGGTGTTTTGCATACTTAGCAGGTGGGGATGTGTTGTCTGCAGCGGGCAGCGGGCAGCGGGTAAGTGGGTGCGGGATCTCGCAATGACTGGGCATTCACATGATATGTACGACATTGTACGATACTTGCAACACGGGTGCGTTCGCTGTGGGTATGCAGCGTGCTTAAAAGTAAAACTAGGGTACACCCCCTTAGGCTGCTTCTTACAGCGCCATCCCTCGAGCAGGTTGCATGGCGGGTCCATACCGGCTTTCCCTTAAGTTAAGGCCTGTCTAGCTCGGTGGAACAAAAAGAGGACCACGTACTAAAACATAGTAGGTAACGAAGAAAAGTGCATCAGTATGGCGTCGGTATGGCATCAGTATGAAGGACATGAAGGACAAACTAAAAATGGTTTTTGTTGGTGCTACATTCGCCTCCCCTGACACGAGGACACCCTTCTCACCGATGAACAGCTCCACCCAGGGAAGGCCTTTGTTGATGAGCGGAGTCAGCTCGTTCGGCAGGCCGTATAGCCTTTGAAAGTTGTTCTGGGCTCGGATCGCCGCTGCAGGCAGCAGGCAGCAACCTCAAGATCAGACGGGCAACACATCGTAAGAAAGGCGACACACAACGGAAACATACATATCGTGCTGATGAGCTAACTGACCAGTACGGATCCGATCCACCCGACATCCGCCGATCCATTTCTTAAGCTGATCATCACGCTTTAACCACCAACCAGGGGTGGTGGTTTGCGTACGGAAGGTGACGTCAGGCCATACGTAGGACAACAGAGTGCCCCTACCTAGCAACCTAGCTACCTAGCCACCTGCTGTTAATAGCTGTGTTTTTTCGTGCGTGGTCTATGGGCAGCAGGGTCATCGTAAAATAGATAGGACCACATCTCAGGCGATAATGGCACAACGGTAATTAATAGTAGTTGGCTGCTCGATGCCGTACGCGGATGTTGTATGTCGCAACATATTTGAACAAGGGTTGAAGTTATATATGTATGAAATACTGTAATACTCATGTTGAGAGGCAACTCCAGTTTACCTGCACTCAGCCAATTTGTTATACCGCTGTGACTCATCGACACGACCAACCCACCCCTTACACCCACCCTCAACCGCTTCGTCTGCCAGCTCTGTGTACGACTTGTATTGGATTTTGGCATTCCGCGTCACCAGAGAGCCGATGGCCGCCACCAAAGGTTGGGCCCCACTGCCCAGCGCCCCGAAGGGTCCTCTTCCGTCACCCGCTGCCGCCTGACGCATTGTCGCACTGAAGGCCCCCCCCGACCGGGCTGAGGACAGGTCCAACTTGCCGGCAGCTGCCACTTTCTTGACCTGCGCACACACACGTGGTGCGGCGACTGTTAGTTGCTGCGGGGTGTGGGGACCATGGCATTGCCCCCCCGTTTACCCTAGCGGCCTTTCTGGTTTTTTAAAAGCTGACGTTTGCGCGGGTAGCTTCGAAGCGAGGTTTCTCTCTCGCCCCTGGAGCCGAAGGCGCAATGGGGGGATGGTGCCAATGCGCAGTGGCCACTGCCTCAACGCAGGCAAGGCCCTACACGCCCTCACATACCTAACAGAAGAAAAGAGAGAGATAGCCGCATGCAGTCATGTGTGTACAGTCATGTGCACACACGGCGTTTCCTCACCACCTGTTCTCGAAGGTTGACAGGTAGGGACTGGTTGACAGGAGGACACAGAACCAGCTTCCAGCCCAGTAATTCCACAGAGCGGCTGGTGGGTGGCAGTGGGGGGCAGTGGGTGGCAGTGGGTGGCAGTGGGTGGCAGTGGGTGGCAGTGGGTGGCAGTGGGTGGCAGTGGGTGGCAGTGGGTGGCAGTGGGGGGCAGTGGGGGGCAGTGGGTGGCAGTGGGTGGCAGTGGGTGGCAGTGGGTGGCAGTGGGTGGCAGTGGGTGGCAGTGGGTGGCAGTGGGTGGCAGTGGGTGGTAGTGGCGGCAGGGGAGGTCAGCGGTGTAAGAGGTAGGGACAGACTGACTCAGCCCCACGGTTATGGTGCGACGCGGCAGGGGTTGCCGTATTCTCTCTGCCTGAGGCGGCCCAGCTTGTACCCAGCAGGTTGCAGCTACCTGGTCTCGGCACCCATAACACCCCTTCCCTCAATCCCTTGGAACGCCACCACGCATATCATGATCCGTTCCTCAGTCGTGAAGCCCGTCCGGCCCGTACACATATATATGCATGCATACCGCAAGCCCGACCGGCAACCCGCCACTCACTTACTTCTTGTAACTGCTGCCCGCATCTTCCACCAGCAGCACCCAGCGGCCCCGGCTAGGAAGGGCCATTTCGGAGAAGATGCTGAGAGGCGTTGCAGGTCTGCACGGCAGGGGCACGGAACATAACGAGCGGGGCGGGGCGGGGCGGGGTGGGCGGCAGGAGAGGCATCAGAGCATAACGTGAGATGACACTGCCTCGTCACCGTGTACTTATAAGCTGTACAATCCGTACATACTGGTAAATGGATTAGTTGTGGACGGCAGCTATACATGCCCGGTAGCTGTACATGCGGTCCGTTCGGGGACCAGGGGAATCACGGGTGGTATCTCTACGACGTGCGTCGCACTTAAAAGGCACTTGCGCAACCCCCACATGAAATCGCCTCTGAGGTTGTCGGTGCGCTCGTAACCGATGGTATTGTTGACCCCGTCAATGAAGGACACCGAGCTCATGTTGGACCCCGGACCACCCTGCATGTACACAGGCGGGGAGGGTGCATGGGTGTACAGCGCGGGAGGGTGCATTAGTCGGCGCGAATGCTGGAGCCCTGGGCCATGTGTGCTGGTGTGTGAACGTATCACCTGCGGCGGCCGCGGGAGATGAGAGCGCTTTGGGAGGTGTCCTGAGTGTGCGGGCGCGAATCCTTCTTACAGACACCTGTTTGCAGCGGACACACACACATGCACATGCACATGCACATGCACACAAAACCATACGCGCATGCACATAAACACATACACACACACGCCGATATACAACATGTCGCGATCGGTCGCGCGCAACATTATTTTCATTTATTGTTACTCGTTGGCCATGCGCGAGTTCTGTGTGTGACACGTGCGTTAAATATCTTCCGGCAGAAGGTCAGCTGGGAAGCCCTCAGCTCGACGATGACGAGCCGTTGTTCCTGCGCTGTAATGTTGTCTCCTGCTTCGTCTAGGAAAGCGTTGTATCCACGAGTATGCCGTACACACCTGCCGTATGTCCTTCAGGATGGCAGATGCATTAGCTATCTCCTCGATCTCCCGGGGATTGGTCACCTCTAGCTGCTGGGCGTACGGCAGCCACTGCAGGGTTATCTGTATGTATGTCGAGTGAAGCAGTAGAGGCGGGACCATGTTGATGAGGGGCATTAGCGTGTGCGCGCACGGCAGTAATTCACGAATGTTAGCGGCAGCAAATGAAGTTCGCATATGCCGTGTTCAGGACCACAGAGGGACTCTACAGCTGACAATATCGAAGCCCTTCAAGCTCGTCTTCCCCGCCTCGCCTCACTTCGCCAGGAGCAAGAAATCGTTGCGGCAGCAAACATACATCGCCCTGAAACTAAGTTCAAGGCTTCGCCCCCTAGGCCAGCATATACACAAAGCCTCAGTACGGGCGTGAATCGTATAGCCGTAAATGGTACGACATCGTACCAACAATGCACCCAGTCGGCTGTGGACGAGCGATAGGTTACGGACGTCCACGGCTCCGACCGCCGGGCCCACTTGGTCGTCCACGAGTACGACGCTCATTACAGCGCTGCCGTCGCTCGATCGGATTGAGTTCTTCACATCAGCGCTGTACAGCAGACACTGCAGGCAATTCACATTCACGCAACTCAGTTATCTCCTTTGGGCGATGGTTTCTCTTTTCTCCTGCTAGTGCGGTGTTTCCTTTTCTCCGTGGCTTTTAGGCGTTTAGGTTTTGCCCTTTGGCCTTCGGCTCGTATGGGTAGTTCTACTGGTATGGGGTCACGCACCCCCAACCATGTAAAACACACACAAAGTATGCACAGGACTGGCATCCCCCTTACACTCTTACATGCCCCGCTCTGCCTTGTTCCTTTATTGCCATCAAGCAGCGCGAAAGTCGTGGGGAGAGCTAACAAATATGAACAACAATGCGACGTCAACATCAAAAGGAGGACGGAAGTCGTAACCCGGACGTTGGCCTGCCCCGCAGCACTGACACGTTCACGGACAGTCACATGAGTTGTACATGCGCGAGGTGGTCATACTATAGATTTACAAACTGGACAGTGTTAAATCCGGCATGCAGCCTCGTTCGAGGTATCATACCTCCTGCTTCACTATGGCAGTGGTTCGGTTGCCGTGGTTCGCGACTATGGGTGCTGAAGTAGGTTGGCGGTTGGGCATAGCAGGCGGAGGTCGCGGCAGCACCCGCTGCACCTGTGGTTGCTGTGCCAGGGATCCCCGCAGCAGCCCGCCTCCGGGTCTCAAGGCGAGGCATGCCGCCGCGAACAGCATGAGCAGATGCCGCAGCGGCGGCGGTGGTAGCGGCCATCGCGCGCCTTTCTCGCGCGACATGTCCCCTGTCAAACACCTTCGGTACACAAGTTCTCTCACTCGTTGGATTTCAAGGATTAAGACCACTACACAGCTTAGGTGTACTGACGGACTTGATTTCGCAGATGCACCTGTTCGGGCGTGCAAGGATGGCTAAGGATGTAAGTATCGATAAGTCGGCTGTAATACGGCATTGAATTCGAAGAGAATCACAAACACATGACACCGAATATCTACATCCCATGACTTGTGTTGCAGATATTGACTTCGAACGATTCTATATTGGAATCTCATGGGGTCCACTGGACGGATCCACGCCGTTGTGCGTCGCTCGGCTGTGCCGAGACTCGTTCACAGCCGTTTCAGTTGGTTTGCACTGCATTCGCTTGCTGGCTGCATAAATCTTTTATTTCATATAGATACTTCTTATCTTCATAACTTTGCCTTTTTTTACGCACCTTGTATCAAGTTACTCGGTACAACGCGGATTAGCAGTTGGCCGCGAATCCAAAGAACTTGCCTCCAAGCCACCACCAGGAGAGCATCATCAGTTTCTAAGGCAAGTGTCTCTAAATTAATCGATGAAATGCCCTGATGTATTCTGGGTTTTAGGGTTTTGGGTAGCCGCTGTGCAGCTGACGGCAGCAGCACTGAGTTATTGATGCGGCAGTTGGACGTCGGAACTGGAAGTAGCCGTGTTCTCAGGCAGAGATGCTTGGCACAACCGAATAAAATTCTGTGCACGGTTCGCTCTATGTTAGGGTTTAGAAAACTCGGGCAACGGGGTACGGGCTTGATCGGGCTTCGGCTGGAGAATTCCTCGAAAACATTTTGATGTGGACCACATCGCCAATCCTTACTATCAGTTGCTGGTTAGCGCACCAGATAACCCGTTTCGGGGATTTAGGGCGTTTGTTTACGGTGCAGCCACAATGAACTCGGCTGTTCAGTAACAAAGCCTGGCAGTCACTACTTTTGACAACGAATGCAGTGTTGGGGAACCTCCGCACGTAGCTTCCATTGCTCCAGGAGGTGCGAAACTCCGATGACCATATGCGGCGAACGGTGTCGCAGGGCTGCTGGAGCATAAGCTTCACCCCTACAATTCCGTTAATGCGCAAATTCACCTCGTCGAACAGGTCCTTGTCCTCTGCAGCCGTGTTGTCCGTGTTGTCCTTATCCATTCGCCCCGACGCATGTGCATGTGGTGGTACGCACCCGCGATGTAGGCGTGCCGAAGACGGAGCGGCCGCAGCGCGATGGTAATTGCGACACCCAGGGCGGCGCTGCTGCTGCTGTTGGCGCTCCAAGGTCTCAGCTGGTTAGCAACTCTAGCGCAAGCCGAAAGAGAAGCGATTTCATCGGATCTGTCCGAGATTGTTGCTGACCTGACTAACAGGCCACATGACGATGTGTTGCAAGTTAAGGTACGTGGGGGTGTCGCAGCCGTTGTGGTGACAATGTTGGACCGTAATCCGGGGGGAACGAAGCTCGACCCGTCGCCGATACCTGTCAATTAGTTGCACCCTGCAACTAATGCACCATTCATCACTCGCCGCCTTTAGCTGCGCACAGGAACCGGCCGGCGGTGGCGACATCCATTTGGACGAGATCGATCTCGACGACCTACCTGGCGACGCGGGGTCCAGGAAGCTGATGTCGAGCATCCTCGGTGCGCATCCTTGTAACTTGTGCCGTGCAGTCTTAATGGACGGCACCAGATCTAGAGTGCTGCCTCTTGCTATTGCATCTGCTCAGTGTGTTTAAAGGTTAATACTGGCCAAGTGGTTATTGGGAAATAAATCCCCTTCCGGAAGACGGTCGTCGCTAGGAATACATTGAGATACCTTTCAGTAACCGGTTGGTTGCAATAGGACATAAGAATAGGCCGCAGCCCCCACTGGGGGGAGTGACCACTGCCTGAAAACTCTGGATGAAGGCTGCGATGGTTCGCGGAGTTCTGCTTGGGAACGCGTTGCCGTATATAGAGCCAATCAGAGTCAAAGTTGGTGAAAGCTTGCTCAGACGGCTTATCCTTAATATGTAATTCAATATCCGGCTGCTGCTCGAAGTAATGATTGGCGTACCATTCAGCTCCGCCTCGTCTCACGTACCGCCGTACCCACTTACAGCCGCCCCGCCCGGCCCCATGTACCTGCTCAGGGGGCCCCCTGCCCGGTCTCACGCTCATTCCGCCGGGATTCCCCGCTCCCAAGCCGCTGTCCGCGGCCAGCCTCGGCCTCATGGGCCATATGGGAGTCCTCGGAAAGGTCGGGGCCTCGGAACTCGCTTTCGCCTCCTACGTGGTAGAGGGGACGGACCCGGTGGCCATTGCGCTGCGCCAATTGAGCATCGTCGCCATCGAATCATACGGCACCGCCGTACAAAACTCCATCCGAAGGTAAGCCCTTGCGCTTTCTGCATCCGTCGGTGATCGTGTCGCGTGTGCATATGTATGTATGTATGTATGTGCGTGTGCATTGGCATGTGGTTGGATGTGGTTGGGCTACTTGCAGTGAACTAAAGCTCTGGATGCTGGCTGTGTGCCGGCCTGCGGGGGCCCCTCGACACCTCTGCCACTGCGCTTGCGCCTTGACACCGGCATTTAGCTATGGCATGTATATTATACAGCAAGATTCACTCCTCAGCGGTGTCCGTCTGCTTATGTCCCTGTCTATTTGTTTACCTGCACATCTCTGTCGATGCATCTGTTCTTACGCACAGCTGCGTACCTTCATATATGCACCTGTATGTCTATCCTGCAATAACTAGTAAGCAAGCTCGCCGGCATGCTGTCATCGTCAGTGTTATTACCCGGCTGCGTGCGCATGCGACCCCTCATGACGCATGACATGACATGGCATGGCATCGCAGGGCTGTTGCCCGCATAGACGCGCGCCTGGCCCGCTACTCCTCGTTCCTCAAGCGGGAGGCCAGGGCGCTGAAGAAGGCAGATGCGCAGGACCTGCTGGCGGCCGTGCAAAGAGAGATACGGGTAAGATGCGGGGGCATGCATGCATGCATGCATGTGTGCATGTGTGCATGTGTGCATGCATGCATGTGTGCATGTGTGCATGCATGCATGTGTGCATGTGTGCATGTGTGCATGTGTGCATGTGTGCATGTGTGCATACAGCGCGGCTGCATACAGGGTACACCATGCGCGTGATGGCCACGTAACCTACGGCGCCTCCGTGCCGTACGTCCTGGCCTCACCATTAAGATGCCAACCAGACCCAGCCATGCGCGAGGGTTGCGCTGGGAGAGGGTTGGGAAGGCGGAGGAGCCCAGAGCAGTCAGCAGGTTAGCAGGCTTGAGAAAATATGGCGATGAGGAAGGACGCAGATGGTGTTCATCACGGCACGTTGGTACGTGGTGCTGTGCTGTGTGTGATGTGCGGCGAGTAGCCTCACCTAAAATGCCGGAAGCATGGCACAGAAGCACGAAGCGCAAGCGAGCACTTCTCCTTGTCATCTTACAACCTGTATCTGGTCTCCTCATGCGCCATCCCGGCATCATAGGATCCCAAGGTGATCCATTTCATGTCCCCTAAGCGGACGCTTGCCTGGCTCATGTGCCGACCTACGTACGCCTGCCATGGCTACAACCCTAAAACCCCTAAAACCCCTAAACCCCCCTAAAACCTGTGTATGACCGTGTTTGGTCGCAGATGCTGGTGATCGCCCGGGCTGCACTCAAGGACCTCAGTGCGCGGCAGGTGCGTCGGCTAGGGTTCTGTTTTCGGGGTTTGGGCGAGGCCCCCCGGGTTTCGGGGGGCCTAGGTCCCCGGGTTTCACTGCTGTCAGTCAGTGAGTCAGTCAGCGTCGTGTCTCGTGATGAATTTGCTTTTCGTTGTTGTCTCAAAATGTCGGTTACCCAGCCGAAGCGACCGGTTGGGTTATAGCTAGCCGGTCGGTTACCGACCCTTTTATGCCATAGGGGGAGTGCGGTGTGCGTGCACGTAGCGGTGCATGCTGCTTCTGCTCGTGCTGCTTTGATTGCTGTGCGGGCGCACGGTTTCCTCGCTCTTTCCTTGGACTTCCCTGGACTTCAGCTTCGCCACACTCCGCAACTCCTGCATCATGTCAATTGCTCCAGCACTTCCCTCCTTGACTTCTGCTCCGTCTTACGCACATCTCAGACATGTATTATTCTCCAGTTCGACTGGCAATGGGGAACTGGGTTCGCGCATATTTCCAGAAGGCTATAGATGCTCAGCCGTTCATGTGTTGTTGTTGTTGTTGAGGCTGGAGGCGGCACAACTGCACTATCCCGGGATTTGCATTTGGCGCCTTGGCAGCAAGTGTATACACCAGATTCATCACTCCAATGCCGCCGGCCGCCGCACCTGGCCCTCGCAGCTATCCATGATAATTAGCATATAGTACAAACCCGACACCGTTCCTCCACTTGCAGCCAAGTGCCGTACAGCCTCCCTGCGGAATACTGTGAGACGACTGCCTGCACCGGGGCCGAGCTATTGTCGGCAGCCGACTACCCTAGCCTTTTGTCCATTATTTGCAATCGTAATGCAATTATGGTTTTTACAACGCGTGTCCCGGAATCCTTCGCGGCCCCCTGTCTGAGCACACGTGGTTCAAGGTAGCAATAGCTTAACAATAGTAGTAATACGCCAAAGTTGGAGCCATGCATGCACGGGTGTCAACGAGTACATCAAGGAACACCCTGCCTGCCGTACTGCCGTACAGGTCGCGTACGTCAGGTTCCTGACGTCCGCGGCGTCTTCCTGGACGTCCTGGTTCTACGGCATACAGGTGCGCGCGGGGACGGGTCCCATGTGAAGACTTCAACCAACCTTGCCTCCGCACGCGATTAACTTCGTAATTACTACACCAGCTGGTGACACCTCATCACTCCTTCCGATGCTTTCTGTCTGCTTTCGCCCAAACCAATCAAGTTCCGGTTTACAACACTCGTGATGAACATCCAATTCTTCAACGATGCCGTACAGCTGGAGCTTAACCGCGTGCTTTACAAGTAAGAGTAAACGAGCCGTTGTATGAAGTTATAAGCGGCAGGGAGGGAATGGGAAGGAGGTAATTCTGATTCCTCGTAATGTTGGTGAGCAACTGAGATTCGCCCACCTGTTGGAAATGAAGCTCTCGAGTTGTACAATCCAGTAGTGCAGCACCACAACAGTATCACACCGAAATTAGCTCCGTTGGACAGCGACACGGAAAGGAAGCTCTTTATGGCTGCGAGAAGCTTAGCCGACAGCCTCTTTAGCTGATGCTGCTCCTCAAGCTGAGGGTCACTTTCTTGCAATTTGAATCGCACGCATGAGATTATAATTCCCCATTCATTGACATCCACCAATGTCTTGACGCGAAATACGTACGATGCCTCCTTGCCTCCTCGGAAATACGGCACGCAGCCTGGGCGATGTCACCAGGCTTGTGGGCCTCCTGCTGAAGCCCTTCATCGATGCCTGGAAGTTTGAGCAGTAAGTGACCCATCACCGTGTGTGTCAGTGTGTTTGCCAGTACACCTTCGTACATGTGTGTATGTATGTGTGTTGAGACTGACCGCATCATGTGCATGCCGCTCTATGTCAAATGTGCTGCTGTATGTATGTGCCTTCTTCTTTGCGGTCGCCTTTTACTGGAGATAGGAGGTTGAGGTCATGCGCGTCCAGATGTAAATACACGAACCGCCCCCCTTCTGTGGGCTCAAGATTGATTGCTTTTGAGATGGGGCCACGGCTAAGGGAAGGAACTGTTATATGTGTGTGTGTGTGTGTGTGTGTGTGTGTGTGTGTGTGTGTGTGTGTTACATGGTTGGGGGTGCGTGACCCCATACCTGTAAGACTACCCATACGAGCCGAAGGCCCAAGGGCAATACTACAACGCCTAAAAGCCACGGAGGAAAGGAAAACACCGCACATCAGCCCAGACTAGCGTCCAAAGGGGGTAATAGGAACTGTTATATCACGACTTTTCCGGAAAAGAACCGATCGGTGGATGCTGATCCCGTGATTTACCCAGGATACTACAGGAACCTCTCCTCCCGTCCTCACCCACCACCCTCTTGACAACACTCACATGCCCGTATGCAGGAAGTTCTTCAACACGCTGTACAACATCATTTTCAGGGCGTATGTACGGGAACGCAACCGCCTGACGATCACACCGGTAGCCACCCTCATGGTAGGTCCAACGGACTTGACGGTTAGGACTGCACGTGCGCGTCCACCATTATAACGACATATTAGTGCGCATCACCACGCGCAATGGGGTATGCGTTTCGTGCGGGCGGTCTGCCCACACTATGCATGTCCGGTACGTTCCTGCGCGCTTTCTTCTGCTTCTTTTCAATGGCATGCATGGGGGTGCGAGTGGCTATTTCCTTAAGGATAGCTTGCGCGCTCTGGATCTAATTGGGACGGATCTGGATCTTTGTAGCCCCGCTTGCTGTTGCATGTTAAGCTTCCTTACCTGACATGCGAACTAGTTTTGACGGCATCTCCACAGAGCGGGTTAGGCTAAGGTAAGGCAGCTGTCTCCCCGTGGTGGTGGGCACACGGCTCCCTCCGTTGCAACAACCTCGCCTTCGCCTCATTGTTATCCCGTCTTGGACTGCCGGACAGTATCGCTTCGGGAGCGGCAAGAACATCCAGTTTATGATCGACAGAGTCACCTCACTCGCGGAAGCGGTAAGTGCGGCTGTAGTAGTAATAGCAGTAGTAGAGTGCGGTGTGTGTGTGTGTGGGTGTGTGTGGGTCTGTGTGTTAATCCGCTGCTTACAAGAGCAGTAAGCGGAATAATAGTCCCGCCTTAACGAACCGAGGTCCCAAGACGAAAAGGATGAAAAAGAACAGTAGTACTTATAGTAATAGTGATAGTGGTGTAGTGGTGTAGTGGTGAGGTGGCAGAGGCCTGAGTGTAGTAGGTGACCGCCGAAAAGGCTTGCGTGATGTTGGAAATGCGCTTGATGGTCTGTGTCGTACTGTACGACAGCTACTACACAGGCGGCGACGTTAGGAGCTAAGCGTGCAACGTGATCTAGTCGCGGGCTCGGGCCAGGAGGCCGTAGCCTTGCCACCCACATTGTGGGGGCCGTGACCGGTGTTAAAACATAACAGGGGGGCCAGCAACATTCAGATGATGCCATAATAACTTTCGATTGTAGTTCTGAAAGCCGAACCCCACCCGCAACTAAATTAAAACTCTCAACTGACGTGTTATCACCGATCAAACATCATTTTAAATTGTTTGCAAACCACTCATGTATATCTGGGCGGATGCAGCTGGGCGCTGGTGGTAACGCGGATGCGCTACTGGCTGCAGCCAGAAGTGCGCGTGACCAGGTGGCGGCGGCGCTGCAAATGCCAGCACGCTCGGCCGCTGCAGCAGCAGGCCAGCAGATGCCGGCGTTGCAGCGGCTGGCGGATATGCTCCGAAGCCGTGTCGCCGCCGGCGGATCTTGAGCAGTCTAGCTGACGGAGTTGCAGCAGCTGCAGGCGAGTACGTGGAGGATAACCACCATGGCATGCATGCCGTGTTGTGTTGCAGTTGCCTGGTGCCCTTTAGCCTGCTGGACGCGCCTATTGCTTACTATCTATTAAAACTACGGAAGAATCGGGCCCAACCTGCGCGGCTGCCTGCTGGGCCGGCAGTTGCGGGCGATGGAAGGATGGTCCGATGCTGGTTTTGCAGCGGGGGTTGCCTAAAGGGGGTCCCTGTTGTGCCCAACATACAGGGTTGCGTATGGGGTGTGTGTATGTGTGTTACACCTATATAGTGCGTTGTCAGCCTTCTCAGGCGGCAGCCAGCAGCAGCAGCAGCAGCAGCAGCAGCAGCTCGTGAGCAAATCCAGATAAGTGACGGCATACATAGAGAAGCCGCCTACGCGATCTGTGGTGAGGCGGGAAGAGGCGGCCGTCAAGAGCCACATCATTGACGGTGGTGCAGCTTTATCCACATGCCACAACCAGCCTGTGAGCTATGAGTTATTTCGGGGCTGAGTAGAACGATAACCAGGAACAGGATGAACCCCATCGTCTGGCCGGCGGCGGCGGCAGCCAGTAAAAGGACGAGTGAGCAAGGAACAGGCGATTGCTTCATGGCTCGTGTGGCCGCAAGGAGAAATGATATGTGGCAACAAAGGAGCAGTAGTATTCCTCACCCATCGAGCGAGCTTAATGGCATGTAACAGGGCTGGCTAGCATGTCTCATACTCCGGGTTAGCGCTAACCCGCAGTAGAATTAGACATGTACACGCACACAGGAATGAGCTTTAGAGTGACAGCCGGGAGGAAGCAGCGTCGCGGGGATCCGTTGGTGCTCTGGTGGACCACCGCGCCGCAGCTGTCTATCGCAGTGAGCTGCCTGTTAGGCTTACGTAGACCAGTTGGTTTAAGGGCGCCTGGTGAATGTGCGTGAGGATATTGCTGCTGACGGGAATATAATAATACAGCATGGACGCATGTTCGTATGTACCTGTTACCTGTTACGCTGGCTTCGTGTATTTTCTAGGATGAAAACGGTGTGAATGATAAGTCTTGGGCTGTAAGACATCAAGTAGGGATTACTCATCATGTTGATCAGGCCATGGGGGTGGCGAGGCGGCGGGTCTGGTGGGTGAGTGTTCGGCTCATGATTAGCTTCCGTGTCAAGTACGGTCAAGTGGCATACGAAGTTATGTTCTCCCTTTCCTGTTAAGCACGGGTTAAGAATCTACGACAGATGACATAATCTTTTGCTCATACTCTGATTTTCTGCAAATGAGTGAGCAGTCAGCGGACAGTGCGAACCTTCACTGATCAGCCGGAAATCTCCTCTTGGGTAAAAGAAACAGGTTTTTCTGTTCCGAACAGAGAAATAATAATGAAAGCACGGTACAATCTAGCTCGAAAACTAGCTACCTCGATTTTTGCAATTAGATAGATGGCTGGCGGTGGCTGCGAGCCGCATGCATCCCACCAGTTCACAGCTTAGGGTTTATGATATAAAGAAAATCCTTATTCACGCCGGCATCTAATTGGCAGCAGGTCATAGCAGGGTGTGGCGCTGCAGCAGCGAGTAGGTTCGGCACTGCTAGCGGAAAACTGAGAAAAAAATAACACACATGTCGCCGACATTTATTCTTTAGTATTTAGTTCGCTTAGCAAATGAACTACAAACTTGCGACGCACCTGATGAGCAAAAAAAGGGTCTAAAAGGGTAGGAATAATATCTATAGCCATACACCTGGTTTTGACTAACTGCTTTGCTTGCATATTGGCTTGTAACGAGGCTGTGATAGAGAACATAGTTGCTGGCTGCAATGCCGAGGACAACGAATGGCACTCGAGCTAGTTTAGGAAGCCTGATTCGAGGTCCGGCGTCTTCCCCCTTCAGGACGAAGCAGCCCGAAATGCAGGACAGCAAGCGATGCGAGCATCAATGTATTCTTTGGTTGGATGTTGCGGAACAGCAGGAGCGTCATCGTGTGTCTGTTGCACGCACCTAGAGGCCACATCGATGACGTTCCTCGACCGAAACACCGGAGGGGCCGAATATTACTGAAGTCGTATCAGGTAGGTAAAGATACGAACGCCAAGTACCCCGACCGGATTTCCATGATCCCAGATTCTTCCCAATAAAAGTCCCGGTCTTTTGTGCTGCCTTACTGTGTATTTTTCTTTTTGCACTGAATTGCTTCGTTAAGTAGTACGTACGCATGTTAGGAAATTATCGGGAATTGTAACGCCAGCTGTGAACGTAGTGCATTACTGTGCATTCTAGTGCTTTCTTGTCGGCTCACTTTGCAAGCCAGGAAGGACGACTCACGCGCGTTCATCCGAAATAATTCATCAGCAAGGCAAAGCAAAAGGCAAGGCAAGGCAAGGCAAGAAATCTCACGTTTGAGGCAGTGCCTGCATGCATTTCATTTGGCCCATACGCACCCGGAATTTCCAGCATCGCTCGCTTCCTAACCGGCAGGCCGCGTCCCATTAACCTATCCGAAGAAGAAGAGAAGGCGGCGATGTATCACCGCCAGCGGCTCATGCGAACCGTGGGCAGCAGCAGATGCTCCTTCCGGGCGGCGGCGTTCCTGGCGCTGTTCGCGTTCCAGGGGCTAGGCTGGTGGGCCGGCCAGGCGTACGGCGGACTCGGGGGCTCCTCCGGTGGCAATGGAACCGAACAGATGGGCCCGGAGCAAAGGAGTAAAGCGGAGAGCTTCGGGAAGGTGAGCAAGTCCTTGTAGATACATACATGCATTATTGTTTTATGTCTTTACTTATTTGTCCTGGCTGGACACGAGAGGAATGCGCGGTTGGGTGTGGTATGCTTGCACCCAGCTTTCAGTCTTTGTGCGCCCGCTACCCGGCTTGCCTCTACATGAAACCTCCGCGTGCCGCAACCATTGTGGTGCGCGCCGTACGCGCTGCATGCCTGTATACCCGTTACATGAGTTTTCCCTTATTCAGTGCTCCTTACGGATGTACGGATGTGTACGGATGTGTACGGGTGTGTCGTACCCCAGGAGTACGACGAACTGTTGGCATCCCTCGGAGAGCACCACGGTCCCGCTCGGAAGCTCCTTAGCTCCGTCGCGGGTGGGTCCCCCTGGCGGGTGGGGGGAACCTTATTACCGGACGGTCAGGTTGGGCGGGGCCATCAGGTAGCGGTATTACGGGTAGCTAACATCCTAATTGTGTTGTTCTTGGTCGTTGCGACTAGCAGCTATCATACAGTGCAGCACACACATCTAACAGAAACAGACGGTGCTCTGCCAGCGCCCTGCCAGCACCTCAAGAGGCCTTTTCGGCCGCAAGCTACTCCATTGCGGGGTATGACTTGTACAAGTCTTCCGCTGGTTAGGTCATCCGGTTGGCCCGTGCAGATGCAATGCCCGATCCTCTCAAAGCCAAATTTCCTCACGCCGGTCGTTGTGCTGCTTCGGCTTACTGCATTTGAAGGCAAAGGTACCGGCGGCCTGGCCCTGTCATGCATGTGCGCGTAATGAAGGCCTCCGCCGGCTCGCCCATCTGCACCCTTTACCTTCTGCCGCCAGTACTTACCAAGATGCATGCGTATGTTTGTATGTATCTCTGTGTGCCGCCTCTGTTCCAGCGGGCCCGCTACCCGGACTTACCTTCATACCTGGCTTTCCGGCTGCCGGCGGACTGAGTCCCCCGGGGCTCACGTCTGAGGCCGCCAGGCTGCTGTCCAGCATAGGCGCCGGTCCCGTGCTGGCGGCCGCGCAGGCGTTTGAGGACTACGTGGTCCTGGGCCAGGACCCCGTGGCCATTGCGCTGCGGCGGCTCAGCATCACCGCCATTGACGCGTTTGAGACTGCCGTACAGAACCAGATTGCAAGGTGGGCTTCAGGCCTTTCATAGCGGGATTCCATTGGATATCCGCGAGCTGGGGCGGAAATAGAAGGCATCGAACCCTGGCGGGAACCGGCTCGGCCTATGAGCGGCATGTTTAACATATCCATGCATACTTGCACGCCCGTATTCAAGTGCCTGGCGGTCTCGGCGTATTTGCATACACTATCGCTGGGACAAATTAACCTATAACCCCATGTAGATGACGCTAGCTCCTTGCACGTGGCGCTTGTGAAAACCCCTACTCGGCCTACGCATCCACTGCATGTCTTGGAAGCGGCGGTGCACAGGGCATATGGCGGCGGGACCGTTATGATGCCCTAAGTTCCACATTCCCCTTCTACATTAATACGCGCGGCTCGGTTCGATCATCTTAGCAGTCGTGCTTGTAGTCAAACTGCTATATAGCACTGGTGGCTGTTGAAAAGATCTCTGTAGATGCTGTGCGTCGAGATGTCCTCAAATTTATTGTGCTTGTGCGGCCTGTTATGTGTAGCATTTCCTCGAAACAACCACCTTTCATGCCATGATTCCAAACTGCGATGCCGAACCCACATCTCACCCACGTCGTCATGATGCTCGCCCATTTCCAAAAACCTGATAAGCGTGGCGTCAGGGCGATTCGAAATATTGATGCGGAGCTCGAGCGCTACGAGGAATACGTGGGACGGGTTGCGGAGGCCCTGACTGACGGCAACGTGGACAATTTGGTGGCGGCGCTGGAGCGGGAAGTGCGGGTAAGAGCGAAGCAGGAAAGACGCAGAGCAGGAAGGGATTGTAAAAGAAAGAGATCGGGGGGATAAGAATTAACGTTTTGGGGGGTTCACAGGCACGGTTGCATAAAAGATAAGAATATAGCGGATTTGTCACGGGGGAGTTTGCAAACTCCCCGCCAATTGGCGCTGATGGTGAGGGTGAATGGGGTAGCATGGCTGCGTATGGGTTTCTGGACGGCTGCCAGTATGTCAGCTTGTTCCTAATAGCGTTAGACACGTGGTCAAGGTAGAGCCACTGAACAGGAACCCTCTGCATTGCCTGATTAAGTCCACGCGGACTCAAAGCGTGTGCTTAAAGCGTCTTTTTTCAAAATGGCGACATGTGCCCTGTTTTACCCAGACCCGTTCCCATGTACCGATTGCTTACATCCCCCATATACACATCCTCCGCAGGTTCTTGTTATCGTGCGTGCTTGCCTGGAGGACATAGGCGCTCGAATGGTGCGTGCGGGCGTTGATCGATTTGTGGTCGGG